CAGGTGCTGACATTTAAGTTTGTGTCTCTCCTCCTCTGTTTGTGTGTGTGTGTGTGTGTGTGTGTGTGTGTGTGTGTGTGTGTGTGTGTGTGTGTGTGTGTGTGTGTGTGTGCACAAAAAAAACACTCATTAAAGGTCCTCGAACAGGAGAGCAGACAAACACACTCACACACAGATCCTGCAGATCTGACTCCAGTATATAAGCAGACATTAAAGCTGAGCTCACACACACACACACACATACACACACACACACACACACACACACACACACACACACACAGACATGTACAACATCAGTGTTTATCCAACACTGCAGGCATGTTTAAAAGACCGCCGTGATGAGTCACAGAAGACCTTCACATACAGACAAAGGTGACCAGAAACCATCTTAGACCTCCATATACCAACATATACTAACTTAAAGTACCATACACCACCATAAACCACCATATGCCAACATATACGAACATATATAACCACATACCATCATATACATATATATATATATACCATCATCTCAGTATAATTAAGGAATGAAGTCACAAGCGTTGACATGTTCTCATGTTCTCATGTTCAAACCTTTTCCCTCAGTGCTGACCTTGTGTCAGATACTTCTTCTTCTGTGGTTTGTGTGTCGTGGTTTCGGTCCTGAGGGGGATCAATAGTCAGACCACGGTGATCCGGGATATTGAGATCTAGCGTTGTGTTCGTCTGTTCTAGTGTTTTTATTTTATTTATTGTGATTTCTGATACTTCACTTTTATCTGCTGCTGTTAGTCTGTTCAGCACAGCCGGTGAAATGTTCCTGTGGACTCCTTTCATTCACCTTATTATGTCGCCATGGGACTTTGACCAATCAGAACGGTGTATTTGACCCGTCTACAGCGGAGCGTTCCTAACTGAACCTGACTGTGTGACTGCTGTGGAGTCTGAGGAGGTTTGAGAGGTTTGAGAACAGAAACAGAAATAAACGACAGAGAGACAATAAAGGAAGAACAGATTCACATCAGAGATCCACTCAGGTCAGAGGACGACAACGAGGCACGAGAATCACAACACACTACACAAATACACACAGACACACATACACTCTCAGCGTTGATGAGTCACTGTTATTATAGAGTCATGCCTGGAAACACGTTCATTATTCAGACGTTCATCAACGACCGACACAACTGGCCAGTTCAGTCTTTCCTTCCTTTCCTTCTATCTGTCCTTCCTTTCCTTCAGTCTTTCCTTCCTTTCCTTCTATCTTTCCTTCCTCTCCTTCAGTCTTTCCTTCCTTTCCTTCTATCTTTCCTTCCTCTCCTTCAGTCTTTCCTTCAGTCTTTCATTCCTTTCCTTTTTCCTTTCCTTCTGTCTTTCCTTCTATCTTTCCTTCCTCTCCTTCAGTCTTTCCTTCAGTCTTTCCTTCCTCTCCTCCAGTCTTTCCTTCCTTTCCTTCAGTCTTTCCTTCAGTCTTTCCTTCCTCTCCTTCTATCTTCCTTCCTTTCCTTCAGTCTTCCTTCCTCTCCTTCAGTCTTTCCTTCAGTCTTTCCTTCCTTTCCTTTTTCCTTTCCTTCTATCTTTCCTTCCTCTCCTTCTATCTTTCCTTCCTTTCCTTCAGTCTTCCTTCCTCTCCTTCAGTCTTTCCTTCAGTCTTTCCTTCCTTTCCTTTTTCCTTTCCTTCTATCTTTCCTTCCTCTCCTTCTATCTTTCCTTCCTTTCCTTCAGTCTTCCTTCCTCTCCTTCAGTCTTTCCTTCAGTCTTTCCTTCCTTTCCTTTTTCCTTTCCTTCTATCTTTCCTTCCTCTCCTTCTATCTTTCCTTCCTCTCCTTCAGTCTTTCCTCCCTCTCCTTCAGTCTTTCCTTCCTATCCTTCAGTCTTTCCTTCAGTCTTTCCTTCCTCTCCTTCTATCTTCCTTCCTCTCCTTCAGTCTTTCCTTCCTTTCCTTCTATCTGTCCTTCCTTTCCTTCAGTCTTTCCTTCCTTTCCTTCTATCTTTCCTTCCTCTCCTTCAGTCTTTCCTTCCTTTCCTTCTATCTTTCCTTCCTCTCCTTCAGTCTTTCCTTCAGTCTTTCATTCCTTTCCTTTTTCCTTTCCTTCTGTCTTTCCTTCTATCTTTCCTTCCTCTCCTTCAGTCTTTCCTTCAGTCTTTCCTTCCTCTCCTCCAGTCTTTCCTTCCTTTCCTTCAGTCTTTCCTTCAGTCTTTCCTTCCTCTCCTTCTATCTTCCTTCCTTTCCTTCAGTCTTCCTTCCTCTCCTTCAGTCTTTCCTTCAGTCTTTCCTTCCTTTCCTTTTTCCTTTCCTTCTATCTTTCCTTCCTCTCCTTCTATCTTTCCTTCCTTTCCTTCAGTCTTCCTTCCTCTCCTTCAGTCTTTCCTTCCTTTCCTTTTTCCTTTCCTTCTATCTTTCCTTCCTCTCCTTCTATCTTTCCTTCCTTTCCTTCAGTCTTCCTTCCTCTCCTTCAGTCTTTCCTTCAGTCTTTCCTTCCTTTCCTTTTTCCTTTCCTTCTATCTTTCCTTCCTCTCCTTCTATCTTTCCTTCCTCTCCTTCAGTCTTTCCTTCCTATCCTTCAGTCTTTCCTTCAGTCTTTCCTTCCTCTCCTTCTATCTTCCTTCCTTTCCTTCAGTCTTCCTTCCTCTCCTTCAGTCTTTCCTTCAGTCTTTCCTTCCTTTCCTTTTTCCTTTCCTTCAGTCTTTCCTTCCTTTCCTTCAGTCTTTCCTTCCTCTCCTTCAGTCTTTCCTTCAGTCTTTCCTTCAGTCCTTCCTTCCTTTCCTTCAGTCCTTCCTTCCTCTCCTTCAGTCTTTCCTTCCTCTCCTTCAGTCTTTTCTTCAGTCTTTCATTCCTTTCCTTTTTCCTTTCCTTCTGTCTTTCCTTCTATCTTTCCTTCCTCTCCTTCAGTCTTTCCTTCCTCTCCTTCAGTCTTTCCTTCCTCTCCTTCAGTCTTTCCTTCCTTTCCTTCTATCTTTCCTTCCTCTCCTTCAGTCCTTCCTTCCTCTCCTTCAGTCTTTCCTTCCTTTCCTTCAGTCCTTCCTTCCTTTCCTTCCCTCCTCGGTGTATTTAGCAGCAGATATGAATGCGTCCTCTCGCTCTCGTTTCCTCTCCTTAGACTAAAGATCGGAGCTGCTTTGATTATAGATTTATTCAGGATGAGGAGGTGAAAGTTCAACATCGTGTTTCAGGAGGTTCAGATGTAAACGTCTTGATTACCGATAGATTTAAAGAAGTTCGTCTTTCTCCGATCTTTGAGTGAATAAATGAGGACAGTCATTCTTCATGTGGGGACCATGATTTATCCATGATCCGGTTCCTGGTATTCATGACGGTCTCTCTCGGTCTGCAGGGACCTTCAGCCTCTGGTGCCACCCCAAGTTCGAGGACCGCTGTCACTCGGTGGTGGAGTTCATCGAGCGAGCCATCATGCACTCCAAGAACGGAAAATTCCTCTACTTCCTGCGCTCCAGAGTCCCAGGTAAAAAAATGGGTCATATACGTCTGAGCTGATCAAAAATGGATGTGGGCCCCACTTAGAGACGGGGACCCGGGAGACCGGGAGGAGAGGATCCCAGGGTCTCTGAATTATTCAGGATGGCGAGGACGCCGTTTCTCCGTCCTCCATGTCAGGGTGAAAGGTTTACGTTCAGGGGTCCCTGCTGGTCCTGGTGTCTTCGTGGATACCGTCTCCTGGTTCAGGGTCCGGTCTGAATCAGTCTGAAGTTCTGTCAGTTTCAGAATTTGTTATCGGACTGAGACCATCTGCTTTTCTCCTGATTCGCTTCTTCTACGATTTTTTGGATGCCGATTCGATTTAAATTGCCATTCTACGATATTGTCGATTTTCTCCGTTTTTAGTCTGTATTTTTAACAAACAGTGAAACAGTCGAATAATAATGATTAATGATAAACGTCACATCTCAGTCCGTTTTTAGGATTTATTCTTACAAAAAATCAATTAAAAAAATTGTAAAACCAAAAATCGTGATACTTGTGGGAATCGATTTTTCTCCCACCCTGGACTGTTGTATAAACTTCTGTTTTCGAGATGTGGGTCCATGCGGTGAATCCCACTCCAGAGTCACATGTGTGGTCTCCCTGGGAGGTGGACTTGTTCCCACTGACCTCTCTCTAATTTAAACCTGATAATCCAGTCCCACTAAGTCTGGATTTAATAACCTGGTTTAATCTGGTTTCAATGAGGAGTTTAGTTGAACCGTAGTCCAGTCCAGAATGAAGAGTCTTAAAGGGATATTCCGGCATAAAATTAATTTAGGCTCATTATTTGTGGCTATAGAGTGGCGTTTTGGTTGAGGTTTGTTTATGGCTCCTCAGACCTCTCTGTATTTCTATCCTGCGGTCGTTACTAAAGTTGGTATAAGTAGAGAAGCAAGCGGTTGACAACATTAGCTGCGTTTCCATTACATTTTTTCGCATAATAAAACTGATGTTTATCAAATTTCGACAAAGTTCAATTGCGATTTGCGGGTGTTTCCATTGAATGGTGTTCAGTACATAAGCGAGCCGTCTGCCTCTCGCGAGCCGTGTTTAAATGGCCGTTGCCTAGCAACAAGGTATACTTCCTGCCCGTGCGACCTCGTATTCCTTAAGCCTTTTTGCACACCGACATTGGAGCAGCTATTTCTGTGACCATTACTGCTGTTGTCACTGCTGTCATCAGAAGACGAAGGCAGCGGGTGATAATTCAAAGGCAAAGCTCGTATGTATGGGAGCGAACACGGAGGAGCGATTTCTGGGAGAGGATCGTTAATGAGGAATTCACAGACGAATTGTGGATTCAAAACTTCAGAAAAATACAAATACAATTCAAAACTTCAGAAATAAGTCCGTCTCCTCCCCCGTCCACATATACCGTGCCATCTACGCTTGAAATGAACTGGTCACTTGACCCGCTACGTCACGTCCGGTGACAGAGAATTGCGAGAAAAGTGTTTCCATTACACTTTTGCGATATACTTCTATATCGACACTTCTGAAAAACCACCTCATGAGAGCGTAAAAACTTTTTAGCGATATTTGGGAGGTTTTTCGAAATGTAGGTGTTTCCATTACCAGTTTTCTATTGCGATATTTAGGTTTTGCGCAAATCTATGGGTAATGGAAACGCAGCTCATCTCTGTATTAATTTAACGACAGAATATCCCTTTAAATCTGGTAATTCAGGTCCTCTTGAATGGGGATGTGTAGCAACATATGACTTCATCCGTGTGTGTGTGTGTGTGTGTGTGTGTGTGTGTGTGTGTGTTGCAGGGCTTCCTCCCACCCCGGTCCAGCTGCTCTACCCCGTGTCCCGCTTCAGTAACGTCAAATCTTTACAGCATCTCTGTCGCTTCTGCATCCGACAAATCGTCCGCATCGACCACATCCAGGAGCTTCCACTGCCCAGGTACTCCGCTCTGATCACATGACTCCTCCAGGGTCATGTGATCATCTGAACCCGCGTCTGTTCTTCATTTACGATGATCTCATTATGTTCATGTTTTCATCTCCAGACCACTAATATCCTACCTGAGTAAGTTTTATTACTACGACCCCGAGGAGGAGATGTACCTGTCAATCAAGACCATCAGGAGGGTGATGGGGGCGGAGCAGGAGGCGGAGTCACAGACGTAGCAGCAGAGATCGTCTGAGCCGTCACTGTAGGTCTTTGTTGAGGTTCACTGATGGTCCTGGTCCGGCTCTTCTCTAACCCTCTGTCTCTGTGCAGGTTCCTGTGTTCTGGTCTACAGAGTCCAATCAGAGTCCCTGAAGATCTGATGTGGTCAGTCGGACTTGGATGGACCCCCTCTCTTCTTATAAGGACTAAACTGAACGAGGGGGGGGTGTCTGCAGGGGGACGATGGAGAAAACTGTGATGATGATGAGGAGGAACTTGAGAGAGTGAATCCTGGAGTGGATTTCCTGAACCTGCTGGACTGGACTTTAAAACTCTCGATGCACTGGTCAATTTGTACAACTGTTGTTTGCTGCCGTTTCCTTGTTTTTCCTCCCACTCTGTCAAAAGAAGGACTTTTAAACTCGAGGATGTCCTCAGGGTCGATACGCACGCACAGAGGCAGGGCGGCGGCGGGGGAGGGGGCTGTCGGCGGGCTCCCCGGCTATCCTGGTGAAAAGGTTCCACAGTTCTGACCACAGCGCTAACGCTGCGCTCAGTGAAATCAGGACTTAAAGCTCCTGTGAGAAGTTTGAAATGGTCATGAAACAGAAGAGTGACCTTCAGTTGTCCGGTCTTGATCGGAATAAGGCGATAATTCGAGAGAGAGGGAAACACAAGTACAGAACAAAATCCACACTTTGGCCACAGGGGGCGCCACAATCGACAAAACCCAAAAGTTCCTTACAGAAACTTTAAAAAGTCTAAATCTTATTTCCACAGAGAGATCGCAGAAATCCGATTTGAGCGTAGACTCGGTCAGGAGCCGTTTGAGCCTCATGGGGAGTTTGAGTTTTTAAAGAGTCACTTTGATCGTTTTTGTTCTCATCGAGGCCGTCGATTAAAAAAAGACGTTTTAATGAGGTTAGTAAATATTCAGACCTCTGCTGCATCTACATCGTTTATTTAACGGTTTTATTAACAGGAGCACAATCATGATTCTGAGACATCAGGAGAGGATTTCAGTCGTTTCACTTCTACTTTAACAACATCTACGTTAAACTGACCTGATCCAGGGGCTGATCCAGAGTGTTTGGACTGGGGTGGCCAGGTGGGATAGACACCCCACATCAAAGAGAGTAATCTCCACCAATCACAGTTAACCTCTGACAGAGAAATGAGCACACCTTGACCTTTATGAACTTTCTCGTTCAGGACTCAGAGAGAAGACGTTTCTGCAAAGTCAGCATTAAAGTCCGCGTTGACGATCTGAAAAGAACTGAGTCGTTGAGGCGGATTAGAAAAAAGTGTCACCTTCCCCCACACACACAAACCTCTCCCCTCTGTGCTCCACCATAACTCCGCCCCCTGAACCTGTATCGCCCTCCCCACGACACGCCCCCTCTGGCAGAAGATCCTACGCTAGCTTCAAACAGGATTCACCATGAAAACACGCTCGTCTAACGTCGGATTATTCTGACTCTTTAAAACGACACGGTGACTCTCCGTATGTTTGACGTTCAGAGAAATCTTCACATGACTGAAGGAAAAATACACCAAAGAAAAAACCTCAGAATTTAAGTTAAAACACGTATAAATCTGTTTTTTTTCTGTTGAAATGATGAAACTCGTGTTTTTTTAGCGCAGACTTCTCCTCCGTCAGGAATCTGTGGTTGAAGCTCAGATGTTCAGATGTTCAGATGTTCAGACGCAGAGAAGCTCAAACTTCAGGAGGTTGTCTCATATTTACTTCGCCTGTCGTCTGGATTTGGCTTCAGTCTTCAGAGACGGCGAGATAACACCCAGATGCTTCAGATTTCCCACAATGCCCTGCCTCAGAGTGTGCGTACCTGCCGTGACTCGTCTCTACCTGTCCGTTTGATTTGTTGAAATGCCCAGGTGTATTTTGCTCATTCTGTTTCTCAGTACCCTGAAGCTGACTGAAGCTCAGCCTTTTCAGTAAAAGAAGAAGAAAATCTACGTGAGTGTGAGTCCTGTTATTTTTCAATCATTGAACATGATCGGGAACATTCAGCGTGTCAACCCTCAAAATCAAAGCTCTGATCTATTTATTTCATTTCTATACTCTATTTCATTCAGTTAATTTTAAAACATTCAATAAAAAAAACGTGTGAATGAGAAGGAGCAGAAAGAAGAAACTCTTTTATAAGATATTCATCAACTAAACAGAATAAAAATAAACAAGAACTTTTTACACTTCATGTCTGATTATCAAAAACAGACACAGACTTAGATGAACATGTTTCTGTTTTTACTCGACAGACTGACTTTGACTCTTTTTTTAAAGATCAAATTTGATTTAGTTTCTTTAGTTTCTTTGTTCAGATTTTTCCACTAACTTCTTCCTCTCACAGTGAAGCTCCTTTCACACCAGGACCGTTTTTTTTCCTGCGATTATTTTGGACGTCAGTATTTTTTTTGAACCCATATCCTGTCCTCGACCAATCAGATTTCGTGTTGTTGCGACGTCAGTTAGTCAAATAGTTCCTGGTTAAAAAATCAAGTCATAGAAAGTGTTTTATTTCCTCTCAGATTCACTTGTAAATGTTGTAAATGTTGTAAATGTTGGAGGCTGCACAGGAAACGCTGCGGCTGTGAAGTGAAAGTGAAGCGAGAGATGGGAGTAAAAGGCTCTCCACAGAGACGCCTGGGGAGGAGGTGATAGACACGGCGTATCGCCATCCTCTGCTGCTGGAGGCAGAACCACGGCGCACTCAAAGTGGAGAGAGAGAGAGAGAGAGAGAGGGAGAGAGAGAGAGAGAGAGAGAGAGAGAGAGAGAGAGAGAGAGAGAGAGAGGGAGAGAGAGAGAGAGAGGGAGAGAGAGACAGAGAGGGAGAGAGAGACAGAGAGGGCGAGCTTCAGCTGAATGCAGGACTCTGGTTTCCTCTTCAGAAAAGCCTCTCGGGGATTCAGGGAGCGGATGAACGGCATGGAAACAGAGACGAGTGCATGTGAATACGGTCGAGTGTCCTCTTAAGAAGAGACGCAGCTCTGTGGATGTGAAAGAGTCACAGGGAGCCGTCCAATCAGAAAGAGGGACACATCATCATCGCCAACACGCTGAATGAAATCGCTGCAGGGGGGAAACTCAGAGCATGTTGACAACAGATGAGACTGACAGTCACCGTGGAAACATGTTCTCTGCAGGGTCAAAGGTCAGCGATGGCAGAGCAGGGATCAGGTTGACCTTTTTAGTTTGGTGTCGACCACAAGAGCACGACGCCGTGACGTCCAAAGATCGAGTTTAACGTTAATACATAAGGTCTGAAGATCGAGTTTAAATGATCTATCTAACATAAACTTCACTTTGAGTTTTTATAAGGCAAAGATATTTGAACATGTGACGTCCAAACTAAGTTCGGTCAAAAAAAAGGATCATCCATAAATATATAAATAGTTTTTGTCTTTTAAAAATGTTTGGAGGTTTCATCAGATATCGTAGTTTGACTGTTTTATGATCTGATTTGTTGTGTTTAAAGGTTTTTCAGCTTTTAGACTTTTTGGTTTGTTTTTTCTTGTTTTTTTAAACCTTTAGACTTTTTTTTTTTTAAACCTTTAGACTTTTTTTTAAACCTTTAGACCTTTTTGTTTTTTTGTTTTTTGTTGTTGTTTTTTTTTTGTTTTCTTTCTTTCTTCTTTTTTTGTTTGTTTTTTTGTTTTTAATCTTTAAATTTTTTTGGGTTTTTTTCTTTTTTTCCCCCTTTTTTTCTTTTTTGTTTGTTTTGTTTTTGGTCAGTGGTGGTGGGGGTGCCTTAGTTTTGTGATGACTGTTCTTACGGCCCTGTCATGTTTGTGTATTGGACCCTCTGGGCCCCCGTAGCTCTCCCTCATCGCGGTTCTTATTATTAAAAAAAAACAAACTCAGTCAGTTTAAAGTGGAAATCGTCCTCGAGCTCATTGAGCAGCAGCTCTGTCATTCTCCGTTTAGTCGAACTGCCCCTCGATTATCACATTGGTCGACTCGGACGTCAGTGAAACCGTATTCCTGCCGTAATAGGGCACGAGCTTCTTCGAGGTTTATCCCCTTGGAAACGCCCCTTTCTAGCAGATTCTCGACATCCAATTGGCCCAGCCTTCATCCATCGACTGACGTCCAAGAACGCTGTATCATGATTGATTCAGTTGAATATCAATCACGCAGTCAGAGCACGCTGATTGGTCGACTCCGCGGTCCGTCACAGTCCTATTGTCTGTGGATTGGTGCAGCGGCGCGGGCGGGCTCCTCTGCGGGCTCGGTGTTGAAGGCTCGCGGAGAGCGAATGTCGTCATGAGCGGTGGGTAGGAATTAAACCAACATCGGTGTTTATTTTCTCTCATTTACTTCATCAAAACTCACATTTACAAACAACACGAGCTGAGCGGACGGTCCGAGCTTTAAACAGCAGGGTGTGAGGAGAGCTGCGACACTTAACTGAACAGATATAAGCAATGCACTTCCGGTAAAGGGTCTGCCTTTTTTCCTGTTATCAGAGAGTTTGACCTGCTAACGAAGCTAACGATGCTAAAGCTAAAGTCTCCTTTTTAACTCCGTTCCTGTGAAAAACTCCGTCTGTGTTTCAGTCAGGACCTCCGTCTGTGGTCTTACAGGGTCTTAGAGACTGTCCCAGTTTGACCAGTTAGACTCAGACTGGAGCAGAAAAAACACAGCAGCCTGTTTACTTTGTATTAGCTGTTAGCTTCGGAGCTAACACCATCATCATCTGTGAGCTCAGAGCGGCGGACCGAACCGACCGAACGGAACCGAGACAGAGAGAGAGAGAGAGTTTGAGAGAGGGAGGCGAGATTTAGAGGCCGAACACTGCTGTGTGTGTGTGTGTGTGTGTGTGTGTGTGTGTGTGTGTGTGTGTGTGTGTGTGTAACAGGGCTTAAACACACACACACACAGGTCTGTCTGCTGTTGGACCGGAACCGAACCTGGACTCACTGATGAGAAAGTTTCTGTCCGAATTATTCAGAACAAGAATCAGAACCAGAGGAGAGAGAGAGAGTTTGTGTGTGTGTGTGTGTGCGCGCGCGCGCGTGTGCGTGTGAGTGTGTGTGTGTGTCTCACTCCCAGAGACCACAGTTCCTGATCTGCAGACATAACTTCACAGTAGGGCTGATCGATACGTAAATAAAGTTTATCAGGACATATTATTTATTTCCTATCAGCTGATCATCGATCGATCATCGATCAATATCAGGATCTAAAAATCTAACAGTGTTTCTTGGTCTCATGTCTTTTCCAACACAATAATCTCCTGCATCTGTGAGGTCTTTGTGTCTCTTTGGCGTTTTGTCGTAAGGCGTCGCTCTAGAGAAAGACGACTGAATGGTCGTCTGTTTCAGGCGCCATGGGCTCCTCGCTCCTCTCGGGGTTTGTAACCTTTTGCGTTGCGCGTGCTCTGCGGCGTGGCGCTGCTTCAGGTGGTGAAAAAGATTTGAGGTATTCCCCGACTTTGTGAGAACATGTACTCGACATAATTTACAGTCCACATTACTCTGCTTCATGTCCGACCTCCAAAAACCAAAATACCTCCACACCACCGACGTTTTCCTAACGCCAGTGTTGTGGTTGACATTGATGTGGTCATCTGTTGAGCCTTCATGGTCATTTCTGTCGGGGGTAGCACTCATTTTCTTTGTTTCTCACCAACAGTGCTGTCGGCTTCACCTGTTAAAGTGCTATGGTTGGGTGGAGCTGCTGTCTGCTACGACGCTGCAGTTGGTTGATACTTGGTTCTAATTCAGAACATGATTGGTTCAGACCCGGAGAAACTCCCCTTTTCATTGGCTGTTCGGATAGTCGACCAAAACATGTCAGAATGACGACTATTGAAAAGGATATTGATCATGTTTTATATTGATATTGAAGGAAATTAACTCTTCATATTTCTCGTTATCGTTTTATCGCCCAGCCCTCTGTAAGTGAGGAGCTCTGATCTCAGGTGTGTTAAAGATGATATAAACTCGTCTGATTGGCTGAAACCGTCTTTGTTTATCGACGATGACGTGTCTGCGTTAAAGCGTGTCGGGTTGTGAGCGCTCTCCCCTCCATTAGAGGTGTTTTCTTTGTTGGAAAGCAGCGCTGCTGTTTGGAGCTCCAAACACCCGAGGAACAGGTCCCTACAGCAGCGTCTGTCCCGGAGCTTTTCCCTCCGACTTTTACAGCCTGGACGGATTTCAGGAAACATTAGTGAGAACTTCAGATTTACTCGGCTCTTAAACGCCTGCTCTCCGTCAGGTCGTTTACAGTCTCAGTTTAATCGGACTAACCTCATAATTCGTCTTTTTCCGACTTCTCTCCTTGTCCTCGTTTACATGCAGCTGAGAAAATGGAATTATTAACGTGAACGTGTCCTCCTCCCCAACACTAGGGGGCATCTAAGTCAACTAAGTCCTTACCATGCGGCGACTCCCACTCCAGAGTCATGTGACTAACCTGTTGGACAACGTTGGTTTAAAATCATCTGAAAACCATAAAAATCGGTTTTATTTCCGATCATTTTAACTTTTAAATGTCTTTGAAGAATGTCGTCTCAAACTCCGATTATCGTCGTTCTAAGGTGTTTACATGACCTTCAGTTGTCCGGTCTTAATCGGAATAAGGCGATAATTCGTACTCAGAAATCGACTCTCCTTTTGCCTTTTTTCCGATTGGTTAGTTCCCTGTGGTCCCGCCCACCTGTCCGTCCTCCTCCTGGTCCAAACGTCCTCCGTCGTCCCTCTGATTCTAACTCTGCTCTCTCTGTGTTTCCAGAACAACAGGACAGTATGGCCGCCACTGTTGCCGTCAGTCCCAGTGAATACCTTCAGCCCTCCACCGCCACCACACAGGTCAGTAACAGGCCCCGCCCCCCGGCGCCGTCATGTGGTCCTGGTTCTGTCCACAGCCTGACTTCTGTCTCTCCTCCTCCAGGACACTCAGCCCTCCCCCCTGGCCCTCCTGGCGGCCACCTGCAGTAAGATCGGCCCCCCCGCCGCTCAGGCGCCCGCCGCTTCTCCTCCACCGCAGCCGCAGCCTCGCAGGCTCCTCCCCATAAAGCCGGCGCCGATCGCCCCCGCGCCGCCCAAAAACCTTGGGTTCCTGTCAGCGAAGGGTAATGTGATCCAGCTCCCCGCCGGCCTGGGTTCCACGGCGTCCGGCAGCCCCATCGTGCTCACCATCCAGCAGAGCCCAGCCCGCACAAACGCCGCCGCCCCCGCCAACATCCAGTACCAGATGGTGCCGCAGATCCAAGGCGCCCAGACCATCCAGGTGATGCCGCAGGGAGGGCAGATCCAGCTGATCCCAGGAACCAACCAGGCCATCATCACCACCCCCATGACGGTACCCGCCCCCGCCGTGGCCACCGCCCCCGTCACCCCTCAGAAAACTGTTGCCATCAAACCCTCCCCGAAGCTGCGCAAGCCAAACAACTCCGCCGCCAACGTGGTGCAGCTGCCCAGCGGACTCACACTGCCGCTCAATGTGGCCACGGGTGAGGTGGGCGGGGCTCAAATAATCACAGAGACAGCAGCGGCCCCGCCCACTCCAGTAAAGGGGCGGCGAGGGAGGAAGAAGAGAGTGGTTCTGTCTGCTCAGGCTCCTCCTCCGGCTCCTCCTCCTGCACAGGCGGCGTCCCCCCCACCCGAGCAGATGGAGACCATCCTGATCGAAGCGGGAGACAACATCATCCAGGTGGGTCTGTCCAGAGGGTCCCGGGTCCTTCTGGACTCTTTCAGAACCTTCACTGACGGTCCTCAGAGGTCAAAGGTTAACGTATTGATCTGATGAGGACGGTCATCATCGATCAGCTGATTTTGATCCTGAAGCAGGTCAGAGCGTAGATGTTCTTACACCAGAATCCCTCTTCAGTCACCTGGTTCTAACAGGATCTGCTGCTGAATGAGAACCCTGGTTACCGTGGTTACCATGGTTATTGTGGTTACCGTGGTTACCGTGGTAAGAGGAGAGAGGAGGAACAGGTTTTTGGACCCTGCGGCGGTTCTGGTCTCTGGTTTGTAACGTCTCAGCTGGTGATGACCCGCTGTGACCTCTTTGGAGTAATTTTGTCGACATCATCGCCGGATCGCTGCTCTGATGGCGAGATGTCTGGTGGTTAGCGCCCCCCAGAGTCCTTCAAAGGGATCATGTTTGTTTCTGAGTCGGTCTGGACCCTCTCCAGGGAACGGGTCGAGGATTTTTACTCTCAGACTTCGAACTTTGGGAATGAAGTCGTTTTTTTGCCATCAGCTGTTTGTTCTGTCGTCTTTGAGCAGAGCCGCTCTTCGGTGAGTCACATCAGCGCCCTCTGCTGGGTGGAGTTCAGAGCTGCACCCTCTGTCGTGTCAGGAGTTAATCCTCAGTGATAACATGAGTCTGAACCAGGACTGAGCGATTCGGTAAAAAGAAATGATCACGATTTATTTTGTAAAATCGTCCGATCTCGATTATTATCACGATTCTTTAAATATCTGAACTAAAAACTGAAGAAACTAAAAATTATTTTATTAACATACAAAGTAAAATAAATAAAATAAACTTAAAAAAATAAAAAAAACATCTGAACTCAACAAATACAGATAAATATTAAATAATACAGTGAACTAGTTCTTACAGTTCTGAGTGTTTCTGCAGGAATGATAGATCCAAAATAAACAGATGTCCCCTCAGAGATACTGAAGATAGAAATAGAATAGAATAGAATAGAGCAACGAAACACAGTTTTCATCCCTCCTGAGGGTCACAGCTGGACCCTCCAGAGTCGGACTATCCCACCATCATCAGAACCCGGGTCACCTGGAGCATCAACATGAGGTCCAGATAGAATCAGAACTCCAGTCCCTCTCAGATTCTCCAAAGTCCGGGTCCACCTGCTCAGATAGTTCTGGTATTTCCTCTGATCCGTTTGGTCAAAAGTTCTGATGGTTAAACGCGGCCCATGACCCCGCCCATCTTTGTCCCCACAGGCCGGTAACAACCTCCTGATCGTTCAGAGTCCCGGTCAGCCCGCCGTGGTGCAGCAGGTCCAGCTGGTCCAGTCCAAACCCGAGTCTCAGGTGGTCCAGATCCCCCAGCAGGCCTTGAAGGTGGTCCAGGCGGCGTCCGCCACGCTGCCTCAGGTCCCGCAGAGACAGTCGGCCCCGCCCAGTCTGCAGGTCACCCCGACAGAACCCTCACCCACTCAGGTATCAGACGGTCCCTTCAAAATAAGAGCGTGACACGGATCAGCTGATCCGACCTAAAGGGGGCGGAGTCAAACCTTCGTCCTCGTAAACCTCCGTCAACTTCTCTGTTTCAGTTCATCTTCAAAACGGCGTCGGGTGAGTGGCAGTCCGTTCAGCTCCAGGACTCTGTTTCCACGACAACGACACCCACCACCCCTGTGGCGCCCACCACCGCCATCTCCCCGCTGGCCGCCACCAAGAGGGCGTTGCCAGGGGGACGAAAGGAGCGCACTCTGGCCAAAATCGCGCCGGCGGGAGGAATGATATCCCTGAACGCGTCACCGCTGTCGACGGCCGCTCAGGCGGTGCAGACCATCAGCATCAACGGGGTCCAGGTTCAGGGGGTTCCTGTCACCATCACCAACGCGGGCGGTGAGTGAGACCTGGATTCATTTCCTCTGATGGCGTTTTCCTGGCGCTCCGTGTGAACAGTCAGTCTGTCTCTCTGATTCCAGGTCAGCAGCACCTGACGGTCCAGACCATGCAGGGAGGGGGGCTCCAGCTGGCAGCAACGCCGGGTCAGCAGGCCATCCAGGTGGACCAGACCCTCACCCTGGAGCTGCCCAGTCAGCCGGGAGAGAAGAAGAGACGCATGGCGTGCACGTGTCCGAACTGTAAAGACGCAGACAAACGGTGAGTGAGGCGGGAACGCCGAGGCGCTTCTCAGACGCCGGACTCGGGTTTGAATTTTAGTCTCTGAGTCAAAAACGTTCATTTAAGTTTTTCTAAGTTTTAGTTTAAACTCAGTTTTTAGTTTCAGTCGGAAAAACCCCGAACAGTTTTAACCGTTTTAACTATTTAAACAGTTTTAACTATTTTAACTGTTTTAATTATTTTAACTGTTTTAATTATTTTAACTGTTTTAATTATTTTAACTGTTTTAATTATTTTAACTGTTTTAACTGTTTTAATTATTTTAACTGTTTTAATTATTTTAACTGTTTTAACTATTTTAACTATTTAAACAGTTTTAACTATTTAAACAGTTTTAACTATTTTAACTGTTTTAATTATTTTAACTGTTTTAATTATTTTAACTATTTTAACAGTTTTAACTATTTAAACAGTTTTAACTATTTTAACTGTTTTAATTATTTTAACTGTTTGTGAATTTGAATTTGTCGATGTTCGCTCTGCAGGCCGGGAGAGGTGGGGAAGAGGAAGCACATCTGCCACGTCCCCGGGTGCGAGAAGACGTTCAGGAAAACCTCGTTACTCCGAGCTCACGTACGGCTGCACACCGGCGAGCGCCCGTTCGTCTGCAACTGGGTGTTCTGTGGGAAACGCTTCACACGCAGCGACGAGCTGCAGCGGCACGCCAGGACGCACACAGGTCTGTGGTCGAGACGCTCACACACACACACACACTCACACTCACACTCACACTCACACACACACACACACACACACACTCACACACACACACACACACACACAGCTGTTTGTGTTTTTTTAGATAATGTGATTAAATCAAAGAGAATCATCATCTTAAATAAACCCTGTCCGCTCTGAAATACAGATTTAAAGACACGGGTTCAGTCAGAGGCAGGAGGACAGTGTTTGGATGTGACAGGAAGTTCTCACACCGTGAACATTAACTGTTATTACATTAATTAAAAAGGTTCCACAGGTTCCCGTCTGTCATTAAAGGAGGTCCTCTGAAGCTTTAGTGAAAATCTGATCCGTTTGATATCCCAGACGGTTAGAGTCCAGACGTTACAGGAGGAGGTTCTGATGGTTCTGGACTCAGTAAGATGTTGAAGTCCAAACCTTCAGGTATTACATTTTTAAAATCCTCCTTCAGGTGTTGAAAACCTCCGTCTAAAACGCTCTTAATTTAGGGCGGAGCCTACATATGTGGGCGTGGTTATCTGTTTGGGCTCCACAGTTTCTCCAACATGAACTGTGATCTTGTGGACCCGTCTCTGTCTCTGCTGTTCTGAAATATAGAGTTATTATTTTCCATATTTCCTCCATGTATCAGAGTTTATCACCTGCTTCAGTTCAGACTCTGTTGGTGTTTTTCCCAGACTGCATCAGTCAGTCGCTCAGCACGTGAGTTTGGAGGGTGCGGTGCCGTCCCAAACACACTCACCAGAAACGACGACGTGATTTTCCTCGTGTCTGAACTTTTATTCTGAAAAATAACAAACTATTAACAAATCAAAAATGTAGAAGAAGAAAACTAAAGATTCTCTGTTTACATTTCAAACATTTGGAACTCAAGATAAACTTTTTACAAACTAAACATTTAAAACGAGAAACTGTTTAAAAAAAACTACTTTGTAAATATAATATATGAAATATTAAAATACATTTTAAATATATTAAAACATAAAGGTAACTTATTACTCACATCTGTACAAAGCTCCCAGGTCGACCGTCGTCTGGTCAGCCGCCGTTCTTACCGATGACGTGAGCGTGGCGAGCGTCCACGGTCACATCCTCAGAATCTTGACTGATTTGACTTCATCATCCGAGAACTTCTGCAAACTCAATTTTCACAAACTATCCAAACTGTTTTTCCATTTTGAGTCGAGTAAACTCTAAATTTTCTGTATTTAGTCTGAAAGTCTGAGATCTGGGAAAAACACCGATCCTCCTGAGAAAAGAGTTTATTCTGATCCACAGATAATAAGAGTCTGATTTATATTTTAGAAAATATAATAATATTTTCTGTTTCCATCAGGTTCTTTTCTACAGATGTAGGTTTTCTGAATTTAGTCCTTGTGAGAGTCAGAAAGGTTCAGAGTCGACATTAGGGAGATTTAAAACCATCAAACAGTCGATTTTTTAAACTGTTATCCAGATTATTCTGTTAAAGTCCTGATAAACTTCTGAGAGGACTCAGATTTCCCCTCTTTAACGTTTCCTCGTTGTTTTTAATAATGATAATAATAATGATAATAATAATAATTAATAATAAAGATAATAATGATCATTATTACTGTCGTTGTTTTTAATAATAATAATAATAATAATAATAATAATGATGATGATTATTACTGTCGTTGTTTTTAATAATAATAATAATAATAAAGATAATATTGATGATTATTACTGTCGTTGTTTTTAATAATGATAATAATAATAAAGATAATATTGATGATTATTCCTGTCGTTGTTTTCAGGAGACAAACGCTTCGAGTGCAGTCAGTGTCAGAAACGCTTCATGAGGAGCGACCACCTGACCAAACATTACAAGACTCACATAAACACCAAGAACCTGTGAGTCCAGGTCAAACAAGGACGGACTCTGAGAGAGTGAAGACCGAGGACCAGAGGAGAGTCTGGGACTGAAAACCCTCCTAAAGGTCCCCGGACCCCCACCCTCCCCCTCTGTAGCGCCGTGTACAAAGAAATCCTCCAAACTCATCCAGCTCCATGATCCACCACGGTTTCTCTGTTTCTGACTGAACCCGGCCAGAACCCGACCAGAACCCGACCCGGCTCTCTTATTTATGGACTTCTCTGAGGGAAGACACCAAGACCAGGACCACAGGACTCCAGTCAGTCCAGGAGACCCTCTCAGTTTTCTCTTCTCTCCAAATGCTGCTCAGTTTTTTGTTTTCGTGTTTCGGTGAAAAAACAGTTTGACTGAAATCCCAGAATCCTCGAAAGTTCGGCAGAATTTTGACGTTTATTTTAGAAATGGGTTTTTATTTCTGGGATTCTCCGAGTTCTTAGATGAGTCGACATTTAGATTATTTAACTTTGGCCTCAACTTTTGGATTCTGAGAGGGAATTTTTAAATCTGTATTTTCAAGATTCAGAGGAAAAAAAGTCTGAATTCAAACTGAAGTTTAAGAATTTCGAGACGTGAATCAAAATTTACCGAAAGACGAAAGGAGTCCGAACTTTAAAAAAGACGTCGGGATTGGGACTTTCTAAGAACGGATTCACGACTTCAGTCAGAGCGAAGACTTCATTTTTTAATTTTCACTTTTAAAAACACTTTGATAAAAACTGAAGTTCGGCCGACTCAGAATCAGAATCCCATTAAAAAAAACGGTAAATTTGTTCTTTGGTCTTAAAACTCTTTTCTTAGAATTCCGACATGAAAGTCAAAAATCGGCTTTTATCTCCGAACTAACTTTAAAAAACAAAAAAAAATCCACTTTTGTTTCAGAAATCTGTGAAATCAGAACAAAGTCCGACTTCAGGACGACGATAAACGGACCTGAGAACGCTTTACTCCGGTCTGTGGTGGTCTGTGGTGGTCTGTGGTGGTCTGTGGTCCCCCAAACTCTCGGCTGGAAAAGGAAAACCCGGTTCTGGATCAGTGCTGACCCGTTCTGTCCTCCCAGATGAGACTGACTCCATTCCAGCGGGACTCTGCTCCTCTGCTTTAACAACACTTCGACCGGATCAACGCTTCGCCGTTCACACGCCTGACTCGACAATCACGCCCTCAGATGGTCGATCACTCTGGACATGACGATGTTTCTCAGCTTTAATCCTGAATTAACAATGAGACCGGACCGGACCGGACCGGACCTGCTGTTCCACATCCTTTTAACCGTTTTTTAAGTATCTGCTGAACTTTGACGAACAGGTCATGGAGTCTGTTCTCTGCTCTTATTTCAGACTCTAACTCCTCGTCTCTCCATCAGAGAAGCTTTTTTTGTGCCATTAGAAGCCCGTGGTCGTTTGTCGTTTCCTCTGTGCTGGTTTTATAAACTGTGACATGTTTGTTAACGGGACGGCGCCGCTTTGCTCGACGTGTAAAAATCTGGAGAAAACACAGAAAATCAACCAAAAAGTTGGAGTCCAGATTTGTCTCGAAGCGTTGTGAAGCCCAAAGGTTTTGACAGCGGCGACTAAAATCAAACATCTGGTGAGAGTTGACTGTGCGGTCTGGAGACGTGGTGATGGCGTTGGGGCGGAGGGGCAGAGCCTGCTCATATTTATGTTTGTTCTTCATGTCTGAACCTGTAAATACATCCAGTGTGTGTCTGTGTGACACGGTAAATGTAGGATATTAGGAAACATCAAGTGAAGCTGCCTGGTGTCGTGGTCGGAGCGCTCAGCCATGAAGGAAACCGACTTTTGTACAGTGTGTAAGGAATAAAATCTAATGTGACCTTGTATAGCTTCATTCCTGCTTTGTATAAGACTTGTAGATCTTTTTTCTATTGAATTAAAGATGCCTCTGACAGCTGCACCCAGTATTTAAAGTTTTTCAATTCAAGGTTACGACATTTGTAAAAAAAACTCTTTTCTGTTTTTAACTTATAATAATGTGATGTGCACTGATAAAAAAAACAGGTACAAATTTGTAAATATAACATTTTCCAAATTAAGATATTTATAACTCTGTTTTTTGTAAGTTTAAAAGCTTTTCCGCCTCCAAATTCAAATGTTATAAATTTTTTCTGCAGTTAGCTTTTTTTTTTTTTTTGAGAACCAGCCGTTTATATTCTCATGTGTAAAGGTGCTAAAATAGAAGTTTGCTCCTTTTCTACACTCACCACTCAATAAAGATCTCAATCTGTCATTCTGCCTCTTTTATTGGCTCCAACTAAAACTACAAACAGATCACATACAGTGGGAAAATAACGTGACCCTGAGGTTCAGAGGTCCATTTAAAAAAGTGGAAACTGATGAAATCACAGACGGGGATCGATGTCTGCTCCACTCCTCGTATCTCTGAACCTCAAACCTCGAGTCATGATCGATCAGGACCGGAAGTTACGATGACCTCAAATTAACAAATAAATAAATAATAAAAATAAATGAGTTAAAAAGCCTTAAACTCCAAAAACTAAAGTTCATTAAACAACTAAATGTCAGACATTAAATGGTCAAAGTAAGAAAGTCAACATCCTTTAACATCATTTATTATTCAATACAAACTAGTTATTAGAGTCAAAATAGAGACAAAACTTTCTTCACACTTCACCGAGTTAGAAACTAAAGATCATTAGAATTTTTCATTTTATTATAATTATCTATTGAATTTTTATTTTCCAATATTTGTTTATAAATGAACAAATTAAAGACAGAAAATATCAAGAGAAAAATCTGAGCTAAAAAAGTTTGAAGAGAAAAATAAGTCATCGTGAAGAGAGCAGAACAAATCAGTTATTTTGGTTAAACAAGCAAATAATAAATCAAAGTAAAGAGAAAATCTGTGTTTGCTGATAGTCCATATATATCTATATCTATAGAAATGCTAGATGTCTTACACACGCTGTTAGCCAATGGAGATCGACCTCTGCGCATGGCGGCCATCTTACTACAGTCAACTCTCTAACGTTCCAGTCTACGGTTCATGTGACATTTAAATAACTATAGATTAATTTTAAACCGATTTTCAAACGGTTTGTTTTGTATCAAACCTCAGAGTTTTAGTTATGTTCCCGCATACTCAAGAATAATTTTAACCATGGATTTACATAAATAAACATTAAACAGATAGGTAGAGTAATAGCTATAGACCTACACACACAAGGCAGTTATATTTAATCATTTATATATAAAACATTTAATCATTCCATGTTATTTAGTAATATTTCTATTATAGGGATAACTATAATTTCATATAACAATAACATTTATAAATATTTATTTTCAATATAAATTTCTGCCTCATGTTTCCATTTTAGATTTTTTAACAAACCAAACAGTTTGGAAATCATGTGTAACTTCAGTTATGTTGAATCTAAAGAGCATTTCTGCCTCTTTAACTGATGTCAAATTACTGGGTCAACTTTGTAACTTTGGTTTCACTCACAGCGAGTCTGTTAGCCAAGTTAGACAGCTGATAAACACAAGACCATCCACAAAGACTGACACTTAAACTGAAAATAGTCTGTCATATAAGAAATTAAAATCTGGATTGTGGTCTCAGCCTTGACAACAGCTGTTCTTCATGATTAAGTCTTTTTTTAATCTCAAAGTAAATCTGTCATTTTAATCTGTCCAAACATCCAGACTCACAGCCTCGTTATTAAAGTCTGTAATAAACTAAACCGTTTATAAATCTGTCAGGATTTCAGAGAGTTTAGAGGATTTTTGATCAGATTACTCACCTCCCGTCAGCTACCATAGAGAGAACCAGAATGGTGTACTGGAGTAAGATGGCCGCCTCATAGAGTCATCTAACCTTTCTTATATCTATGGGTCAGTCCCCTTCTACCTCATCAGAAGGCGACAGGACTGTTTCCTCCCGGTCATGGTTTAGCCGGTAACATTTGAAGGTAATTTTAGTTCATTTTAATGTTATTATTATTTTTTTTAATGATGATTCTCCTCGTTAATGTTGTTGTCAGTCTGTCGTCTGTTTTATATTAGTTTTAGGGTATCGGTATCGGTGAAACGAGCCGATCATGCCGATAGTTTGTGTGTTAAGAATAAAATATATTTGTGTTGTTGTTATTGTTCTGAGGTTGGTTAGTGTGTGTGTGTGTGTGTGTGTGTGTGTGTGTGTGTGTGTGTGTGTGTGTGTGTGTGTGTGTGTGTGTGTGTGTGTGTGTGTGTGTTAGGAACATTGAGGTTGAATAAGTGAACACATGAGAGTTATTCAGCCTCTAAAACGAGCTTTAACAGGATCCTCTGTTTTAATAATTCACCTCCTCTTAATTAAAAAGTTTTAATCATGTCTCCTCTTAAACCGTCAGGGTTAGTCTCTCCTCTTTCTCCCACAGTTCCCGTGAGTCTTTGCTGCTTTTTAACGTCATTTTATTCACTGTTGTGAGGACAGTTCAGCAAGTTAGAGTCAGAGGCAGACATGCGCACTAGGACAACATAAACATAGGACATCTTATCATATCATTCCGTACAGTATCGTAATGTATCGTGTTTTACTGTACCGTATCGTAACGTAAATATAAATGTTCTTTATTATACAACCCTTTCAGTGAACCAAAGTGCTTTACAATACATAGAAAATAAAAATGAATAAACAAAAACAATAACGGCAATAAAAGCAACAGATAAAGAATAAAATACAATGGAATAAAATAAAGTGTCACCGCACTACTGGGTATTTAAAGCCGACATAAATCTGTTTTCAATCGGGATTTAAAAAGGCCCAGATCAGAAATAAGTCTCATCTCAGTGTGGAGTTTATTCCAGTCTGGGAAAAACGTCTCGGCCCCCCAGTGTTTGTGTTTTGACCTCCAGCAGACGTCAGTTTGACGACCTCAAAGCTCCTGAACAGTTAAAATCTCAGATAAATAGACGGGGGCGAGGCTTTTAAAAGAGCTTTAAAAACAAACATTAAAAGTTTAAAATCAAACCTAAAGAGACGAGAAGACGATGAAGGACAGGAGTGATGAGCTCACGTCTGTTAGTGTTCAAAGACGGGCGGCAGTATTTTGGACAAGGAGACTTAGAGATGATCGGGAGATGCCGACATAAAGTGAATTACAATAGTCTGATCTTAAACTGATTAGAGCGTGGTCGGTGATCTCGATGTGTCGTACCGTACCGACTCATAACCCAGTTATCACTGTCTCTCTCTCGACCCTCCACCCCGTGAACCCTGACCTCTGCAGATATTTCCCACCCTGATGGCGGTCAAACAGGAGGGAGGATGAGTGAGTTCAGGCCGGCAGAGCTGCTTGCTGGTCTCTGCCACACAGACCAGCAGGACCCTCTCCCCGTCTGGCAGGATGGGACCGTCAGTCCCTGTTTTAACCAGCTGGTCCTGGGCGCTCTGCCTCACGCAGGGATGGCTGTTTTCAGCGCCTGCTACCTCAGCGTGGCGAGGTAGGTCACACACCCAACAACCCGAAGTAGGAAAGTCTTTCCTCACATCGATCTCAGTCGTTTGAAACCTGATCTTTGACAGCAGCTGTGGTCCTGATCTTCTGGAGTCTGTCTGCGGTTGTTTCTCGCTGTGTTGTTTTAATATTACTGACATTTGACCTTTTTCTGGCGCCACTTAGTTTGAAATGAAGGGTAGTAGCCTTTGGATTTCAGGAAGCGTTAAAGTTAATCATAGATTTGTGTCCCGTATTTGTGTTTCTCTAAGACCGTGAAGGTTCTCCTCATGTTGTTTCCTTCATGAGCTGAAATCAGCAGCCGTGTCCTCGTCTCTAACGCTCTCCTCTCCTCTGAAAGTATAAATGTGTCTCAGCTCATCTTTCTTCGGTCCTACAGATCGGACCTCCTGCAGTCGTCTCCTCCCTGTGGTTGGACGCTCAGGTTGGGGTCTGCTCTCCTGGCTATGCTGCTCTTCGCTGCAGACGTGGTCCTGGTGGGTCTCCTCCAGCAGGGGGACATGTTCATGGACGTCCTCGCCGACAGCTGTGCCGTCCTGGCCTGGCTGCTCCACCTCAGTGCCATTCTGGTGCTGCAGAGGACGGCGTTCAGAAGGACCAGAGGACCCACCCTGCTGCTCCTGCTGGTTCTTCTGTCTGTACCAAACCTGGTCTTCACTTTGATGATTTCCTGGAACCATCAGGACTACGTGGACTTTACAGAACCTCTTAAATTCGCTCGCTTTGTCCTGGCCTCGGTGCGCTCACTCCCTCTCCTGGTCTATCTTCTCGCCTTCGCGTTCCCCTGCGTCGGTGATGTTGGATATACTCTGCACATAAACGAAGAGGACGGACCGCGGATCATCGGCGGGAGGGAGACGCCGGATACGGGTGAGATGGTGGCTGAGGACGGGAGCGGCGGCCTGTCTCGGCTCTTCTACCTGTGGCTGACTCCTCTGCTCAGACGAGGACAGCGAGGAGAGCTGGACTCACCTGCAGATGTTTATCACCTCCCTCGAAAACTGCGGACCAGCGTGGTGTGTCGGTACTTCCACCAGTGCTGGGAGGCCTGCAGGCGAGGGGGGGCGGTGAGTGAGGGGCAGGACCCGTGGCCCAGACCGGTGAGCAGGAACCTTCTGAGCGGGACCTGGAGTTCTCACTACCAGGAGGAACCTCTGGAGCTGGAGGGGGATGTGGGCCTGCTGAGGGTGCTGCACAAGGCGTTCGGGCCGAGGTTCTACATCCTGGGTGTGCTGAAGGTGGGCGTGAACATGCTGAGCTTCGCAGGACCCCTCCTCCTCAGCAGTCTGGTGAACTTCATGGAGGAGGAGGGAGCGCCGGTCAGCCGGGGGGTCTGGTGCGCTCTGGGACTCTTTGCCTCCGCTCTTCTGACCTCCGTCCTCAGAAACATCTTCGTCTTCCAGGTGTCAAAGGTGGCGCTGTCGGCCCGCGCCGCTCTGGTGTCGGCCATCTACGCCAAAGCCCTGCGGGTCAGCGGCAGCAGCCTGGCCGGCTTCACTCTGGGCGAGGTGGTGAACTTGATGAGCACGGACACGGACCGGGTCATGAACTTCTTCAACAGCTTCCACGAGCTGTGGAGTCTACCCTTCACCTTCAGCATCACCCTCTACCTGCTGTACCTGCAGGTGGGCGTGGCCTTCCTCGGAGGGCTGTGTGTGGCGCTGCTTCTGGTGCCTTTCAACAAGTTCCTCGCTTCCCGTATCCTCAGCAACAACAAGCAGATGCTGCGGCACAAAGACCGCCGAGTCAAGGTGAGAACAGATCTATGGATGTAGATCTGCAAACATCTGGACAGATCTGTGATTTTATCGGTTTAACGGCTGAAAAGTTTTCAGGTTCAGTTCATTAAAGGATCGCTCTGCTGCCCCTACTGTCCCAAAAAAAAAACACACCATGGTCTTATTCACAGAGCGCGTGTGAAAGAGTTAACTGCACCACAAACTGCACCGGAGCTCGTCTCTTAGTCTTTCTTTTCCCGTCTCTAATAATGAGATACAAAAGCAAACAGACCATTACTGAGCGTCAATTAATCAATCAATCAATCAAACTTTATTGTAAAGCACTTTTCATACATATAATGTAGCAAAAACTGCTGTAAATTCACAGGATATTAAAAAACAATGAAATAAAATAAATACAAATAAAAATACACAAGTCCACCCTCCAAACCCCCATTCAACACACACACACACACACACACACACACACACACACACACACACACACACACACACACACACACACACTCACACACACACACAGGTGAGGACTCTGGATTTTGGACTAAAACGATAAAACCAAAATAAAATATAATAAAGGTGATAAAGTGTTAAAGGTGGAGTCAGCAGGAATCTGTTAGAGAAGCATATTTTTATTTTTTTGTGTATTTACAAAAACTCTTCTAATATCAGTCAATAGTTCTTAGTTATTGATTATTTGGTAATATATCGATATCTCTGTGTTCTCTTCTGTCTGTGACGTCAACATTTGAACGTTTCTGAGCGGTCCGCTCTTTCTGACTGTAAACAGCTCTGCAGGTCGGCTGTTCCACAGATGGGGACCGTAATGTTGGAACGATGATTCACCGAATGTTTTAGTTTTTACTTTGGGAAAATTAAAAGACCTGAAGACCTGAGGGCTCGACCCGGACCGTAATGTTGGAACGATGATTCACCGAATGTTTTAGTTTTTACTTTGGGAAAATTAAAAGACCTGAAGACCTGAGGGCTCGACCGGGATCATAGAATAAAACAAGAAGGACCATGAAGAGCTTTAAAAACTAATAACAGAACCTTAAAATGGACTCTAAAATTAGACACAAAGGGAACCAACGCAGAGATTTTAAAACTGGTTTCAGCAGCTGAAGCTGTGAGATGTTCTTTATATGAAGACCAGAAAGGAGAGCGTTGCAATAGTCAATTCTACAGGTGATAAAAGCATGATGAAGAGTCTCTGCATTGGTTTAAGAGAGAAACTGGTGCACTCTGGTGTCAGGATGAGAGTGCTCAGCGCAGCTCTGTACAGCCCAGTGATCCACCATCCTCTTAGAAATCCAGAAACTAGAACGACCAGACTTCCTGAAACAGATCCAGCTGATTTCAGAATTTCACTGCCAACGGTTCGACCTGCGTCTCGGTGTCACAGTCTCTACTAGAGTCCAGAACCCTGAACCCCCAGAACCCTCCATTAAACACTTTTTATCAAGACTCCTAAAAAACACGACACAGGTTTAGATGTTTCCTTGGATCTTCTTCGATCTTCTGGCAGACGAACCCTGACTGACGTAAATAAAGACGTTCAGAGTTCCTCCAGAAGTTCTACATCCTAAACTCGTAGATTTGTTTCTTCCAGTTGATGACGGAGATCCTCTTCGGGATTCGTGTCATCAAGTTCTACGCCTGGGAGCCTCATTTCGCTCAGAAGGTCTCCGAGTGTCGTGGACAGGAGCTGTCTCACCTCAAAGCCATCAAATACCTGGATGCTCTGTGTGTTTACACCTGGGCCGCTCTGCCTGTGGTCATCTCCATCCTCACCTTCGTCACCTTCGTCCTGCTGGGACATCAGCTGACCGCCGCCAAGGTGAGGAAGACGTTTTACTGAACGCCTCGATGTCAGAGTCCTGGTGAGGGTTTTCTTGTTCGTAAGAACATCAGCAAATCGATGAGTTTCACATCTTTGTCCACAGGGGGCGCCAAAGTTCAGAGAAAGTTCCCGCAGCGTCTCACATGAGCTGAGGAAAGTTCAGGGATGTGGTTGGATGTTGTTTTGAGTAACGATGAGAAATATCTCGATGGTGTCGATGAGGTTTTTCTCCTCAGATCTGGACTTTGATTCGTGGTTCAGTCGATTTTCTTTAAACATGATTTTAATAATGATGATGATGATGATGATGATGATGAGTCGTATATTTGCACCAACTCTTCGGTTTCCTCTCTCGACCCCGGACTCACTCATCAGTCTGTCCAGAGTCTGTGGTCTGAAGACCAGCAGACGGACTCGTGTTTCCTGGTAACGTTCAGACTCCTGGTCCCTCTGCAGGTCTTCACCACCCTGGCTCTGGTGGGAATGCTGATCGTCCCGCTCAACGCCTTCCCCTGGGTCCTCAACGGGATCCTGGAGGCCAAAGTGTCTCTGGAGCGGATCCAACGCTTCTTCAAAGTGACCAACCAGGATCTTCAGGCGTACTACGCCCTGGGTGAGCTGCTGTGGACCTAAACTACCTACCTGTCTGTCTACTGATCAACATATCTATCTGTCTGTCTGTCTGTCCGTCCGTCTCAGTGACCCCTGAAGACGCTCAGACCTCGGTCCTCCTGAGTCAGGGGAAGTTTTCCTGGCAGGGACCCGACAGTCCAAACCAGAACCAGAACCAGAACCACCAGAGAGAGAGTGGGAGTGGAGCAGCCAAAGGGGGTCTGCTGCTGCACAGTCTGGATCTACACATCACCAAGGTAGCAGCAGAAACATCGTGAGGACAGGAGGGGGCGCTCCTCCTCCCCCCTGAACCTTCAGACCGACGAATCACTGAGTCACTGACCGATTCATGTTCAGAGTTAAAGGCGTAAAAATAAAGTTTTATTCAAACCCACCGTAACACCGAGTTAGACCCCGCCTCCAGAGATGAATGTTGTCGACCGCTTACTTCTCTAGTTAAACCAACTTTAGTAACGACCGCAGGATAGAAATACAGAGAGGTCTACAGAGAGGTCTACAGAGAGGTCTACAGAGAGGTCTACAGAGAGGTCTATAGAGAGGTCTATAGAGAGGTCTACAGAGAGGTCTACAGTGAGGTCTATAGAGAGGTCTACAGAGAGGTCTACAGAGAGGTCTACAGAGAGGTCTATAGAGAGGTCTACAGAGAGGTCTACAGAGAGGTCTATAGAGAGGTCTACAGAGAGGTCTATAGAGAGGTCTATAGAGAGGTCTACAGAGAGGTCTATAGAGAGGTCTACAGAGAGGTCTATAGAGAGGTCTACAGAGAGGTCTACAGAGAGGTCTATAGAGAGGTCTACAGAGAGGTCTATAGAGAGGTCTACAGAGAGGTCTATAGAGAGGTCTATAGAGAGGTCTACAGAGAGGTCTACAGAGAGGTCTATAGAGAGGTCTAAAGAGAGGTCTACAGAGAGGTCTACAGAGAGGTCTACAGAGAGGTCTACAGAGAGGTCTATAGAGAGGTCTATAGAGAGGTCTACAGAGAGGTCTATAGAGAGGTCTACAGAGAGGTCTAAAGAGAGGTCTATAGAGAGGTCTATAGAGAGGTCTGTCGGTGTCACGGCGGGTTAGACCCCTCATTAATTTTAAAACCAGATGATCCCTCTGAAGGAGCTCTGACCTTGTGGACTCTCTGGTCTGCAGGGATCTCTGGTGGTGGTGGTCGGCAGGGTCGGCTGTGGGAAGAGTTCCTTACTGGCAGCTCTTACAGGAGAACTCAGCAGGTACCGAACTTCAACCTCTGACCTCTGAAGGTCCATGTGACCTCCATGAGTTCTAGACGTTTGAGCAGGAAGTCCAAGTTTCCTGAGTCGTCTCCGTCTCCTCAGATGGGACACTAAAGTCCTCCTCATGTCTGTTCAGGCTGAGTGGCGTGGTGTTCGTCGCAGACAGGGAGGCGGGTTTCGGTTTGGCGTCTCAGGAGCCGTGGATCCAGCATGCATCAGTCCGGGACAACATCCTCTTTGGTAAAGTCTACGACCCCGCCTTCTACCAGGCCGTGATCGAAGCCTGCGCTCTGTCAGACGACCTCAACGTAAGTCCGTGTTCAGAGTTTGAGGGTTGGTCAGACCGGCTCAAAGGGGCGGGGTTAGAGTTCTTCTGGAATCATCAGGGTGGTTCAGAGTCTGACGTTGATTTGTCTTCAGGTTTTGCCAAACGGAGATAAAACGGAGGTCGGCGAGAACGGCGTGACTCTGAGCGGAGGACAGAAGGCTCGACTCGCCCTCGCCAGAGCTGTTTACATGGTCAGTCCTCGCCGTCTGCTCCGAACACGGAGATGGTTCAGACACACGCACACACACGGGTCAGACCCCGCCCTGCTCATCTTGTGACCTCCTCCATATTCCGTGTCCTCCTCAGGACAAAGACATCTACCTCCTGGACGACCCGCTGGCGGCCGTCGACCCCGATGTGGCCGACCACCTGATGAAGAAATGCATCATGGAGCTGCTGAGGGGAAAGACCAGAATCCTTTGCACCCACCGCGTTGAGTTTGTGGACAAAGCGGACCTGGTGGTCCTGATGGAAAACGGGACCATCGTTAAGACCGGTGAGAACGCCAACGGGTCAGAGGGTCAGAGAATCCTTCAAAATAAACTTCCTGTCAGAGAGTCCTTCAAAATAAACTTCCTGTCAGAGAATCCTTCAAAATAAACTTCCTGTCTGTTAGAAAGTCCGACCGGGTTCTGTGGTGGTTCTGTTCTGATCCTGGTCCACTGAAGGGGGTCAGCGGACTAACCAAATCCTCTTCTTTTCTGTCAAACAGGAACGCCGTCAGAGGTCCTTCCTCTGGTGGAGGCGGGGCCAAAAAAACAGAAGGATGACCACAACAGGAAGGAGAAAGGTGTGTCCGCCTGACCTCGCTGCTGCTGGGTCAGGGGTCAGAGATCTCCAGGGTTGACCTCTAACCCTCACTGTAGACACGCCCCCTTCATTAACGCGGACCCATTATTGGACCCTCTTTGTTTTCGTCATCAGACGGCGTGGAGCAGGACGGCGAGGACTCGGGTCCACCTCCTGATCCATGTTCAGATGAAGACCCTGACCTGTCGGGGGCGGAGCAGAAGCAGACGGGCGGGCTGGCGTGGAGAGTCTACAGGACGTACTGGGCTGCTGTGGGCGGAGTCTTGGCCACCTCCATCCTGATGTCCCTGCTCCTCATGCAAGGTTCGAGTCCTCCTCCTGAAGGTCCCGCCTCCTCCGCCTCTGATTGGCTGTGAAACGTCATCACACACTCAAGCCTAATGCTAACCCTAACCCGACAGACGATGGCGTTTCACAGCCAGAAGGAATAACCAATCAGAGCCCAGCACTTCTAGCCAATCAGAGGCGAAGGAGGCGGGACCTTCCCCTACCATCCTGTTCAGGTCTCTGTGAGCGTGACGCCAGTAAAGAAGGGGGCGGAGCCTGAGCAGACCACGCCCCTCAGTAACAGATGCTCATTGGTCGAAGTGTCTTTATTGATGGATCTGTTTGTTTCTGCGGTCCAGCCTCCAAGAACGTCTCTGATTGGTGGTTATCTCACTGGATCTCGGCGCTGAAGCCGGAGAACGGTTCTTCAGCTCCTCCAGGTCCAGGTCCAGGTCCAGGTCCAGGTCTAGGGTTCAGCTCAGCTCCCCTGCTGCTCTTCTCACCTGTGGGGTTCAGGTAAGTCGCCTCAGTTTTTCCTACTGAACCAGAACTGAACGGATTCAAGATCCAGTTCTTGTGGACCATCAACCTCCTGAGGATCCAAGTCAGCACAGGCTGACCCAGTTCTTCAGAACCCGGAACAAGCAGCGAGTCCAGAATGGACCTGAGAGTCTGAACATCTACGTGTTTTAGACACGTCGATTTTATTTATCGTCCAAGTTTTTTTTTTTATAAGTTCAAATAAAATTTTTTTTGATTTTTCAGTTTAAAAAACAGAAAAGTGAGAAAACGGTCGGATAGAATTCGGACAGAGTTCGGACAGAGTTCGGACAGTGAGCGAGTTTATTCTAACCATGAGGTTCTTTTTGTCCGATTTATCCAGCAGTCAGAATCTAGTCAGTCTGTGTCTATGCTGCAGAGATCTGACCCACTCCTGATCTGAACCGGATCATCTGAACCGGATCATATTCAGGTCTTTATGAACTCATGAAGAACTTCTGGACCTCCTCCTCCTCCTCCTCCTCCTCCTCCTCCTCCTCCTCCTCCTCTCACTGATTGATCATTTTTTATATGATCGTCATTTTTCCTCGATTTGACGTTTTTTCCTGAAAACTAAATGAAATCACTCCTTTCTCCTCTCTCCCCTCCTCTCCTCCTCTCCTCTCCTCTTCTCCTCCTCTCCTCTCCTCCTCCTCTCCTCTCTCCTCTCCTCTCCTCTCCTCTCCTCTCCTCTCCTCCCTCTCTCTCCTCCTCTCCTCTCCTCCTCTCCTCTCCTCTCTCTCCTCCCCTCCTCTCCTCTCCTCCTCTCCTCTCCTCTCTCTCCTCTCCCTCCTCTCCTCCTCCCCTCCTCCTCCTCTCCTCCCCTCCTCTCCTCTCCTCCTCCCTCCCCTCCTCTCCTCTCCTCCTCTCCTCTCCTCTCCTCTCTCTCCTCCTCTCCTCTCCTCCTCTCCTCCTCCTCCTGGTCCAGTTCTCCTCTGCTCCTCTCTGTAGGAACATCTCCTCTGACCAACCTGAGCTCTGATGTCAGATTTTACCTGCTGGTGTACGGCTCCATCGCTGCAGCGAACACCGTCTTCACCGCCCTCCGAGCTTTCCTCTTTGCCTACGGCGCCATCTGTGCCGCCCAGACCATCCACCACAGACTGCTGGACCGGGTCCTGAAGGTGGGTCACATGAGCTTTCAGCCCTCCTCGACCTCTTGAGGGTGACGGTGAGAGCTGACCCCCGACCTCCACCTTCATCCTGATCGTCTCCTAAAAGGTCGTATCCTCCGATCGTAGCTGATCGTAACCATTCAAGTTAACGTGTCAATTTACACCGACTTCTTTCTGGACGCCGGAGCATGGCGGATAAATTCAGCACAGATTAACCCGTGCTGGAAAGGAAGTCGGGCACAGACTTCAAAATAAAACATCCGGCTTCTTTTCAAAATAAAACACTCGGAGACGAACAAGTGAAAGGTTTTTAGACGTCATTTCACCCCGATGACACCATGGATGAGGAGATGCTGATTCTAGAAGTCTAGAAGTAGATTTCCTCCTCTGGAAGGACACAATCTACTGCTTATATGTCTATGTGTCTGTCTTTAGAGAGACGACTCGTTATCATGAGATTAAACGTGAATCTGCAGGTTCTTGTGAGTTCTCATGATTACTGCTGTTCATAATTCAGATCTAGCAGGAATTGGTGGACCGCGAAAATCGCCACCGTTCCGGATGCGTGGGGTAAGGCGGAGTTATCTGTCGCCCAGCTCTCTCCTCTGATTGGTCAGAACCTCTCAGTCCGGATCGGTTCATTTTCTCCTGTTGTTGAACTTTTTGGACCTTCTGATCTTCTGGTCATGTTTGCTCGTCCCTCAGGCCACGGTGACCTTCTTCGACTCCACCCCCATGGGTCGAGTCCTGAACCGCTTCTCCTCGGACCTGTACAGCGTGGACGACAGTCTGCCCTTCATCCTCAACATCCTGCTGGCCAACGTCTTCGGCCTTCTGGGGATGCTGGTGGTGATCAGCGCCGGCCTCCCCTGGGTCCTCGTGCCCCTGCTGCCCCTCGCTCTGCTCTACCACCGCACTCAGCACTTCTACAGACACACCTCCCGCGAGCTGAAGCGTCTGTGCAGCCTCACCCTGTCGCCCGTCTACTCGCACTTCTCTGAGACGCTGACGGGGCTGGGGACCATCCGGGCCAGCGGCAGCTCAGCCAGGTGAGCCGAGACCCTCTCCAGAGTGATCCACATCCGTTTAATGAGGGTCCTGGATCTGGGGTCCTGCTGCAGGGTCAGGGTCAGGGTCAGGGTCTCCTTTCTTGTTGTTTCAGGTTCGAGGAGGAGAACGCCCGACGTCTGGAGCAGAACCAGCGATGTCTGTTCCTCAGCAACGCCGCCATGCAGTGGCTGGACATCCGCCTGCAGCTGATTGGTGTTGCCGTGGTGACGGGTCTGGGGGTGATTGCGGTCGTCCAGCATCAGTTGAAGTCTGTGGATCCAGGTGAGTCCTCAGGTGGATTTGGTTTGGGTCGTATTGAAGGGTCGTTGTGGTCCAGCCTGGTTCTGTGTCTGTGTGGTCTCGCTCAGGTCTGGTGGGACTGTCCCTGTCCTACGCTCTGTCCATCACCTCGCTGCTGTCCGGCCTCATCTTCAGCTTCACTCAGACCGAGATGCAGCTGGTGAGCGTGGAGAGGACCGAGGAGTACTCCACCGGACTCCCCACTGAGCCCGAGCAGCAGAACACACAGGTGAGACCAGAACACAGGTGAGACCAGAACCTGCAGACCAGAACAAGGATCAACCTCTTCAGTCAGACCCTGAAGGGCCGACGTAGACCCAGTCATGTGACTAACCTGTTGGAGATCTTCCTCCAGATCTTTGTTTTCAGTTTCTGAACTTTTTAACTTTTTAACTTGTCTTTAATGTGAACCTCCCTCACTCCCTCACTCCCTCCCTCACTCCCTCACTCACTCACTCACTCCCTCACTCCCTCCCTCACTCACTCACTCCCTCACTCACTCCCTCACTCCCTCCCTCACTCACTCACTCCCTCACTCCCTCCCTCACTCACTCACTCACTCACTCACTCCCTCACTCACTCACTCACTCACTCACTCACTCACTCACTCACTCACTCACTCACTCACTCACTCACTCACTCCTTACTCCCTCCCTCCCTCACTCACTCACTCACTCCCTCACTCCCTCCCTCACTCACTCACTCCTCACTCCCTCCCTCCCTCCCTCCCTCCCTCACTCCCTCCCTCCCTCACTCACTCACTCACTCACTCACTCACTCCTCACTCCCTCCCTCCCTCACTCACTCACTCACTCCCTCACTCACTCACTCACTCACTCCCTCACTCCCTCCCTCACTCACTCACTCCCTCCCTCACTCACTCACTCACTCACTCCCTCACTCCCTCCCTCACTCACTCACTCACTCACTCACTCCCTCACTCCCTCCCTCACTCACTCACTCACTCACTCCCTCACTCACTCACTCACTCACTCACTCACTCACTCACTCACTCACTCACTCACTCACTCACTCCCTCACTCCCTCCCTCACTCACTCACTCACTCACTCACTCCCTCACTCACTCCCTCACTCACTCACTCACTCACTCACTCACTCACTCACTCCCTCACTCACTCCCTCACTCACTCACTCACTCACTCACTCACTCACTCACTCACTCCTCACTCCCTCCCTCACTCCCTCACTCCCTCCTCTCCCTCCCTCACTCACTCCCTCACTCACTCACTCACTCCCTCCCTCACTCACTCACTCACTCACTCACTCACTCATTGGTCTGTCTGCCCCCGCCCCCTTGACCTCCAGCTGACCCCTGCCTGGCCTGAGCAGGGCTGGTTGGAGTTCCGTGATGTGGTCCTGGTCTACAGAGAAGGTCTCCCTAACGCTCTGGACCGGGTCAGTCTGGTGGTCAGGCCTGGAGAGAAGGTGGGCATCGTGGGCCGCACAGGTTCTGGAAAGTCGACCCTGTTCTTGGCCCTGTTCAGGATGGTGGAGGTGAACCAGGGCCAGATCCTCCTGGATGGACTGGACATCGGCTCTGTGGACCTGGCTCAGCTCAGGTAGGTTCTGAATTCAGACTTTGATGGTCCCGACGGTTTATCTACAGAATACTGTTTTTGAATCTGTCCTCGTCGTGTCGGCGCCCCCTGCAGGTCCAGACTGGCCATCATTCCTCAGGATCCCTTCCTCTTCAGCGGGACCATCAGGGAGAATCTGGACCCATGTGGGCGGCACTCGGACCTGCAGCTGCTGGAGGTCCTGGATCAGTGTCACCTGAGCGCCGTGGTCCAGAGGACAGGTGAGACACGGTTGCTCGGTAACCTGAGGTGTGTCTGTTCTGACTTCCTGTCCCTGACTTGATGTTTGTGTGTCAGGTGGTCTGGACGCCGAGGTCGGGGAGCGGGGTCGAACCTTCTCTGTGGGACAACGACAGCTGCTGTGTCTCGCTCGAGCTCTGCTGACTCAGGCCAAGGTGAGACTCCTTACCTGAGGTTTACAGTGAGAGTAAAAGGGGGCGTGGTCAGAGGACGGGGGTCGTTCTCTCTGTGTGATCCTGTTACAGGATCCTGACCCGGTAAATAAACCGGACTCAGTTATTTGGACTGAACCACTTCTTCTCTGTAATTCTGCGACTCTCATTTCTCCTCCTGAAAACGTTTCTCTCCGATCTCCTTCCTCTCCGATCTTCTTCCTCTCCGATCTCCTTCCTCTCCGATCTTCTTCCTCTCCGATCTTCTTCCTCTCCGATCCTCTTCCTCTCCGATCTTCTTCCTCTCCGATCTCCTTCCTCTCCGATCTTCCTCCTCTCCGATCTTCTTCCTCTCTGATCTTCTTCCTCTCCGATCTTCTTCCTCTCCGATCTTCTTCCTCTCCGATCTTTTTCCTCTCCGATCTTCTTCCTCTCCGATCTCCTTCCTCTCCGATCTTCTTCCTCTCCGATCTCCTTCCTCTCCGATCTCCTTCCTCTCCGATCTTCTTCCTCTCCGATCTCCTTCCTCTCCGATCTTCTTCCTCTCCGATCTTCTTCCTCTCCGATCTTCTTCCTCTCCGATCCTCTTCCTCTCCGATCTTCTTCCTCTCCGATCTCCTTCCTCTCCGATCTTCTTCCTCTCCGATCTCCTTCCTCTCCGATCTTCTTCCTCTCCGATCTTCTTCCTCTCCGATCCTCTTCCTCTCCGATCTTCTTCCTCTCCGATCTCCTTCCTCTCCGATCTTCTTCCTCTCCGATCTCCTTCCTCTCCGATCTTCTTCCTCTCCGATCTTCTTCCTCTCCGATCTTCTTCCTCTCCGATCTTCCTCTCCGATCTTCTTCCTCTCCGATCTCCTTCCTCTCCGATCCTCTTCCTCTCCGATCCTCTTCCTCTCCGATCTCCTTCCTCTCCGATCTTCTTCCTCTCCGATCTTCTTCCTCTCCGATCTTCTTCCTCTCCGATCTTCTTCCTCTCCGATCTTCTTCCTCTCCGATCCTTTTCCTCTCCGATCTTCTTCCTCTCCGATCTTCTTCCTCTCCGATCTTCTTCCTCTCCGATCCTCTTCCTCTCCGATCTCCTTCCTCTCTGATCTCCTTCCTCTCCGATCTTCTTCCTCTCCGATCTTCTTCCTCTCTAAACCGTCCGTTGAGGTTTCGGTTCGTTACATCTGTGACTCGTTGACTCATCAGTCCAGTTTGCCGACAGATCGGAGTCGACGCTCGTTTAGAAGTGAGCGTGTTCTGGTTTTGCTCTTATCGTCTGTCTGGTTCTGACACTGAATCTGACGCCTTATCTGACCGCACATGCGGAGCGGACCCCGACAGAGTGATTGGTTACCTTGACAACCAGAAACAGTTCCCACAAAATCTTTAAATGTATTATTTTCGTTGCTCTTGGGGGCCCCCTACTGGGCCGACTCTGTGTAAACCACCAAACCTGATCTTCGAGTTCCTCAGAGACACCTGTAAGATCCTGGTTTCTCCTGGTCCTGCAGGTTCTGTGTATGGATGAAGCCACAGCCAGCGTGGACCAGAAGACCGACCAACTTCTGCAGCAGACCATCAGAGAGACCTTCAAGGAGAAGACCGTCCTCACCATCGCTCACCGGTTCAGACTGGTTTCTACATGCAGGTCTTTCTTCTCTGGTCTGTTGGTTTCAGGTTTCTAAAAGTCTCTCATTTCTGGTCTCCAGGATCGACACCATCATGGACTGTGACAGAGTTCTGGTGATGCATGCTGGGAAGGTGGTGGAGTTCGACTCTCCGACCGCTCTCTGTCAAAGCGACCGCTCCATCTTTCAGAGGCTGGTGGGTCAGAGAGGAGAGTCCAGGTGACTGAGAGGACCCTGGAGGGAGGAACCTCATCTCTAAGGGACTCTTGGTACCTGGATCCTGGATCCTGGATCCTGGAGATGTTTGTGGAGAAGCTGCTGCAGTTTCAGAACCTTCAGTCCTCCTGAACTTGGACTCTTCTGAGGGATTATTCAGGGTCTCCAGAGTTGAATTGGACTGTGGGAACATTTCTGAACCTCTGAGGACAAACAGGAAGTGTTTGGGTTTTAGAGATGGTCACACAACTATGTGTAAAATTTAGGGTCATGACCTTCAAGAGCAGACGAGAGCGTCAGCTGAGAGTCTGTTTGACTGAAGAAACCGTCTTTATCAGATCATCATCAGAAACTCAGACTCACCTCAGAGTCCACATCAGCGCCAACGTCCCGGGTCGCTCTCTCTCTCTCTCTCTCTCTCTCGCTCTCTCTCTCTCTCTCTCTCTCCGTCTCTCTCGCTCCGTCTCTCTCTCTCTCTCTCTCTCTCTCTCTCTCTCTCTCTCTCTCTCCCTCCCTCCCTCCCTCTCTCTCTCTCTCTCTCTCTCTCTCTCTCCCTCCCTCTCCCTCCCTCTCTCTCTCTCTCTCTCTCTCTCTCTCTCTCTCTCTCTCTCTCTCTCTCTCTCTCTCTCTCTCTCTCTCTCTCTCTCTCTCTCTCTCCCTCTCTCTCTCTCTCCCTCCCTCCCTCCCTCCCTCTCTCTCTCTGTCTCTCTCTCTCTCTTTCTCTCTCCCTCTCTCTCTCCCTCCCTCTCTCTCTCCCTCTCTCTCTCTCTCTCTGTCTCTCTCTCTCTCATTCTCTCTCCCTCTCTCTCTCCCTCCCTCTCTCTCTCTCTCTCTCTCTCTCTCTCTGTCTCTCTCTCTCTCCCTCTCTCTCTCTCTCTCTCTGTCTCTCTCTCTCTCCCTCTCTCTGTCTCTCTCTCTCTCTCTCTCTCTCGTCCCTCTCTCTCTCTCTCTCTCTCTCTCTCTCTCTCTCTCTCTCTCTCTCTCTTTCTCTGTCTCTCCTTCTCTCTCTCTCCCTCTCTCTCTCTCTGTCTCTCCTTCTCTCTCTCTCTCTCCCTCTCTCTCTGTCTCTCCCTCTCTCTCTCTCTCTCTCTCTCACACCAAAAATGAAGGAAAACTAAAGGGAGATCTTGTCTTTGACATTTTCACCAAAGTTCATTCAGATTCTCGGTCACAGACGATTCTTTAAAAGTGACTTTTAAACATTAAACTGATTTGATTTGATGATGTTTAAATATTTGGATGTTATTTCAGTGTGAGGAGAGGTTCAGCCGAACGTCGTGAAGATGTTTGAGTCTCTGAGTTCAGAGGAGAGTTTGAAACACTGACGGTCAAAACTGAGAGTCGATACTCCGATCAGAACAATAATAACAATAATAAAGATGAAGATGATGTGGGACTGATGAAGGAGTATCTATAAACCACAGTAATGAATGAAGCTGTTCAATAATCAAAGTTCAAAGGTCGCTGGTTCTTGGTCTGAATCCTGTTTTAATGGGTCGGTGTTCCTCAGGGCAGCGGTTTGGGTCTCCTGATGTTTGTGTTCTCATGTTTATGTTTGGGGGATAATGTCGACCCGTCTCTTTATTTTCAGAATCAGAACCTTTAATTTTGGGTTTTGTCCTTAAATTATTCAGAGTCATCAGAGTTTTTCTCTGTTATTAAACTCCAATAAATCCGTTTCTCTTGTCATCAAACATGTTTGTTTTCTTCTGAGAACAAAGTGGTTCTTATGTAACATCGGAGAGCGTACCTGTTCAGGTCTGATTATATAATCCTGAGTGAGACTTCTCTTTTCTCTCCATCCAGATTCACACAGACAGTCTTTGTCACCGACAGGCGACTGTAATCAGAGTGACTCACGCCGTGGAGGCCGGCCGCCCCTCCCTGGGAACAGGTGAGCATTCTTCTCACCTGAGCGAACCCAGTCTGTTCTGAGGGGGGCGTGTCAGGGATGTGGTTTTCTGCTCCAAGAACCGACATCCAAGTATCTGAGTGTTTTATGTCAGTGAAGTGTGAGGGTTGACAGAGAAGAGAAACCGTGTTAGAGAGAAGAAGAGGAGGTGAGTTTAGTGGAGGAACATTCAGAGTAAAAAGATGTTCAAAAATTCACTAAAGTTAAAGAAAGTTCAAGAAAATCAGAGTCGGTCAGGAGGGCGGGACCGAACCTGCAGCTGTTTGTGTTTGTGTGCGTACGAGCTGCAGGTGTGTGTTCGTCAGGGTGTGTTTGCATGAGGGTGTGTGAGGTGAACATGTGTGTGTCTGTGTGTGTGTGTGTGTTTCTCCTCTGACAGTTAATGGACGCAGGAGTTCAAACCTGTTTGTCTGCTTTGAAGAAAGTATTCGTCCAACTGACGGGCGCTCCTCTCCTCACTCTCTGTCACCTGCTGAGCAGACAGCATGGACTGATACCTCTGGGATCAAACTCTGGGACACAGAACCAGAACCCCGTCCTGATGGACCCCCAGGTCAGTTTCATTTATGAGACGTCTTTACAGCGCTGGGTCTCAGGGTTCTTGTTCCTGTCTGGTCCGGTGTTTGCGAGTTTTTAGTTGCTGGGGTTGCAGTTTCGGTCAAGTTTCAGTGGCTGTGTTAGTAAACTGGACTCCTGGTCTCTCTGGTTCTTTCTAAGTTCTTCTTTCAGGTGTCTTCAGTGTTTCTAAATCTTCTCCTTTCTCCCTCTTTGTCCGACCTGCAGACAGAAACCTTCATTTCTGCTTCTTCTCCTGAACCTTTTTTTTTTATCCCTAATATCTCAGTCAGTTTTTCCTAAATAACTCTGTATTTTGATGCTCAGACGTGGCTTACACTCGCACTTTAAAGTCAACATGCTCTTATTATTATTATCAGAATCTACAGATCCTCTGCTTTAAATCTGCTGATGTTACAAGATCTGTGTTTCTGATATTATCCAAAAGCCTTTCTGCTTCTCCTCTCTGACTCCAGATTTATAACTTGCACGGTGTCTTATCTGTAGATGCTTAATGTGTAACTTTAAAGGCAGTAAACCTGCTGCTGTGTTTGCTCTGATGTGTTCGTGTGCAGCATGAGGGAAACACCGAGATCAGCATGTTTCTGTAAAACCCAAATAACGCAGAATTTTCTGTTTTTGATCAGCTGAAAACCAGCCGCATCGTGACACAATTTACAGTCTCGATTGGACTGAAATTCACCGACATGACAGACTTTACAGGACGGTTTATCACAGACAGACTTTTTATATCTGAAGCTTATAAATGACGTCTCTGCAGATTTATCCATGAAATCTTGTAAACAAATACACCAAGAACAGTTTCAGTGTCAGTAAAATACAGATTAATAATGACAGATATATATATGTGTATATATATATATGTATATATCAGTTGGCATAAAGTTCAAGTTCACCAACATAAACAAACAGAGTGACAGGGAAAACTGTCCGGGGTCGTCTTCAGTGAAATACTGACGCTCCCAAAAACTGATCTGTGACGACGGTTTTATTGTGATTGAATTTTTATATCCAAGAACAGCGGAAGAGTCACGACAAAGACAAAGATTCAGGGTTTTACATTCATGTGTTCATCTTCAGTCCAGTGCCTTCAAACTGGATTTTGTTCAGAGAAACAAAAGGTGATCAAAGTGAGGGTGAAAGATTTACACAGATGACTCAGAAATTCATCCAAACTCCTCTGTAAGGAAACACAAATGTGCCCTGTCTCAGGGAAACTTGGCTATATTATTATTATTATTATTATTATTATTATAAATTTTATTATTATTATTATTTAATTATTATTATTTTTTAAATTATTATTTAATTATCAATTTATTATTATTATTATTATTATTATTATTATTATTATTATTATTATTATTATCAATTTTATTATTATTATTTAATAATTATTATTATGATTTTAATTATTATTTAATTATTAATTTTATTATTATTATTTAATTATTATTATTATTTAAATTATTACTTAATTATCAATTTATTATTATTATTATTATTATCAATTTAATTATTATTTAATTATTATTATTATTATTAAATTATTATTATTATTATTTTAATTATTATTTAATTATCTATTTTATTATTATTATTATTATTATTATTATTATTACATTTTTTGTCCAGTAATGTGGTGTCAATATTGATCTTCCCTCTGTTTAAAATACCACATAACTTCATTTCTTCATAAGAAACAACACAGGTGTCACTAGACCCCCAAATGAGCTCTATCCCAGTATAAATGAGCTGTACCCCAGTATAAATGAGCTCTACCCCAGTATAAATGAGCTGTACCCCAGTATAAATGAGCTGTACCCCAGTATAAATGAGCTGTACCCCAGTATAAATGCGTTTCACCAGTCTAGTGTCGCAGTAGAAAAAACATTAAACTAATATTATTATTGGAGTCTTTAGTTCCTCACAGTGAAGTGGAGTTGTTATATAATTGGCACCACAGTGGAGTAACAAACATCAGTGAAGTGTTCACACACTTGCAGTCATGCGCCTGATTTCCCAGCATCTTCACAGAACTCGGTGTTTCTGGATTCACTCTGAGCTGGAAAGCGGTGGGTGTGGTTACTTTGACTTTGTGTCCTTGCAGAAAGGAAACACCCAACAACAGAACACTTGTTGGCAGCACTCTCGATAAACCTGTTCCTGGTTTTCCCTCGGATGCGGCCCAAAAGCCTGAAGGCCATAACTCAAATACCTGAGAAGCACCTGCAGAGTCAGCGGGGTTTCACTTGTCTACCTGTGCACAGATAAAACCGGAGTTTTGAGGAATAAAACTGCTGCTTTGTCACTAAAGTGCTTCGCATCAGTTTCTTGGGGTTTGTTGATTCTCGCCGCACAATAAATAAACAACGGCAGAGCTTCTCAAACAAGATATATTCAGTTGGCAGAGCAGATGAGCCGCACCCAAGTTTTTATGCAATTGTAAACCTCGCCTCCTTTCAAATGTTTGTGATTAAAAGAGCAATTATAAAGTTCTGAGAGAGCTGCACAGGTGAACAGATTGAAGAAACTGCGGTTCTTAGTTGGAAAACACTCCAGGAAGGTTTCCTCAGCCGAGACTGAACTCAAAACAAAACTGGTGTTTGTCTTTACTAGTTAAACACATCTTTAAAACGGAGTTCATTCATCAAATTCCCAATCACTAAACTCTATTGACATTTCATTTTGATTTGTTTTGGTCAGCTCAAAACCGAACAAAGAGACGTGAATCAAGAGTCAGACAGCACATGAAAATGTAGACTGACAGTTTTGTTTTACATGAGTTCAGTCTCAGCTGAGCGAACCTGTGCAACATTCCTGGAGTGTTTTCCAACTAAGAACCGCAGTTTCTTCAATCTGTTCACCTGTGCAGCTCTCTCAGAACTTTTTAATTGCTCTTTTAATCACAAATCAAGAGTCAGACAGCACATGAAAATGTAGACTGACTGGACTTTGACATGAGGAGTTTTCTGCTTTCAGTTTGGAGTTTCAGTCATATTGACCAATCACATATCAGCAGGCTTTAGTGGATGTAGGAAAAAAAGCAAAAGCAGAGTGAACATAATCCTCCATAATGACCTCCAGCTCCTGTTGGTGGTGATCTTAAAATGATTCATCTCTATAAACCGATATCTGCGCCCGAGTGCAGCTAACAGTTTATTCTTAATCTAACTCAACTCCTCGACTTCAAACAGAACCTCCAAACAGATCTGAAATGATCAATCTGTTCTTCTCTTGAGGACAGACTGAACCCACTTGTTGAAAATCTTCAACATGGAGGTGTTTTTGTTTCCTCAGAAGACCTGTGATCTTCTTTTATATCTCAAGACAATATGGATCATACAGCTAAAGTCAGCGAGAGTGAAGCTTCACCACCTACAGTGAAACTTCCATTTACTGGCGGAAGGAGGAACCAAGTTGTCTTTAGTAAATACAGTCTATGGTGGTGACCAGAGCAGTGGATTAAAACAGAGTGGCGACACTCCCATAGACATACGCTGTACAGCCCGGCGGACTTCCAGGTTATGGAACTCGTAATAGTTCCAACATGACCGCCTGTCACGTCGGACGCCGTTCGCTTCTATGGCCACAAGGCAAGCACTCACCGAGGTTAAATGATAAAATATCAACAAGTTTAATGCCAATACATGTGTTATTGATATCGAGGGGACCCCTTTATATGTAAAAATGTATATCCCAAATGTAATTACGTTGTTTTAGTCAGGAATTGGGATCGATTTTTTTAGCCACGGTTTGCTCCCACACTCCCCGAGGTAAAATATTGTATCAACGAATGTAATGCCAATACGTGTGTAAATGGTATCGAGGGACCCCTTTATATGTAAAATGATTTTAATTTTAGTATGCTCAAATAGTAATTACAAATGTAATTACGTTTTTTTAGAAAGGAATTGGGATCGATTTTTTAGCCACGGCCTGCTAGTTGGACGTCGTCAGCTGTAGAGGCCTCCCAAAATGTATTGTGTGACTGAGTTATGAATCACAGATAAATCATCATCATCAATCATATGATGAGATGGTTACTTATGGGCTTTATTTTAGATTTCAGCCTTTATCAGTTCCCGATGTTATGTGCAATTTATTCTTTTTAGACTAACATAAGTGCTATGTAATTTGATTTCTACTTATGGGATGATAGAGTTAAGGGACCACTACTTTTTAAATCCTGTCAGTATTTAAGGCGTATGTTTAACATGAAAAAATGTTATGCAGGCCATGCTGCAAGACCAAAACATTGCACAATTGTTTAAACAGCTTGTAACACCTGTGACTTACCACTTTATTGTATTATTTTCTCTTATTAAAAAGTAACACGTGTTACCAAACTTGTCTTATTTCACTTTTATTTGTCATCCAGCCGCTAAATATAAATAAATATTAATAATATATACGTACGTGACTTTGACGTGTACACAGTAATCCAATAAGAGTTGCAAATGTTGACTTTTTACGGTTAATTTTAATATTTACCTCTTAAATGCGCGCTCACTGCAGTCTGCCCCGTTGAAGAGCATGGACAGTGCAGGCTGCGTTTGGAACTATGGAGGGGTACATGAACCACATGACCGCTCCGGCGGCGAGATCTGAAGTTGTCGCCACTCTGTTTTAATCCACTGCTCTGGTGGTGACGCTCTGGAGGATGTAGAACATTTTAGAGAATATCAGCGAACATTCCGTAACATCAAGGACATTCTAAAAGATCAATAACATTCAGTAACATCAAAGACATTCTAAAAGATCAATAACATTCTGGAACATCAAAGACATTCTAAAAGATCAATAACAGTAACAGTCTGGGAACATCTGTGACATCACCGAACCTTCCTACGAATTCTGAAGTCATCAGAACCGCTCTGACAGATGTTAGGGGGACACTGTTGGGTCCTCTGCTCAGCACCACAGACTGTATCTAGAACAGACGCCGTCTGCCTCTGAGAACAGCGCCCTCTGGTGGCGGGCTGCAGTATAGGTCATAAACCCCGCCTCCTTATGGAGCTGTGGACAAACTTTATAAATGAATGACACAGAATATAAATGTTTCTCCCCCCTGGTTGTGATGTTGACATGTAGTTACTGTCAGACTGGTTTGTGCTCAAGTCCTCTTTTTTCTGTACAGCTCCATTTTTAAAAGTTATTAGGGGGTTCATGTTTTCTATGATTGACATCTGATACAGCCAATGGGAGGACAGAAATTGAGTAGATCACCAGGGGATATGCTGTTTGAGCCGAGCGTTGCTAACTGGACTGTAGGTTGCTAACTGGACTGTAGGAGATGCAGGGTACAGAAAACAAAGCTAGCGACTTTGTTAAATCATCACACAGACATACCGCCTCTTATGTCTTTTCCTTTCCTTCTTTAGGTTTAACCACACAGGACTTTTCAATGCAGCTGTGACAGAGACACAAGGATCATGGTAAAAAACACAATTTTGTGTTGAAATGTTAGTTTTCCGTTGTAGGTTGGATCTCAAAGCTCTCTTTGTTGAGGAGTACCTCTGTGTTGACAACTCTTTGACTCGTCTTTTCCTGCAGCCGAGACACCGCAGAGGAAGGAGCCTCTCTGGGGCTCTGACCCTGGATCGAGCAGATGATGGTGGACTTGTTGTTTCCAACATCGATGATGGTGCATCAGCCAATAGGGGGCTGAGAGAAGGTATGACAGTTGACTTCCTAATGTCCTCTTTTCTTTCTACTGCTTTTGTGTGTCGTGAAGGAAGCCATGAAAAACAAAAAAGTCACAGATATAATGGTAATGAAATTGTCCTGTGCTACAATCTGATCATGCTCTAAGATTGAACGTTGAACAGATTGTAGAAATGCAAATAAACCATAAATGACATTTCATTAACTCTACACTAATGCCAACACTTTGATCTTCCAAAGTTTCCCAGGTTTAGGATTTTAGATTTGAGACTATTTTCCTACAAAGCGGCATGGTGTGAATGCTGTCATATCGTAGAAAAATCTGTTTTTCATGCAGATTTCTTTCTTGACAGGTGATGAACTTTTGGGAGCAACAATCAATTTTGATCAACTATCAAAGGAAGAGGTTTTAGAGGTGCTGAAGCTAATGGAGCCATACGATCACAAGCTAAAAGTCCTCTCGAAGAACAAAAGCAGGAGCGTCGGAAGTCTGTTTGAGGGTGTCAAGAGTCCTGATACGGTAGGTGGGCTACAAAAAGTACCAACAACAGTAAATAATTGGTTAATCAATGATTGCAACTTCCTTTGAATGGCAGTCGACAACACAATCTCCAATGAAAAACAGTATGAAACTGTACTTTAGGTTGTACTTAAAGGTTCCACAAAAAAGTTCTTTTTTGTTTATGTTAGTCAGAGTTACTGAGCATTCATTCAGGCAAGCACTTTTAAAATGTCTGGTGCTGATTTGCGCTCTCATCTGGATTTCTTTGACATCGAATAAATCAATGCTCAAATTCACCGTGTCAAGACTGCTAAACAAAAGTATGAACACACGGTCTTGCTGTCATTTTATTCAGATCATCAAGTTGTGGCTTTTGCTTGCAGATGCTGAAGGACTCCTACAACAAACTCTACAATGCCAAAATCAAGAAGTTTATGAAAGATGATTTTACCAGTTCTGCTGAGGGGGACTTGAATGGAGAGGTTACTGCAAACCAAACTGTACAAGGCTCATCGAGGGTTGATTTAAAACATGACACAACACTGCCTCGTCTTGGAGTTGACTTTGGACTCTTGAAACCCAAGACGTCAAGCACAGATGTCGATGGGGATTCAGAATTTGAGGATGCTCGAGACCTAACGGATGGCAGCAACCTGAATCTTCCACCAATGAGTCTTGGCATGAATGGGACTTCTCGAAGTGGAGCCCCAGTACCAAGACTGAGAGTCAATGCCAAGAGTCAAGAACTTGAGACTCCAGACTACCATCTGTCTGGAATATCACCCCAGGGTCCAAATGTCAATACGACAGCTGGACTGGAAAGCAGAGGAACATTCAGAGCTCCTGAGATAGGAAGGGACTTACAAAGTTCAGATATTGGTCCCCCTGGGTTGGAGATAGACCTGACTGGGGGTAATATCAGGGGTCCAACCTTTGATAGTGAGGTTCCTAAAGTAAGCATCGACGGAACGGCTGAAGAATACAGGATGCCAAAATTCAAAATGCCAGATCTGGGCCTCTCTGAGCCTACTCTAGCTGGTCCAGAATATAAGGTCAAGACACCAAATGAAGATGTTGCCTTAGGGAAACTTGGTCTCAAGTATTCCAAGAGACAGAAAAACCCAGATCTCAATGTGGATGACCCCTCAGGTTATGCAGAATCACCAAATCTGAGACTGTCTGGGAGATCCCCTGACTTGGATCTAAGCATGCCTGATGCAGATGTGTCACAGTTTGATTTAAGTGGACCAGGCATGCCCTCAGGGGAAGTAAGAGTACCCCTTAAGAAATCCAAGTTTGATCTTAAATCTCCAGATTTGGATGTAGATGCCACATCTGGTAACTTAACTCTGCCCAAATTTGGGGTCTCAGGCAAAGGCGGAGCTGGGGTTGAAACACATGACCTCAGTCTCAAAACACCAAAGATTAAAGAGAGGATTCGTGCACCTGATCTACCAGAAACTGACTTTGAAGGGCCAAAACTAGTCTCTGATGCTCCTTCGGTTGGCATCAATAGCTTGTCTGGAAAATACAAGGCTCCTAAGTTTACAATGCCCAAATTTGGTCTACCAGACATTCCAGTTCCAGATTATGAGCTACAATCTCCAGATGTGGATTTATCTGGACGGAAGTTCAAAGGAGACCTCAGTATGCCTGGTGTTGATCTTCCCAATCCAAGACTAGACCTAAATTCCCCTGATATGGATTTTGAAATGCCATCTGGTAAACTGAACACTGATGGCCCCTCTGGCAAAGTAAAAATGCCAAAATTTAAACTCTTTGGCACTTTACCAAAAAACAAAGGTGTGGATATCAATGCCGGTGTAAAAACACCTGAACTAGCCCTGAAATCGCCAAAGATAAGGGGCATAGATAGTCCAGACATGAAGTTCAATGCTCCAAATTTAGACCTTGGTTCATCAGGTGGACTTGATGTAGATTTCTCAAAGCCAGACCTTGACATTGATTCACCTTCACTCAGTCTCAAAGGCCCAAGGTCAAAACTGAAAATGCCAAATGCTGACATCATAGGTCCAACAGGAAAAATTAAGATGCCTGATTTTGGACATTCAGGACCAAAGCTGAAAGGATTTGATGGTGAATTCAAGACTCCAGACTTAGATCTTTCAGCCCCAGAAATGAAGGGAGGCATAGGTTCCCCAGATTTCAATCTACCTGAAATGAACCTTAAAAAACCCAAACTAGATGTAGACTTGAAGGCACCAAAGTTAGACATCGATACCCCTGATGCCAACTTTGGTACATCCAAGTTAAAAATGCCCAAAATAAATCTACCAAGGATGAATGGCCCTGACATTGATGGAAACTTGGATGTTAACGCACCTGAACTCAATCTTAAAGGCCCAAAGGGCAACTTGGATCTTCCAGATGTTGACTATGATGGTCCATCAGGGAAATTAAAAATGCCAAGTCTAAAAATGCCTGATTTTGGGTTTTCTGGTCCCAAGTTGGATGGCCCTAACTTAGACCTGAAAACACCAAATGTTGATCTAAATGCACCTGATCTCAATCTCAAAGGTCCAAAAGGCAGTTTAGACCTTCCAGATGCTGATATCTCTGGTCCAAAGTTCAAAAAGCCTAACTTGAAAATGCCTGATTTTGGGTTTTCTGGTCCCAAGTTGGATGGCCCTAACTTAGACCTGAAAACACCAAATCTTGGACTCTCTGGTCCCAATCTTGGTGGAGGTTTGGAGGCACCTGACATCAACATGCCAAAGTTAGATCTTAAAAGCCCCAAACTGGATCTCAAAACCCCAGATCTGAACATGGACATGCCTTCAGGAAAATTAAAGATGCCAGAGATCAATACACCCAACTGGGATGTCAAAGCACCTTCTGGCAAATTAAAAATGCCTAAACTTGATCTTTCAGGTTCAATGCCAAAGGGACCAAACTTAGATCTCAACGCAGGTCTCAAGACACCTGATTTGAACCTCAAAGCTCCAAAGATCAAGGGGGGGTTTGATGCCCCTGACTTGAGCTTACCAAACGCTGATTTCAAGACTCCAAACTTTGACATGAACGCTCCAGATGTCAATATTGGATCTCCAAAGTCAAAGTTCAAGATGCCAAAACTCAAGATGCCCCATTTTAGTCTCCCAGGAATTGGTGGCCCAGACATTGATGGAAACTTGGATGTTCCAAATGTTGATCTAAATGCACCTGATCTCAATCTCAAAGGTCCGAAAGGCAGTGTAGACCTTCCAGATGCTGATATCTCTGGTCCAAAGTTCAAAAAGCCTAACTTGAAAATGCCTGATTTTGGGTTTTCTGGTCCCAAGTTGGATGGCCCTAACTTAGACCTGAAAACACCAAATCTTGGACTCTCTGGCCCCAGTCTTGGTGGAGGTTTGGAGGCACCTGACATCAACATGCCAAAGTTAGATCTTAAAAGCCCCAAACTGGATCTCAAAACCCCAGATCTGAACATGGACATGCCATCAGGAAAATTGAAAATGCCTAAACTAGATCTTTCAGGTTCAATGCCAAAGGGACCAAATTTAGATCTCAACGCAGGACTCAAGACACCAGATTTGAACCTCAAAGCTCCAAAGATCAAGGGGGGGTTTGATGCCCCTGACTTGAGCTTACCAAACGCTGATCTCAAGACTCCAAACTTTGATATGAACGCTCCAGATGTCAATATTGGATCTCCAAAGTCAAAGTTCAAGATGCCAAAACTCAAGATGCCCAAGTTTAACTTTCCAAGCCTAAAAAAGACAGACATTGATGGAAACTTGGATGTTCCAAATGTTGATCTAAATGCACCTGATCTCAATCTCAAAGGTCCAAAAGGTAGTTTAGACCTTCCAGATGCTGATATCTCTGGTCCAAAATTCAAAAAGCCTAACTTGAAAATGCCTGATTTTGGGTTTTCTGGTCCTAAGTTGGATGGCCCTAACTTAGACCTGAAAACACCAAATTTTGATCTAAATGCACCTGATCTCAATCTCAAAGGTCCAAAAGGCAGTTTAGACCTTCCAGATGCTGATATCTCTGGTCCAAAATTCAAAAAGCCTAACTTGAAAATGCCTGATTTTGGGTTTTCTGGTCCTAAGCTGGATGGCCCTAACTTAGACCTAAAAACACCAAATTTTGATCTAAATGCACCTGATCTCAATCTCAAAGGTCCAAAAGGTAGTTTAGACCTTCCAGATGCTGATATCTCTGGTCCAAAATTCAAAAAGCCTAACTTGAAAATGCCTGATTTTGGGTTTTCTGGTCCCAAGTTGGATGGCCCTAACTTAGACCTGAAAACACCAAATCTTGGACTCTCTGGTCCCAATCTTGGTGGAGGTTTGGAGGCACCTGACATCAACATGCCAAAGTTAGATCTCAAAAGCCCCAGACTGGATCTCAAAACCCCAGATCTGAACATGGACATGCCTTCAGGAAAATTAAAGATGCCAGAGATCAATACACCCAACTGGGATATCAAAGCACCTTCTGGCAAATTAAAAATGCCTAAACTTGATCTTTCAGGTTCAATGCCAAAGGGACCAAATTTAGATCTCAACGCAGGTCTCAAGACACCTGATTTGAACCTCAAAGCTCCAAAGATCAAGGGGGGGTTTGATGCCCCTGACTTGAGCTTACCAAACGCTGATCTAAAGACTCCAAACTTTGACATGAACGCTCCAGATGTCAATATTGGATCTCCAAAGTCAAAGTTCAAGATGCCAAAACTCAAGATGCCCAAATTTAACTTTCCAAGCCTAAAAAAGCCAGACATTGATGGAAACTTGGATGTTCCAAATGTTGATCTAAATGCACCTGATCTCAATCTAAAAGGTCCAAAAGGCAGTTTAGACCTTCCAGATGCTGATATCTCTGGTCCAAAGTTCAAAAAGCCTAACTTGAAAATGCCTGATTTTGGGTTTTCTGGTCCCAAGTTGGATGGCCCTAACTTAGACCTGAAAACACCAAATCTTGGACTCTCTGGCCCCAGTCTTGGTGGAGGTTTAGAAGTACCTGACATCAACATGCCAAAGGTTGATCTTAAAAGCCCCAAACTGGATCTTAATACACCAAAGTTAAATATGGACATGCCATCAGGTAAACTTAAAATGCCAAAACTCAAGTCCCCAAATTTGAACCTGAAAGCCCCCAAAATTAAGGGTGGACTTGATGCCCCAGACCTTGATTTACCAAACTTAGATCTTAAGGCCCCCAGTTTGGATCTTGACAAGCCAGATCTGAATATTGGTTCACCAAATGCAAAGCTGAAAATGCCGAAATTAAAAATGCCATCAGTTAATATGCCAAACCTCAAAGGGCCTGAAATCGATGGTAATTTTGATGGTCCAGGGATGGACATCAATGCACCTAATATCAACCTGAAGGGATCAAAGCCTGGGTTCGAGATGCCGGATGTTGGTTTTGGCAGCCCATCTGCAAACCTTAAAAAGCCACATTTGAAAATGCCTGATGTGGGGTTTTCTGGTCCAAGGTTTGATGGTCCAGACTTGGACTTCAACACACCAGATCTTAATGCCAAATTACCAAAAGGACCAAATCTGAACATCAACTCAGACCTGAAAACCCCAGATTTGAATCTCAAAACCCCAAAGATAAAGGGTGGAATTGATGCACCTAAATTGGATTTGCCAAACATGGGTCTTAAAGCTCCAAAGTTAGATGTGAACACTCCAGATGTTGACTTTGGTCTTCCTGATGCAAAGTTCAAAAAGCCCCAAATCAAGATGCCAAAAGGCCCTGATGTTGACTTCAATGGGGGCCTCAAGGGACCTGATCTGCATATGCCCAATGTCAATCTAAATGGTCCAAGAGGAAACTTAAAGATGCCAAGAATGAATACACCAGACTTTCATTTATCTGGGCCTGAGGCAAGGCTACCAGACATGAATATTTCAGGGCCAAGACTGAGGGGCCCAGGTATAAACATGCCAGACTTTGATGTGCCAGATGCTAGGTTAAAAGGTCCAACAAATCTAGCCTTTTCTCCCCAGAATGCAAAAGTAAACATGAAACCCAGACAAATACAAGGTCCAAAGTTTAGTTCTCCAAACATGGGCCTAAATATGCCTCATGTCGCAATGCGGAGTCCACAGATGCATCCTCGATCTCCTGTTCTTAATATTGATGACCCTTCAGTACATATCAGAGGATCTTCATTTAAGAACCGCAGATCTGATTTCCCAGGAAACATGAGAATGCCTGATCTCGACATAGATCAAGATATTAGATTTAGTTACGGTGATGCAAGGTCACCCCGGTCCAGGGCAAGGTCAAGCTACCCTGCAGGAGATCCTCGTTTAGGTCCCTACGTTGATTTCAACCGCTCAGATCTCAACATTGATGATTTTACAGGGAGAGATCATGTGCTTCGAGCCAGAGGCACAAAACTTAACCTTCAGGGTTCACATAGCTATGGACAGGTGTCCCCACCAGGTGTCAATGTCAACATGAGGGACCCCAGGTTTGTCAGAAGAATTCCTTCAGGTGACTTTGACATGTATGCAAAACATCACAAAGCAATGCAGCCGATGCCCCGCCAACGCATGCCTCAGTTATCCCCTGATTCAAGAATCAGGGTGCCTGATGGTTCAGATGGGTACTACGTCACAGTCTTTCCAAACCAATCCCAGAATCCAAGGATGCAGAACCGCCATACTCTCGGGGGGCCCGGCTTCCATCCGAGAAACTTTGATCTTGAAGTTCCAGGGACAAATGATCTGAAAGGAAATACGTTCTTTTTCTCCAACCTCATTTAGGTTTCAAACTGTTGATGTTTCAAGCTGTGGTTCCATATTTCTTTTGTTTTCAGGTTTATTTATTGTGACTTGGGCTGTTATTCTTTGCCCTTTAGTTTTACTTTTGTGGTTTTGAAATGTGTTGTTTGCTGCCTTATGTTGTTGTAAGATGACACCAGTCCTGTTGCTTCTTAAAAAATGTTAACAATATTACAGCACACCAGTCTTGCACTTGTTTTATATGTAAATTTAGATTTTTTTTGTACTCTGTTAGTACTGTACAATACTTGTTTGAAAAGTCGCCATTCTTCCTCTGAACATTTAAGTCGAGCAGTTTCACTAAAAACTTTAATAATCTCTCCAGTGTCCTGAATAAGAACGGAGCTCATTTGTGGCTTTAAGGGTGCAACATCCAAGTATGTTCGATGTATGTTGTGTATTTTCAACTAAATGTCCTGATATCCCAAGTTGTAAATATGTGTATAATGTACTGCATGTCTTTACTGTGGAAAAACACAAACTTCTTTTATATTCATCAGGGATGTAAACTTTGAGCTGTAATGTGATAAATGAATAAAAGTGAATACAATTCACTCTGACCATTTTCAAAGGGCTATAATGCTAAAATACAAACCTGGTTACCATGGACACACCATTAAACAGCTGATTTTTCGGTTGTATAGAAAAAATAAACAGGAAAAACTCATGTACTGTATTTCATTTTGTCTTCTCATTCACAAGTCTGGATCATGTCAGGGTAAAAAATGAAAATATCGTTTTCTTAGTAAATGAAGCAGAACTTACAAACACACGTAAGGATGGTGAAGTTACAAAGTTTGAGGTTTTTAAAATCATTTTAGGAAAAGTTTCTTTACTTTGACAAAAATGATGAAGTGATGTGAATCCATTTCTTCCTGGGTGTTTGTTTGTTTGACTGTTTTCCACATGAACATTTTACTTTAGACGGTTTTTAACATTCATTCAGCCTGTGTGAACGGCGTACAGACATCCTCCTGAGTTTGTGTTTGTGTGGATTATTCCAGAAGAAAAATCCTCTGTATTCTGAAATCATCTGATCCGGTGAGGCAGCGGATCTGCAGTCTTGGCACAGAGAGTCAATAATAACTCAGATTAAAAAAATAACCGAGTTTGTCTCAGTTCCAGCGTTAAAGCTGAAGAAACAGCTGCACATGAAGAACAACCTGAATCTGATTCTTCTGGTTCCTGTTTTTAGGACGGATCCTCCGTCAGACTGAAGCTGATCCTGTTCACAGATTTAAGGAGGAGTCCGTTCACAGGAAAATCAGGCCGCCTTGAGAGTTTTGGAAGGACACCGAGCCTGATGGGTCCAGTTTTGGGAGTTGTGGGTATGTACCTGGACTCTGCAGGGTCCTCGGAGTCACTTTGACACTGAGGGGGTGTGGTTTCATGGTGTTCGGCAGGTGATTTAAAAACACAGGTGAGTTTTAGTGAGCTCTGATCATTCTCTGTTGACTGTTTTCACTCATCCTTTCACCCTCATGTCATCATCAGAAAGTTTGGACCAGGATCAGAACTGCACTGTGAGTTTTCTCTCCTTTTTTTGGATAATAAATCACTTTAACACTGAAGTCACTGAATGAATGAACGAGTCACAGATAGAATCACACTGTGTTTGTCCACGGCTCCACAAGGAGGCGGGGTTTATGACCTATACTGCAGCCCATCACCAGAGGGCGCTGTTCTCAGAGCGAGGAGGCAGACCATAGATATAGATATATAAACGCCAGATGACTCACGCACGCTGTTAGCCAATGGAGACCGACGTCTGCGCATGGCGGCCATCTTACTACAGTCAGCTCTCCCACGCCTAACATTTCAGTCTACAGTTCATGTAACATTTAAATAACTATAGATTGATTCATTTTAAACCGATTTTCAAACGGTTTGTTTTGTAACAAACCTCAGAGTTTTAGTTACACACAAGGCAGTTATATTTAATCATTTATATATAAAACATTTAATCATTCCATGTTATTTAGTAATATTTCTATCATAGGGATAACTATAATTTCATATAACAATAACACATATTAATTTATTTTCAATATAAATTTCTGCCTCATGTTTCCATTTTAGATTTTTTAACAAAACAAACAGTTTGGAAATCATGTGTAACTTCAGTTATGTTGAATCTAAAGAGCATTTCTGCCTCTTTAACTGATGGAAAGTTACTGGGTCAACTTTGTAACTTTGGTTTCAGTCACAGCGAGTCTGTTAGACAAGTTAGACAGCTGATAAACTATAACAATAACTATTCTTCATGATTAGGCTAAGTCTTTCTTTTCCTCAAAGTAAATCTGTCATTTTAATATTTCCAAACATCCAGACTCATAGCCTCGTTATCAAGGTCTGTAATAAACTAAACCGTTTATAAATCTGTCAGGATTTCAGAGAGTTAAGAGGATTTTTGATCATGTAGATTTACTCACCTCCCGTCAGCTACCATAGAGAGAACTAGAACGGTACTGAAGTAAGATGGCCGCCGCTGACTCCGCCTCATAGAGTCATCTAGACTTTATTATAGATATCTATGAGGCAGACCGCGTCTATTCTGTACACAGTTTATGCTCGTGATAATGTTTGTTTTTTTAAACTCCATGAAAGAAAAATAAAATAAAAAAATCTAGATTCTTGACGGGTTACTTTTATGTTTTCATAGATGTCCTCACTGTGTCTGCGTTCACTCTCTCACTCTGTTTCCGTTATCGCTCCACCATGAGTCACATGACAACCCATGATGCCTTCAGGGCCTCATAATAACGTCGGAAAAGCAACGGTCCACATCAAAACAAACTGACAGGAATCCGCCCACTTAAAAACAATCTGAACCAGACGAAATAAATCATTAAAATGTGAGTTAAATAAGAGAATATGGTCAAATAATAAAGAGGCAAACTCAGACACGAGCTAATTCATGCTGGGAACAATGAAAATAAAAACAGACTCAAACATTCAGAGGAATAAAAGCAGGAGTAACTGGACAGATTACCCTTTAATGAGTGAAATTTATTCATTTTTTGTGGTTATTTCACGGACATAAACAGACAGACAGGTGAGCTCCGGAAGTTACCACATTAAAATACAGGTAAATAAGTAAAACACATTGATTTATGTAAGTCATTCAGCATCATTAATCTGTGAATGTTAATATTACTGTTAAAAAAAAGTCGTTTTCAGTTCATTTGATGTTTTTGTTTCTTTCTTTTGAGGCTGTCCACGTCAGTGTGTTTGTGTTTCCCCACGCTGTCCGCGGTCCGTGAAGGCGTCCTGAGCTGTGGTCTCTGAGTGGAGCTCGGAGGAGCTTCAGAGCCTCAGGAGCTTCAGGCAGATGGAGGTCTGCAGGGACGAGGACAACATGTGATGTGGCTCCTCACACACACAGACACACACAGACACACACACTCCCGTGCAGCGGGGAAAAACTGCGAGTTTAAAGAAGTTTGTAAAAGAGTTTAAAGAAGAAGAAGAAGAGTTGGAAATGCCTGGGCTGCAGAAGACGGAGGAGGAGGAGGAGGAGAAGAAGAGTCCGGATGGAGGAGCAGGGAAAGAAAGAGGAGCTCCAAACGGAGGGAGACCCGATAAAAGTAAAGAGGTGAGACCCTCCTGACTGTTTCTCTGAGTGTCTTTGTCTTCTGACTGTAGAGGACATGTCTCTGTCCTCCTGTCTGCAGTAAACTGATGGACTCTTGTCCTCATAAAACTCTGAATAACAGACTGTGACGCTCCTCACTTCAGACTCTTTTCTAACTGGAGGTGCACCGATCACAACGTTCTGGCCGATCACCGATCTTTAAAAAGCTTCACCTGCCGATACCGATTTTTTAAAAAATAACTAACAACATTTAATCCTATTTTAATGAAAAACATTAAACAATACTTGTAAAACAACACAAACTTTTGTGTTTGTTTCACATGAGTTCGTTCTCTCAAATATACATGAAAGGTCAGAAGATTTCCGTCCAAACGACGAAATTAAATCAGTTTCTTTAGTCTTTTATTTTCCACATTTGAAATATTTACAATATTTGGTCACATGCAGGTCAGACTGTTCTGAGCCTCTTACCAAAATAAAGTTCACAGCAGTATTTTACTTTGATAAATAAAGGAAATCATAAAGTTTGAGGAAGTTCATAAAATAATCATCTACAGGACAAACTAACAACTTTAACCACCAATAAACTGTCCGGAGTTTTAGGTTTCAACATGCTCTATTGATCATGGTCTGGATGGCGCTGACACATGCGTGCATGCACACCTGACCTGGTGGGCGGGGCCTGTCATTCTGGCAAAGCAAAAAGCTACAATGGCTGACCTTTTCTGAGGAAGAAAAGATCGGAGGATAAAATCGGTTTTATGTGTAAGAATCAGCCGATCACTGATCCCCCAAAACTGAGAAAAACAACGCCGATTGATTATCTCGTCCACTCATGGCACTTTTTCCCTCCTTTTGGACATTAAACAGTTAAAATTAAAAGGAAACGACTTTAATTTCATGTTTTCTCCTATTTTGATGACAAGGACTTTTTCTTGGGTTTATAATTTGAGGTAAAAATCACCCGATGGTGATGGTGTTCCTCATTTTAGCGATAGTGTTCGAGGGTTAAAGGTGGACTGAGGAGAGAACTGTCCTGAGGTCTGATGGATCAACATCTGACCTTCTTTTGGAAAGGACAACTGGACTTCACCTTTCAACAAAGAATTAGAAATCCTAGATGCTGCATCCTCAGTTTTAAACAAGATCTCCAGGTTTAGGAGCAACATCTGCGTCCATCCAGACCTGGACTTTTTCAGAGGAGACCTTCATATGATCCCAGACCACATTCAGACAACAGGAGAAGAGTCCTGCTGAGGGGCTGGACTGATGCGGTCCTGACTCTCCTCTTCATCAGTTTGTCCCTCACAGCGATGAAGAAGCTCTAACTGTGTCTGTTTGTCTTGCAGGATTTCGACCTGGCCTTCATCTACGTCTCAGACGCTCAGTACAACAGGAACATCTTCTTCGACACGTCGCCGCAGTCGGTCAGGTGAGAAACGTCTTCATTCAGAAAAGTTCTTCTTCCTCTCTCTGTAACGCGGCGCTCCTTCACTTTAGTTCTCAGTCTTTGCCTTTTAAAATATTTCAAATCCTTTTAAATTATAATAAACTTTCTCTTTTTTCACACCGGCTCTGGATGTTGATGGTGAAATGTTCCTATGAGAGCGGAGAACAAACCCGGTGGACCCTCGACTCTTTAGAGAGGAGGGTTCAGAGTCCAGGATTTCCAGAAGGACTGTCAGATTCTGATCGGCCCGGCTAAAAGCGAGCTAACGCTACCATTAGCCAATCAGAGCTTACTTAGTTAGTTACGTACGCTTTTAGTGCTAACTCAGCTACCTTTGCCGGTAGCTGTAGCTTTGTGGCCAGGAGCAGGTGTCATCAGGTGGTCCACAACCATCACTGAGTGTTTCGGCCCTCAACCACAACACTCTCCAGCAGACGGGCCGGTAGTCGGCAGTGATTGGCCGAGCTCACTGCCCACCTACTCCTGGCCTCCAGCCTTCCTCCTCTCGCCGACTTAGCTGGGAAGCCCCTGTACCCAATCTCCACCGGGAACAACCATGCCTGCCAGCCCTTGTCCCTGCGGTCTTGGATCAGGGGTTGGTATTTTGAGGCCTTCCTCTCATGGCACAGTTAGTTCAACCAGAATTATCTCCTGGTCTTTGGTTGACCACAGCACAATGTCTGGCCGGAGGGTTGTTTGGACCACCTCCGGGAACTGCAGTCTCCTTCCCACGTCGACCCTCGCTCAGGCTCATCACGACCCCGAACTTTTCCACCTTGAACTCCTCCATGACCGATGATGATGTAAACGCCCACTGAAGAGAAACTTGAGGGAATGCCCAGACGTCTTCTTAGATGTTTGTTGGTCTTTCTCTCGATGGTCTCTACAGCAGTCTTGGGGAACTCGTAGACAGTGGAGAGCCAGAGGAGCCTGGGTCAAAGGTCACACTGATACAGGCAGGTCTTCAACTTGCCCAGAAGTAAAGATTTGTCCATCTTCTTAAGCCACGCCCCGTCTGCAGTGATGCGTTAAACCACTCCCCCAGGCGTTTTATTGGGTTGTCTTCGATGGATGGAATGACCTCACCCTGAACCTGCTGGTAACTCCGCCCTTCTTTATGACCAAGCTCCTGGACTTCCTGGATTTGAGCAGCATTCCTGCCCATGAGGCAACGCTGCCCAGGGCTCCCAGGAGCCGTCTTGATTGGACGTGGGTCACAGTTGTTATGGTTACTGAACAAACACAGAACCAATGATCTCCAGGAAACAACCGAGGGTCGGTTATTTCCTGTTGGACCATCAACACCTGATGACCCGACCAGAACTGGGTCTGAACGAGCAGGACCGCCCTGTAACTGTGTGTGTGTGTGTGTTTGCAGACTCTACATCCTCTATAACCACTGGGTCGCTCAGGTTCTCCTCTACTTCTTCATCCTGGTCGATCTGTCTCTCGCCATCTTTGAGGAGCCGGCCGTCGTAGCCACGCCCATATGGGTAAGACGAACGCCGCTGCCCGACGCACAAACAGGCGGGTGAAAACTCCTGTGTGGTCAGAACCAGTCTGAACCGGTTACGTCCATGTGTGTGTGTGTGTGTGTGTGTGTGTGTGTGTGTGTGTGTGTGCGTTCAGGCGACCATGCTGGTGGAGCTGCTCTGTCTGCTCGTCTTCACCGTCCGACTCGTTCACTACGCCAAAGTCATCCCGAGGGACAAGTTCTGGAAAGATGCCAAAAACATCTGCATCATCGTCATCCTCATGGTAGGAGGGGCTTATCCATGACATCATCACTGTGATTGACATTTCAATTGTGAAGCAGCTGATCGATGACGAGGGCTAATTAACGATGCTGTTCATGTGGGAGGGGCTTACTAGGGTTATGATTATGGGCGGGGTCAATTGGCTCCCTCCAAATTGAGCTTTTTTTCTCAGCGACACGTTTGATCGTAAAAAAACGACAAAAAAAAAATAGAATCTTTGGCAAAAATGGGCGTAATTTTATCACAGTAGGAGGGGCTTATTGACCATTTTGCCTAAGTGGGAGGGGCTTATCAATCATATTATCACAGTAGGAGGGGCTTATTGATTGTATTGTCATAGGAGGAGGGGCTTATTGATCGTATTATCACAGTAGGAGGGGCTTATTGACCATTTTGCCTAAGTGGGAGGGGCTTATTGATTGTTTTATCACAGGAGGAGGAGCTTATTGATCGTATTGTCATAGTAGGAGGGGCTTATTGATTGTTTCATCACAGTAGGAGGGGCTTATTGATCGTATTATCACAGTAGGAGGGGCTTATTGATTGTATTGTCATAGTAGGAGGGGCTTATTGATCATTTTGTCATAGTAGGAGGGGCTTATTGATCGTTTTATCGCAGTAGGAGGGGCTTATTGATCGCTTTATCACAGTAGGAGGGGCTTATTGATCGTTTTATCGCAGTAGGAGGGGCTTATTGATTGTTTTATCACAGTAGGAGGGGCTTATTGATTGTTTTATCGCAGTAGGAGGGGCTTATTGATCGTTTTATCACAGTAGGAGGTGTTTTTCTCTCTGGAGTGAGCAGTTTTCAGTCGACCAATCAGAAGACTGCAGATCAAGTCTGGCGTGTGTTTCTGCTCCAGTTTATTACGGTCCTGGTCTGTGTGGTTCGGGTCTGTGTGGTTCAGGTTCAGGTGTTTTTAGGTGTTTTCTGTCCTGGTGGTCTGGGACTGGGCTCCTGGTTTTGACAGTCTGCAGTGTTTGCTGGGAGCTGGTCTGAGTTCCTGTTGGTCAGAATTTGCTGAGGAGACTTTCCTCCTGCTGTTGTGAAACAACCTTTAGCCCAACATGTCGCCTCGTCAGCACGTTTACAGCAGAGAGACTTCCTGGTGACTCAGAGAGGCAGGCGACCAATCAGCTCAGGAAACACGGAGGGAAAACAGCGGACAAAACTCAGCAGCACGTGATCCTGACGGCCAGTTTATGAGCAGAATCAGGAGGAGAGAGGAAGAGCTCACCTGTGCAGGTGTCCCAGCAGAGGGTCAGAGGTCAAATATCACATTTTAACAAACGTTCAGGTTTACTGCACGATAAAATTAAAGAACAGACAGAAAAACATCAGGAGGAAATAAATAAAAGCAGGTAAAAAAAAAACATTTAAACTGGAATAAAAACACAAAAGTGATAAAAGGACAAAAAAAGACATAAAAAGACATAAAAAGACATAAAAAGACATAAAGGACAAAAAGGACATAAAAAGACATAAAAAGACATAAAAAGACATAAAGGACAGCGATCAGACGACTCTCCTGCTGAACTAAAAGGATAAAAATGAGTTTAAAGACGAGATTTAAAGGTGGAGAGAGTCGGGACGTTTTCACCACGTCAGATTTTTACGACTCCATAACCCGTGACTCCTCCTTCTGCTCCTTATTTACCGTTCAGACTTCCTGTATGACACGGCGATGCAGGACAGAGGCGTTCCTGATGGATTTTAGGTCATTAGTTTGTGCAGCAGGTCTGGTAAAGGTGCGCAGGTGTTCAGATCCAGGTGTTCAGATCCAGGTGTTCAGATCCAGGTGTTCAGATCCAGGTGTTCAGAGGGAGGGTTCGTTTCCTCACGGGTTCATGTCTGATGAAGAGCGGCGCCCTGACGCGTCACGTCTAAAGACTCGGCTCCTCCAGGTGTGCAGACCTCACCTGTCCAGGTGTGTGCAGCAGGTGAGCCTCAGTTTCCTGTCTCTACAGCTGACTCTGGTCGACATCATCATCTACGGAGCGCTGAAAGCTGCTGACTGCTACGCCGTTCGCTGGTCCAGAGTCCTGCGCCCGCTGCTGCTGGTCAACGTCACGGAGGGACGGCAGGTAACACCCACCTGTGTGACACAACAGATGGTCTCAGAGGGTCTGTGTGTGTGTGTGTGTGTGTGTGTGTGTGTGTGTGTGTGTGTGTGTGTGTGAGTGTGTGTGTGAGTGTGTGAGTGTGTGTGTGAGTGTGTGAGTGTGTGTGTGTGTGTGTCTTCGCTGTAATCGCTGCATCATGTCCACCGCTGTTTAAACTTCCTGCTTCCTGCTAAACATGAAAATGTTTGACTCTGTGAGCCGACGGCGCCTGAACGCATCATTAGCTGGCCTGTGTGTGTGTGTGTGTGTGTGTGTGTGTGTGTGTGTGTGTGTGTGTGTGTGTTCTGAAGGAGGATGAGCAGCTTCATAAACTCTCTTTGTTTGTTTGTTTGTTTGTTTGTTTGTTTGTTTGTTTGTTTGTTTGTTTGTTTGTTCGTTTGTTTGTTTGTTTGTTTGTTCGTTTGTTTGTTTGTTTGTTTGTTTGTTTGTTCGTTCGTTCGTTCGTTTGTGTTCAGCTCCGCAGAGCGTTCAGAAGTATCCGGAACGCTCTTCCTCAGATCTTCTACGTCTTCCTGCTCTTCATGTTCAGCGTCCTCATCTTCTCCCTCATGGCGCTCAAACTGCTCGGTAAACGGTGAGAACGCTTTAACCCTTTATGGTCTGGTGGTTCTGACCCCGCTGACGTGACGTGAGTCTGGAGGAGATGATGGTCCGTCTGATGGACCCTGAAATACGATCATGTCTGATGGTCTTTGTTTTCTGTGCAGAGGTCTGAAGACCACAGAAGGAACCCCCTACTTCACAAACTACATGGAGATCGTCTTTGAGCTCTACGTCCTCGTCACCACGGCCAACAGTCCCGACGTCATGTAAGACCTTCACCGCTCCTCTCAGATCCAGTCTGCTTTTGATTGATTGTTGAAGTGAAAAAAATAAAAACAACAACATTAAGGAAAAACATTTAAACATTTAAACACAGAAACGTGTTTGAAAAGGAGTGAGAAGAAGAAGAAGAAGTTCTGAACTCCCCTTTAAATAAGAAGTACCACACCGAGCTTCCTTAGACGTACCTGATAATTAAAGGTAAATAAAATACGTTCATGAGTTAAAAACAGAATCTACATCCACTAAACAAACACGCACAGAAAAACAACTAAACTAAATTAGACACGTTTGGTGTGACGTATAAAAGAAAACAGCGGAATATCTCTTTAACCGAGCGTCTGAGAAAAAACTCCAAGAGCGCAGAATCGCAAGCGCAGACATTCTTGGCGCTCTGTAGGGGGCGCTAGTGAGACATTTTTTAATCGCTTTTTTTTGGTCACTTTAAAACATCGCGATTTTGGCCGGGCCCGACCTGCCCGCCAGTTTTCGAGGTCGTTCAAATTTACGTTTTCAGAGGCGGAAAAATCAGAAGAATAATGGAGGAGCTCTTGGATTACGATCGGACTTCGCCGCAGATCTGCGCTCTCGTCCCTCACACTGACTGAATCATTTCTGTTCCTTTATTAGTTATTGATTATTTGTAAACATTATTGGAGCTGTTTGATTTTCCACAGTTTTAATAACGTTGAGAGCTGCAGAAGTAAGAAGCGTGTTTGTTCCTGATCGATGACTTTGTTTATATAAATGCTGGTCAGCGGCTGTAGAGGCGTGTTCGAGTCTGAACCTCAGTGAAGTCTGCTTCAGGTGGACCTCATGGTGGTCCTGAATCTGCTCTCTTTGCTCTGGTCTCCCTTCCTGCTGAAATCAGGATTATCTAAACTCGGGTTTAAACTCGGGTTTGAGCTCATTATTATTTTTGAACACCTGAAGTCTTTTCGTTGTTTTTAAACGTGTTTCACGAAGAAAAACCAGCTCGCTCTGACCGTCCCGGAGCTGCAGACCTGAGTGTGAGCGCAGATCCAGAAGTTCATGTTTCATCAGGATCTTCTTGACATCGATAAGTCTGTCTTTGAGCGCACTTCCTCATGAGAGGAGGAAGCTGGTGAGGAAGTGAAGACCTTCAGTGAAATAGATGAAACTTCTTTAAACTCGTCGTCTTTATTTCTTTGTTTCTCTGAGTTTGGCTCCTCGTTCATCCGTCCGGTTCTCCTGCTGCGGTGGATCAGGACCTGCTCTGCTGGTTCAGATGTTGTCTCTTTAACATGTTGGTGAATTTTGGTGCTTCAGTGAAGAATTGAAAGTCACTCTGTATCACTTATCCCTCCATCAGAGACTTCACCTTCATCATCGTCAAAAGAAGAAGTGACTCTTGAGAAATATCCATCACGCTTTTCTCCTCTCTTTGGCAGGATGCCAGCGTACAACGCCAGCTTCGTCTTCGCCATCTTCTTCATCCTGTACATCCTCGTCAACACCTACATCTTCATGTCGGTGTTTTTGGCCGTGGTCTACAACAACTACAAGAAATACCTGAAGGTACGACACATCACCTCTCCACAGGCTCCTCCTCCTCTTTAGATCATGATGAACTTCAGGAGGTCCTCAGCCATGACCGAAACTCCGCCTCCGTGATGTGACCGTGAGGACGCCAATCATTCAGAGATTTGGAGGGTTTGTCAATAATTTAATCAAGTCGGACGGGTTCTTCTTCTCCAGAACCATGCTGGTGTCAGAATCTGGTTTGGGGTCATCTGAAGGTCTCCTCTGAAAAAGTCCTGGTCTGGATAAAAGTCAATAATAACTTTATTTTTATAACAATAATAATACTACTAATAACAATAATTTTATTTTATAATTATAATAATAATAAGTTTATTTTTAATAATAACATTCATAATAAGAATGATAATAATAATAATAATAACTTTATTTATATAATGATAATAATAATGACTATTTTTAAAATTATATTAACTTTATTCTTATAATAATAATAATGATAATAATAATAATAATAATAATAATAATAATAATAATAACTTTATTTATATAATAATAATAATAATGACTATTTTTAAAATTATATTAACTTTATTCTTATAATAATAAGAATGATGATAATAATAATATTAATAATAGCTTTATTTGTTTAATAATAATAATTACTTTTATACTATTTTAACAATAACATTATTCTCATAATAACAATAACTTTATTTATATATCACTTTAAAAAACAGAAGTTTACAAAGTTCTTTGACAAACAGTCTTAAAGTTCAGAACATGGAAATAAAAACAAATAAAACAAAAGCTCATTGAAAAACAAGACCTCCGAATTAAAGGATAATTTAATTTGTTATAAGAAACCCAGAAAATACAAGAACCTCCAACATAAACTGAGACCATGAGACCAAAATAAAAACATGAAACAGTTAAGAAAGAGAAATGTAATAAAAAAGGAGGAAACAGGAAAGTAAATATAAAAGAGGATATTAATAATGATAATAAAATTCATTAAAAAATATTAATAATTATAGTAATATTAATGATAAAATGTAATAATAAAAATGAACAGGAAAAAAATCAATAACAGATAAAAAACATCATCACATAAAATCAAGTCTGTAAAAGAGAGTTTTTAAAGAAGCGTCTGTCTCTGCTGTTCGCCTTCTCTCCTCTGATGGACAAAGATCGATCACCTTTAGCTCAGAGTCGCGACCCCTCTTGATGTGACCTTGAGGGGTCATGAAGGTCATCCCTCTGAGTTCAGAAACAGTCTCATGTTTTTTACCTGCCTTCATCAGGAGGAGGTACGGCAGCTGGTGAGGGCCAAAAGGCACAAGATGGTTCGGGCGTTCGCCGTGCTGCAGGAGCAGAGGGAGGAGGGGGCGGAGCCTGTGGTCAGCCAGGCCAATTGGAACCAGGTGGTCCGACTGGTCCAGCCCGACATCAGCAACGCCCACCGAGAGCTGCTGTGGAGCGTGTCCGACCACCAGACCCAGGGCTGCATCGGTGCGAGCGTCACGCACGCACACACACACACACATGCACACACACACACACACACACACACACACACACACACATTAAACCATCTTTATTGTTCAAGATACTCAAAGTATATTTTTACCCATCATGCAAAGCTCTGTGACAGTGGCGCCGCTGGGCGGGTGTGTTTGCAGCCTTTTTCACTCAGGCCCCCTTGAGCCTGTTGGAGTCAGTTTGCCCTCGTGGGCCACCGTAGATCCACTTTAGAACTGAAAAGTCCAAAAGAGCTCCAGTTTTTTATAATCAAAGAAGTTTATTTGAAACAAAAATGAGACAAAGAAGAAAAAAAAGTTTCACTCTTTCAGTTTTTTCTGCTGACACACGGACGTTTACAAAAACAGATTAAAATAGTTCCTGTTTTCTGTCATGGTGATCGTAGATGTTCTTATCTGTGTCGTACAGTGACTCTGAAGGTCAACGACACGAGTTTTCCAGGAAGGAGAAAAAAGAGTTATGATTAAACACAAAAACATTTTACAGAACAGACGAAATAAACAGACATATTTTATAAACACTAAAGGAAATTTCATATTTCTGTGTTTTCAAACATTATTCATGATTTTCTTTATTATGTTTTATTTATTTTATTTACGTTTTTATTTTTTTTTGGTGATTTTATCCTTGATTGACAGGACAGGGGTGACATGCAGCTCATGGTCGGGGTCGGACTCAAACCCTCGACTGAGAGTCAGAATGATAGAAATGATCAGTAAAAACTGTGAATACGAGCTCAGACATTTCAGCTGCTCTGAATGTTGATTTTTAGCCTCTCAGATTATTTATAAATGAGATTATTAAACTTCACGACAGATTATTTAATCTGATGACAGTGATCTGCAGGAGTATCTGGGTGAATCGCTCTGTTTGTGCACCATCACCTCCACCACCATGACCACAGCAGCTCTGTGCTGCAGGGTCACAGAGGAAGTCAAACTCTGCTTCATCATCATCATCATCATCATCATCATCATCAGTGTGAGGAAACTGAGCCGACAGCAGTTTGTTCCTCCTGTTCTTCACCTTCCAAGAACCTCAAACTCCCTCAGCTGAAGCTCATGTCTTCATTCAGAGTTACTGTTCGTATTATTATTGTAGATTCAGACTTTAGCCCCGCCCACTTTAGTTTCATTCATTCATCTTTAATGAAGCTGTTCAGTGATGTTTCCACTCGTCCTCCGCCTGTTTATATCCCACTGAACAGCTCCACCTGTGACCCCCGACCACACTGTTTGTATCACTTAAAGGTGTTGTAGTCAGGATCTGAGGAGGTTCCAGTTTTTAGGAGAAACCTTGAATGTAAACTCTACCCCTCTAAACCAGTTTTCTCCTCAGCTCCTCCTCTCCCTCTCTTAAGCCCCGCCCACAAACAGATGCTCCTGCTCGCTCGTATCGTTCCAATTAAATTCAGATATAATGCAGATAAATACTTCAGATCATTACAAATGGGGCCCAGTCAAGGTGAAAGTCAAAAGCATTGGTGCTACTGTAGATGCCAACAGACTACCAGCAAACACAATGTTTGCAGGACTTCTACTACGAGGATAAAGAGACATAGTCCAGGACCCGAGGGAGGACAGTTTAGCGATGGCGCTACAACACGCTACAGCAGGTCCGTTTGACAAGAAACACTTCTGTTACAGACACTTGTCTTACTTTGTTAAAGCGGTTTACCTGTCCAGCAGAAAGGTTACAGGGTCACCAAGATCCCCAAGCGTCCCCCATGGTTTATGTTGACCCGGCTTTTTAGCTCTTGTCCGGTCTACCTCCGTTTTAAGCGCCCGTTATTCCTCCAGAGTCTCCGGTATTTACTTTGTTTTCTTGCTTGTGTCGGCAGTCGTGGCCAAAGGAGGATTCAGACAATTTTCCGAACTTTCTGGTTGGTTTCTACTGTCCGATATTGTAGCACGCTAACTTTGTTTGGGCTCCTGAACGACACGGGGGAGCAGCATTTTCTTGTTGACTGTTTTCTTGTTGCCTGTTTTGGTGTGGACTGTTTTCTTGCTGACTGTTTTTTGTTGACTGTTTTCTTGCTGACTGTTTTTTGTTGACTGTTTTCTTGTTGACTGTTTTCTTGCTGACTGTTTTGGTGTTGACTGTTTTCTTGCTGACTGTTTTGGTGTTGACTGTTTGTGGTTGACTGTTTATGGTTGACAGTTTTCTTGTTGACTGTTTTTTGCTGACTGTTTCTTGTTGACTGTTTATGGTTGACTGTTTTTTGTTGACTGTTTTCTTGCTGACTGTTTTTTTGCTGACTGTTTTCTTGTTGACTGTTTTCTTGTTGACTGTTTTCTTGTTGACTGTTTTCTTGTTGACTGTTTTTTGTTGACTGTTTTCTTGTTGACTGTTTTCTTGTTGACTGTTTTCTTGTTGACTGATTATGGTTGACTGTTTTCTTGTTGACTGTTTTCTTGTTGACTGTTTTCTTGCTGACTGTTTTCTTGTTGACTGCTTTGGTGTTGACTGTTTGTGGTTGACTGTTTTCTTGTTGACTGTTTTCTTGTTGACTGTTTTCTTGCTGACTGTTTTCTTGTTGACAGTTTTCTTGTTGACTGTTTTCTTGCTGACTGTTTTCTTGTTGACTGTTTTTTGCTGACTGTTTTCTTGTTGACTGTTTTCTTGTTGACTGATTTTAGTTGACGTTTTCTTGTTGACTGTTTTCTTGCTGACTGTTTTCTTGTTGACTGTTTTCTTGCTGACTGTTTTCTTGTTGACTGTTTTCTTGCTGACTGTTTATGTTTGACTGTTTTCTTGCTGACTGTTTTCTTGCTGACTGTTTTCTTGTTGACTGATTATAGTTGACGTTTTCTTGTTGACTGTTTTCTTGCTGACTGTTTTCTTGCTGACTGTTTTCTTGCTGACTGTTTATGTTTGACTGTTTTCTTGTTGACTGTTTTCTTGTTGACTGTTTTCTTGCTGACTGTTTATGTTTGACTGTTTTCTTGTTGACTGTTTTCTTGTTGACTGTTTTCTTGCTGACTGTTTATGTTTGAGTGTTTTCTTGCTTGTGTCGGCAGTCGTGGCCAAAGGAGGATTCAGACAATTTTCCGAACTTTCTGATTGGTTTCTACTGTCCGATATTGTAGCACGCTAACTTTGTTTGGGCTCCTGAACGACACGGGGGAGCAGCGTCTGCCTCACAACCAATCAGGTTAGAGGAGGTGGAGAACGGCTTTGTTTACAGTCAGAAAGAGCGGACCGCTCAAAAATGTTCAAATGTTGACGACACAGACAGAAGAGAACACAGAGATATCGATATATTACCAAATAATCAATAACTAATAACTATTGACTGATATTAGAAGAGTTTTTGTATTAAAACCACAAAATAAAAAGATGATTCTTTAACAGTGATCAATACTTTCGTTCAATAACCTCCGTCAGGTAAGGTGGAGTTCGTCCAGCTGGCCGATCTGCTGAACATCGAGGTCATCACGCTCAAGTCCAGGCCACACCCCCTCAGCAAGTTGTGCCCCTCCCTCTACCTGTCCGCCCCAAGCCGCTTCATCTGCTGGATCGTCCAACACAAGTGAGACCTGGAGGAGGATTACAGGGTCCCCCAAAGAGTTCAGACTCAAGTCCAGCTGAACCACATCTGTGTGTGTGTGTGTGTGTGTGTGTGTGTGTGTGTGTGTGTGTGTGTGTGTGTGTTCCAGGGCCTTTGTGATCGTGTACGACCTCATCATCCTGGTCAACGCCGTCTTCATCGGTCTGGACGAGGATAACCCGATCATCGCTAACTCGGAGTGGGGGTTCCTGACTCTGTACCTGCTGGAGATCTTACTGAAGCTGTACGTGTTCGAACCCCGGGCCTTCTTCTCCAGGAACAGCTTCTGGAACTGGTGAGGAACCGCCCACATCTTCATGAACCTGTCTTTGACCAGTTAGTCTTTCAGGACGTCTGCTCCGCCTCTCGTGGTCATGTGACAGCCATGTCAGCGAGACGTTGGTGAGGACGATCCAGTGGGAGTAGACCACTTCAGAACCAGGTTTTCTTCAAGGACCTGAATGGTTTCTTAGACCAGTGGTGTACTCAGAGGGGGTCAGAGGGGGCGGGGTCCTCCCTGGTGCCCTCTTGGACACCCTTGAAGCAGATCCACAGGAGAACGCGTCCCTGAAGCCCCTGAACAGGAAGTTAGGATGAAAAAAACGGCGTGATAGATCAGCGCCGTACCCTCAGAGTATTTTAGGAGTATTTGGTGTAAACAGGGGTCTGAATCCGGACCTGTGAAGATCCTAGTCCAGGACACTTTTCTTGATGGTAGGGGAAGATCCCGCCTCCTTCGCCTCTGATTGGCTAGAAAAGCTGGCCTTCGATTGGTTCGAGCCGAGCGCGGGCTGTCGGCTCTGAACATCGAACAGAACGTTATCGTAACTCTGAGTCTCCTGAACTTAACGCTGCGTTGGAGTTTCCTCGGAGGTCAGATGTCGGAGATGAAAACGACGTCAAACCCGAGTTCAGCGTTTCAGTTACCAAGTCGGAAAAAAAAAGCAAAATCGGAGGTTTGAAACAAGATGGCTACGTCTACGAAAGTAACTTTAGCGCTCGCCTCATATTCGGACAAGGCTAGCGCTAAAATAACTCGTAGACGTCGCCATCTTGTTTCAAACCTCCGATTTTGCTTTTTTCCGACGTCATTTTCAGCTCCGACTCCTGACCTCTGAGGTTACTCGAACGCAGCACAACCTGACGACGGCGACGTTTCACTGCCATAAAGAATAACCAATCAGAGCCCAGCACCTGTGGCCAATCAGAGGCGAAGGAGGCGGGACCTTCCCCTGCCGTCCTTGGACTGGTCGTCTGTGAGAGCAGAGGTCCAAACTCTGGTTCTGATGATGTTGGTTGAAGCTGTTCTGATGACCGTGCTGACTCCTCCCCCTCCTCTCACTCACAGTTTATACGCCGCCCAGATTATCAGTATGAGGTACGTGGAGATGATCACCTGTCTTTGACCCGTCTGCTGCTGCAGCTTCTTCAGCCTGTCAGAGCTTCAGCAGGTTCATGGAGTTCTTCTGGACCCACAGGAGGAGAGCAGCTGCTGAGTTCTGGAGAACCGCCGTCTGAAAGAGTCTGAGAGAAAAACTGACACCTGAGCTCCACCTGTGGATCAGGGAGTCCTTCAGACTCTTTCAGCCCCGTGTCTCGGTGCGAGTCCACCTGGACAGTCTGATGCAGCAGGTCCCAGAGTGTCCTGACCTCTGACCTCTAAAGGTCCAAACCTCTAAGAGTTCACCTGTCCAATCAGGACCAGGTCTCACACAGACAGACCAGAGCCTGCATCAGACTGGACAGGAAGGACCTGCAGCGGTCTCCAGGCTCTTTTTGCTTCACTCTACAGTAGTGCGCCCCCTGCTGCTGAGGGACCTGACTCCATCAGTCCTGGTTTATGGCGTCCAGGTTTGCTCGCTGTGACGCAGAAACAGCTTTTTGTCTCTCAGCTGGTGCCGGTCCGGTTCGGTCCGGTCCGGTTCAGCTCCTCCCTTCTCTGTCTCTGATTGGACCGTCTCTCAGGTTTGTTTTTCTACGTTTTCAGGTTTGACACCATCATCGTTGTCTCCGCTCTCGTCGCCACCATCATCAACTCTGCCGTCAAAACATGTAAGAACCGTTAGTTTCTCTGTTGGCATGACGACGCTCGTCTTTCCACGTTTGATTCACGATAAAACCTCAAAGTAAGAGTGAAGACTGAAGGACTGATCTGGACCCTTCAGTCCTGAGATTTCTGTAGACGATGAACTCGGGAACTTTGGACTTTTTTACACTTTTCCTTTTCTGTCTCTGAATAAACGTGTGTTGTGTGTCTGTTGTGTTTGTTTTCTCTGTTGTGTGTCTGTTGTGTGTCTGTTGTGTTGCAGCGGGGGGTTTTACCAGCCGTCAGATCCTGGACATCGTCTTCATCCTGCGAGTCCTCAGACTGATCCGGGTGGTGGACAGCATCAAGAGGTCGGAGCTCGGACTGTTGTGCAGATGTGTAGTTGTGTAGTTGTGTGTAGTTGTTTGAGTTGTGTGGTTGTTTGAGTTGTGTAGTTGTGTAGTTGTGTGGTTGTGTAGTTGTGTGGTTGTGTAGTTGTGTAGTTGTGTAGTTGTGTAGTTGTGTGGTTGTGTAGTTGTGTGGTTGTGTAGTTGTATAGTTGTGTAGTTGTGTAGTTGTGTGGTTGTGTAGTTGTGTGGTTGTGTAGTTGTGTAGTTGTGTGGTTGTGTAGTTGTGTAGTTGTGTGGTTGTTTGAGTTGTTTAGTTTGAGTTGTGTAGTTGTGTGGTTGTGTGAAGTTCTTTGAGTTGTGTGTTGGTTGTGTAGTTGTGTAGTTGTGTAGTTGTGTGTAGTTGTTTGAGTTGTGTAGTTGTGTAGTTGTTTGAGTTGTGTAGTTGTGTAGTTGTGTGGTTGTGTAGTTGTGTAGTTATTTGAGTTGTGTAGTTGTTTGAGTTGTGTGGTTGTGTAGTTGTGTAGTTGTGTGTAGTTGTTTGAGTTGTGTGTGGTTGTGTAGTTGTGTGTAGTTGTTTGAGTTGTGTGTGGTTGTGTAGTTGTGTGTAGTTGTTTGAGTTGTGTGTGGTTGTGTAGTTGTGTGTAGTTGTTTGAGTTGTGTGTGGTTGTGTAGTTGTGTAGTTGTGTGTAGTTGTTTGAGTTGTGTAGTTGTGTAGTTGTTTGAGTTGTGTAGTTGTGTGTAGTTGTGTGGTTGTTTGAGTTGTGTAGTTGTGTGTATTTGTTTGAGTTGTGTAGTTGTTTGAGTTGTGTAGTTGTGTAGTTGTGTGTAGTTGTTTGAGTTGTGTGGTTGTGTAGTTGTGTAGTTGTGTGTAGTTGTTTGAGTTGTGTAGTTGTGTGTAGTTGTGTGGTTGTTTGAGTTGTGTAGTTGTGTGTAGTTGTGTGGTTGTTTGAGTTGTGTAGTTGTGTGTAGTTGTGTAGTTGTTTGAGTTGTGTGTGGTTGTGTAGTTGTGTAGTTGTGTGTAGTTGTTTGAGTTGTGTGTGGTTGTGTAGTTGTGTAGTTGTTTGAGTTGTGTAGTTGTGTAGTTGTTTGAGTTGTGTAGTTGTGTGTAGTTGTGTGGTTGTTTGAGTTGTGTAGTTGTGTAGTTGTTTGAGTTGTGTAGTTGTGTGTAGTTGTTTGAGTTGTGTAGTTGTTTGAGTTGTGTAGTTGTGTAGTTGTGTGTAGTTGTTTGAGTTGTGTGGTTGTGTAGTTGTGTGTAGTTGTTTGAGTTGTGTAGTTGTTTGAGTTGTGTAGTTGTGTGTAGTTGTGTGGTTGTTTGAGTTGTGTAGTTGTGTGTAGTTGTGTGGTTGTTTGAGTTGTGTAGTTGTGTGTAGTTGTGTAGTTGTTTGAGTTGTGTAGTTGTGTAGTTGTGTAGTTGTTTGAGTTGTGTGGTTGTGTAGTTGTTTGAGTTGTGTAGTTGTGTGGTTGTGTGTAGTTGTTTGAGTTGTGTGTGGTTGTGTAGTTGTGTGTAGTTGTTTGAGTTGTGTGTGGTTGTGTAGTTGTGTAGTTGTGTGTAGTTGTTTGAGTTGTGTAGTTGTGTGTAGTTGTTTGAGTTGTGTGGTTGTGTAGTTGTGTGTAGTTGTTTGAGTTGTGTAGTTGTGTGTAGTTGTGTGGTTGTTTGAGTTGTGTAGTTGTGTGTAGTTGTGTGGTTGTTTGAGTTGTGTAGTTGTGTGTAGTTGTGTAGTTGTTTGAGTTGTGTGTGGTTGTGTAGTTGTGTAGTTGTGTGTAGTTGTTTGAGTTGTGTGTGGTTGTGTAGTTGTGTAGTTGTGTGTAGTTGTTTGAGTTGTGTAGTTGTGTAGTTGTTTGAGTTGTGTAGTTGTGTGGTTGTTTGAGTTGTGTAGTTGTGTAGTTGTTTGAGTTGTGTAGTTGTGTGTAGTTGTTTGAGTTGTGTAGTTGTGTAGTTGTGTGTAGTTGTTTGAGTTGTGTGGTTGTGTAGTTGTGTGTAGTTGTTTGAGTTGTGTAGTTGTTTGAGTTGTGTAGTTGTGTGTAGTTGTGTGGTTGTTTGAGTTGTGTAGTTGTGTGTAGTTGTGTGGTTGTTTGAGTTGTGTAGTTGTTTGAGTTGTGTAGTTGTGTGTAGTTGTGTAGTTGTGTAGTTGTGTAGTTGTTTGAGTTGTGTGGTTGTGTAGTTGTTTGAGTTGTGTAGTTGTGTGGTTGTGTGTAGTTGTTTGAGTTGTGTAGTTGTTTGAGTTGTGTAGTTGTGTGTAGTTGTTTAAGTTGTGTAGTTGTTTGAGTTGTGTAGTTGTGTAGTTGTGTGTAGTTGTTTGAGTTGTGTAGTTGTGTGGTTGTGTAGTTGTATAGTTGTGTAGTTGTGTGTAGTTGTTTGAGTTGTGTAGTTGTGTAGTTGTATAGTTGTGTAGTTGTGTAGTTGTGTGTAGTTGTTTGAGTTGTGTAGTTGTGTAGTTGTGTGTAGTTGTTTGAGTTGTGTGTAGTTGTTTGAGTTGTGTAGTTGTGTAGTTGTGTAGTTGTGTAGTTGTGTAGTTGTTTGAGTTGTGTAGTTGTGTAGTTGTGTGTAGTTGTTTGAGTTGTGTAGTTGTGTGTAGTTGTTTGAGTTGTGTAGTTGTTTGAGTTGTGTAGTTGTGTAGTTGTGTGTAGTTGTTTGAGTTGTGTGGTTGTGTAGTTGTGTGTAGTTGTTTGAGTTGTGTAGTTGTTTGAGTTGTGTAGTTGTGTGTAGTTGTGTGGTTGTTTGAGTTGTGTAGTTGTGTGTAGTTGTGTGGTTGTTTGAGTTGTGTAGTTGTGTGTAGTTGTGTAGTTGTTTGAGTTGTGTAGTTGTGTAGTTGTGTAGTTGTTTGAGTTGTGTAGTTGTGTGGTTGTGTGTAGTTGTTTGAGTTGTGTAGTTGTTTGAGTTGTGTAGTTGTGTGTAGTTGTTTGAGTTGTGTAGTTGTTTGAGTTGTGTAGTTGTGTAGTTGTGTGTAGTTTTTTGAGTTGTGTAGTTGTTTGAGTTGTGTGTAGTTGTTTGAGTTGTGTAGTTGTGTAGTTGTGTGTAGTTGTTTGAGTTGTGTAGTTGTGTGTAGTTGTTTGAGTTGTGTAGTTGTGTGTAGTTGTTTGAGTTGTGTGTAGTTGTTTGAGTTGTGTGGTTGTGTAGTTGTGTAGTTGTGTGTAGTTGTTTGAGTTGTGTCTGTTCTCTCAGGTTTCGGACCATCATCAACACTCTGATCCGGATCGGACCGGCCATCCTGACGTTCGGTCAGCTGATCATTGTGAGTCAGACACAGTTTTGTTGTGTTACTTTTTACACAGCTGAGCTTCAGGAAGGTCTGAAGGTGTTCTTACGCTGGCTCCGCCCCCTCAGGTGGTGTACTACATCTTCGCCATGGTCGGGATGGAGCTGTTCAAAGGGAAGGTGAAGTTCTCCGAGGACCCGAGCGACCCGCTGAGGGAGTCCTGTGGAAACGCTCTTCTGAAAGGAAGCGTCTTCGCTCAACTCAACTACTGCAAGAACAACTTCAACAACGTGGTGTCCTCCTTCATCCTGCTGGTGGAGCTCACCGTGGTCAACCAATGGCACGATATCCTTTACCTGAACGCCTCAGAGTCCGATACATGTAGAGGTCCGAGTATCGGGTCAGTCTGAAGACCTCTGTTTAGATAAAGGTTCAGGGTCAGTCTGAAGACCTCTGTTTAGATAAAGGTTCAGGGTCAGTCTGAAGACCTCTGTTTAGATAAAGGTTCAGGGTCAGTCTGAAGACCTCTGTTCAAATAAAGGTTCAGGGTCAGTCTGAAGACCTCTGTTTAGATAAAGGTTCAGGGTCAGTCTGAAGACCTCTGTTCAAATAAAGGTTCAGGATCAGTCTGAAGACCTCTGTTCAAATAAAGGTTCAGGGTCAGTCTGAAGACCTCTGTTTAGATAAAGGTTCAGGGTCAGTCTGAAGACCTCTGTTTAGATAAAGGTTCATGGTCAGTCTGAAGACCTCTGTTCAAATAAAGGTTCAGGTTCAGTCTGAAGACCTCTGTTCAAATAAAGGTTCAGGGTCAGTCTGAAGACCTCTGTTCAAATAAAGGTTCAGGGTCAGTCTGAAGACCTCTGTTTAGATAAAGGTTCAGGGTCAGTCTGAAGACCTCTGTTTAGATAAAGGTTCAGGGTCAGTCTGAAGACCTCTGTTCAAATAAAGGTTCAGGGTCAGTCTGAAGACCTCTGTTTAGATAAAGGTTCAGGGTCAGTCTGAAGACCTCTGTTCAAATAAAGGTTCAGGGTCAGTCTGAAGACCTCTGTTCAAATAAAGGTTCAGGGTCAGTCTGAAGACCTCTGTTTAGATAAAGGTTCAGGGTCAGTCTGAAGACCTCTGTTTAGATAAAGGTTCAGGGTCAGTCTGAAGACCTCTGTTCAAATAAAGGTTCAGGTTCAGTCTGAAGACCTCTGTTCAAATAAAGGTTCAGGGTCAGTCTGAAGACCTCTGTTCAAATAAAGGTTCAGGGTCAGTCTGAAAACCTCTGTTTAGATAAAGGTTCAGGGTCAGTCTGAAGACCTCTGTTTAGATAAAGGTTCAGGGTCAGTCTGAAGACGCTCTCACACTGAAACTCTTCAGATCCTGGTCCTGGTCTCTTCAGATCTGGTCTTTCTTTGAGTCCTTAACGGGTCTCCACTGCTCAGCAGCGGCTTCACCGCCGTCACCCACGTGTCGGCCCGGATCTTCTTCGTCCTCTTCCACATCATGGTGGTCATCATCATCATCAAGTAAGACCAGGACCCGGGTTCATCTCTGCTCTGCAGGTTTTAACATGGGGCTCTATGGGGTCTGACTCACTGCAGGGGTGGCCTCTAGTGGTCACTAAAAGAACTGCAGGTTTTGGGATTTTAATGACGGTGTCAGTTCTCTGTATCGGACGCTGGCGCCGTTCCTTGACCCGGTCCGCTCACTGCTTCCTGATGTCTTTCAGCATCTTCGTGGCGTTCGTCCTGGAGGCGTTCTTCGTGGAGTACTCGGTGGATAAGAGCGACCTGCAGACGTCTCTGGAGAAGAAGATCGAGGAGCTGGAGCTGGCCGTGGCGCAGTATGTAGATGAGCACAGCTCTGGTTTCATACTGCTCTCTGATTGGTTGATATTGTTCTTCATGAAACTCAAACATGTTAATGATTTTGGCGCCGGTTCATCTGAGCAGGTGGAGCGAGCGCCGCTCAGACGGCGAGTTAGTAACCTCTTCAGCTGTCCTCTGTCCTTTAGAGCGAAGGTGGAGGACAACCTGGTGAACGCCATGGAAACTGTTGACAACGACCTGGGAACTGGCCAATCAGCAAACAGCAAACCCACCCTGATGTTTAAAATCGCTTCCAAAAGTAAGAACGGGTCCAAAGTGTTCTGTTCTGGTTCTGTTCTGGTTCTGTTCTGGTTCTGTTCTGGGCGGATCCAAGGTCCAAAATCTGAGTATCTAACCTGAACCGACCCTCCGAGACTCCTGATTGGCTGTGTGTGTTTCCTGTCAGGGTATCGGACCGTGGACGCTCTGCTCCAGCGGATGTTCGAGGCCGATTTGGACCCCGAGGACTTTGCTGAGACGGACGACCCCGAAGCCACGACCAACGGAAACTTCAGTAACCCGACGTTCAGCGCGGCGTAACGCTGTTTTTAAAGGTTCACTCAGTGACTCTGACGGTCCGATCTGGTGTTTTATTTTTATATTCCTGTTTTTTTTCACATGAAGATTATTTACACGTTTCATCTCTGTTGAGTTTTGATGCTCTTTTCATTTCCTGAACAAACAAATAAATATTTAAACATGAAGAGGGTCTGCTGGGGGTTCAGAGGGTCTGCTGGGAGTTCAGAGGGTCTGCTGGGGGTTCAGAGGGTCTGCTGGGGGTTCAGAGGGTCTGCTGGGAGTTCAGAGGGTCTGCTGGGGGTTCAGAGGGTCTGCTGGGGGTTCAGAGGGTCTGCTGGGAGTTCAGACCTCCTCATTTCATCATCAGACCCTCAGACTGACTCCCTTCCTTTCAAACCTGCTCCATCTCCACCAGCTGAAGTCCTGTAGATGAAGCAGACAGGTCCTCAGTGATCCACATGAACCTCCAGGATGATGAAGATCAGGGACTCTGATGAGACACGAGCTCAACGGACCAGAACCACTGACAGTCTAAACCTAAACTCAGACCTGGTCCAGACCTGAACCAGATCATAATAATAATAATAATAATAATAATCTCGTTGTCAGCTTTATTTATTTGATCACATTTAAAAACAGTCAGTGGTCGACCAAAGTGCTGTAGAGTAAAATAAGCAGAGACAATAAAACTATAAAAACTATAAACAACAATCAAAATAAACTCAGTCAATAAAGAACAGCAGCTGTATTTCCTCTAAAGCTGAAGTGAACAGCTGAGTCTTCAGAGCTGTTTTCACTGTCAGAGGTAAAACGTTCCACAAAGTTGGAGCTGCGACAAGAAGATCCTCGATCTAGATTTGAAAAAGGACGAGGAACGTCTAAAACCACCTGATCAGCTGACCTCAGGGCTCTGGAGGACTGACGCAGTTTAACCAGGTCAGATATTCTGGGGTCATTCAGAGACTTCAAAAGAAATAAAAGGACCTTAAAATCGATCCTGTACTGAACAGTGAAGAGACCCCAAAAACTGACCCCAAGGGGAGAGTGTAGAGAATAGTAGGGGACCCAGAACTGACCCTTGGGGGACCCCACACGTCAGAGGGGCGACTGTGGAGGAGAACTGACCCGTGTGCACAGAGAAAGATCTCTCAGAGAGGTACGATCTGAACCAGCTCAGAGCGGCGCCTGTGACTCCTACACAGTGTTGAATCAAGGAGGGTTAAAAAGGCGGAGCTACCAGAATCAAGGTTCGACAAAAGGTCATTCAAAACTTTTCAAAGAGACTTAAAACCAGACTGAAACTCTTCACACACATTTGCCCTTTATCACTATTATTACTATTATTACTACTACTAATAATAATAATAATCATTATTATTTTTTTAATTACTATAATAATAATAATAATATTATTATTACTATTATTATTATTATTATTATTATTATTATTATTATTGTTATTATTATTATTATTATTATTATTATTATCCTGATTGGATGAAATTTTAAAACGTCTCTCCTGTCAGAATTGAAGTGTGAGCTCCACCAGAACGATCTCCTCCGGGTCAGCAGGGGGCGCTGTGTGTCTGCAGCATTAGAGGAAGTGTGTGTGTGTATGTGTGTGTGTGTGTGTGTGTGTGTGGTGCTGATGATGCCTCAGAGATGGAGCAGAGGGAGTGGAGGAGGAGGATGAAGCTCGGCTCCGGACGGAAAACAACCTTCAGGTAAGAAAACAACAAAGAAACTCCAGAACCGAACCGACGAACCGAACCGACGAACCGGAGCAGCCGAACAGAGCGCGGAAAGAGCCGACTATCGAGGCGGGAGAGGCAGTCTGTGTGTGTGTGTGTGTGTGTGTGTGTGTGTGTGTGTGTGTGTGTGTGTGTGTGTGTGTGTGTGTGTGTGTGTGTGTGTGTGTGCGCGCGTGCAGCCTGGGAGGCCCTGAGAGGACCTGGTCTTTAGAGGACCCGGTCCGTGTATGTTCGTGGTTCTGGACCAGAATCAGACCCTGTTACAGTGAGACGTTCAGGGACCGTGGGATAATAAAGAACCCAGTTAGAACCCCGTCCGAACCGGCCCGGTTAGAGGAGGAGGAGGAGGATGGTGCGTTCAGGTGTAGTTAGGAGGGTGGGCCTGATCAGCTCCGTCCGCCTCACCCAGCTGTTCGACTCAGGTCATACAGGAAAAACAACATCCGGTCTGGATTTTCAAAATAAAACTTTTATTATCAAAGTTATCCTTCCAAAAAAGTACTAAAAGTTCAAGAAAACTCAGTTTTATCAATAATTTACTGTGAGGTTCGTGTTTATCTGTCCTGACATGAATAAAATCATCAATTATCTGTTTCTAAATTAATCTGATTATTTGTTTATTAAGAACTTTAATCAGACACCAGTTTTACCTACTCTGTTCTTTTATTTCCCATTTTTAGTTTTATTTCTACGCTCATTATTATCAGATTTATTTTTACTTTGAGGGATTTAATATTTTTTATTTCTGTGTACTAAAACATCTTCGCGGTTCTGGATGTCTTTTGTTGAATTGTGCGGTTTTGTGAGAATTCTTGGCTCCACATTCGTCTCTCCCCGATCCGTCCCAGAACCACGATTTGTACTGCGCATGTGCGAAAAAACCTCACTTCCTCTAAAACGTCACTTCCTCTCTTCGTATTTCAGTGCATTTTACAGCAGTCTGTGTAGTCGGCGTGTGCAAACATACGTCACCTTAAAAAAACTTTATACAAACAGCCAATTGATTTCAGACACCAGCTGACCAGCGAGCAGAGGGCTCCAGGGCCAAAACCGGGGCATTCGCTACAGCTCCTGCCCAGCATAGTGAGACCTTTTGGGCCACAGAGAGCGCCACCAACCCGCCAAAATCCTGGAGCTCTGACTCTTCAAAGTATCGAGGGGGGATGGTCTGGAGGTGTGTGGCTGCACATGGTGCACCAAGGGCAGTGTGTGTGATCTATCTATCTATCTATCTATCTGTCTATCTATCTATCTATCTATCTATCTATCTATCTATCTATACATGTAATGTGTTATGATCAGTTCAAAGTTGCCATGTGCTGAGGACATGACAAAATAAAAGCGTAAAAATTGATGTTCAAAACATAAAATATTGAATAAACAGCAGACTCTGAAATCCGGTGAAGTGACGTTTTTCCGCACATGCTCAGTACAAATCGTGTTTCCGGGACGGATCAGGTAGCCAAAACATTACTGGACCCCTGGGTTCATATAGGATAGGTTCCTGAGAACTTGGTTCTGGGTTCTCAAATTCATGGTTTTGTTGTACTGGGCTATCCAGTGATGGGTTCTAGAATGTCCAGATCTGTCATGTTTGGTTCTGTAATGTTTGGTTCTGTAATAGTTGGTTCTAGAATGTTTGGTTCTGTAATGTTTGGTTCTATAATGTTAAGTTCTATAATGTTTGGTTCTAGAATGTTTGGTTCTACAATGTTTGGTTCTATAATGTTAAGTTCTATAATGTTAAGTTCTATAATGTTAAGTTCTATAATGTTTGGTTCTAGAATGTTTGGTTCTACAATGTTTGGTTCTATAATGTTAAGTTCTATAATGTTAAGTTCTATAATGTTAAGTTCTAGAATGTTTGGTTCTACAATGTTTGGTTCTATAATGTTAAGTTCTATAATGTTTGGTTCTAGAATGTTAAGTTCTAGAATGTTTGGTTCTGAAATATTTGGTTCTAGAATGTTAAGTTCTAGAATGTTTGGTTCTAGAAAGTTTCGTTCTACAATGTTTGGTTCTTAAATGTTTGGTTCTATAATTTTTGGTTCTTTGATGTTTGGTTCTAGAATGTAGAATGTTAAGTTCTAGAATGTTTGGTTCTAGAATGTTTGGTTCTGTGATGTTTGGTTCTACAATGTTTGGTTCTAGAATGTAGAATGTTAAGTTCTAGAATGTTTGGTTCTAGAAAGTTTGGTTCTAGAATGTTTGGTTCTGCGATATCCGGACTCTCTTAAAGAGACAGTAACAGGAACGAGACTTTCACAGATTTCAAGCGGAGATCAGGATCGAGTTTTTGAGAGAAACTCCCTGAAACATCAGTTTGAGGTTTCAGAGACGGACTGAACAGAACCAGAACCTGGAGCGTTCCCAGAAGGAGATGAAGTTTCTGTAACTTTAACACGTTTTTAATGATGAAGTGAAGTGGACACTGTGACGGTGAAGAGAGCAACTCTCTCTGTGTGAAGGTTCTGATGCTGAGAAGGTTTGGACCTCTGAACCAGGACCGCTCAGAAAACTTCAGAAAGGACAAAAAATATCAAAACACAGAAAACGAAGGAAAAGAACCGACTTCAAAAATGACTTTGAGAAATCATATAAAAACAAACAACGGTCTGAACCTCTGAGTGATAAACCAACAAAAACGGTTAAAGATTGAAAACAAAGAAAATACTGAAGAAGTCAAAGTAGAAGTTTACAGTCTGACTAAGATATTATAATATTATAAAAACAGGCAGTATCACTCCTGCTCAGGATTACAGTTCAGAAATTAACCGTAACAGCAGTCAGGATAAGAACATGGACAGTGTAGCTGCTGTCAGAGAAATTCAGGTCAATTTTATGAGTTTTGTTTTTATTTAATAAGTTAAAAGTTAAAATAAGTTCAGTTAAAATGTCTTAAAATCCTGTTGTTTGAATAAATAGATAAATATGATTTTATTGAGCTGAGGGAGGGTCAGGTTGGTGTTTGTTGTGACTCTCTCAGGGTTTGTTCACTAATTAGAGCGCCGGCGAGGAAGAGGAGAGCAGGTCACATGATCGACGACGGAGGGTGAAACACTGAGGAAGACGAGAAGAAGACTTACGATCAATTTTTCTGTTTAGTTGATGCAGCAGACGAGTCTGTGTGGAGCGAGTTTACTGAGTTTTAATCAGTCCGACTTCAGTCTCTGTTTTCTTTAGTTTTGTAGTTTTTTTATACTTGTTATATTTTATCAGATTAATTTGTTTCTGAAGAGTTTTATTTTTGGATTAGAGTTTTTACAAACTCAGATTATGTTTTTTTATGATTTAAATCTGTGACCAAAGGAAAGTCTGAGTCTGTTTTCAGCTGGAGGAGAGTCACAGTCAGTCCGTCTGCAGACACGGGTTCGAACACAGAGAGGTTACTAAAGGTCAGGTCTGTTATCTTTGTTATTTATTCACTTTTTAGAGTCAAAGAAAATCTGTAAATAAAACTCTAAAATATTTTAAAGTTAAAAAAAAAAAGTGACATAAATGAAAAAACACTTTTCTGCTGACAGTGCGTTAGTCAGGTGTTTTATTTTGAAAGTCCGGGCCGGATGTTGTGGCGGTGCGGGGTGACGCGGGTTTGACGCACTGGATGCGGAGCTGCAGTGCGGACAAACAGGCAGGAGAACCTGACACCCACAGACCGCCGCCAGGTTCTGGTTCTGTCCCGAGTCTGAACCCCGGATCCGGTCCAGCAAGAGGATCCGGTCCAGTCCGGATCCCCGTCTTTATTTTTGCGGCGGAGACCCGAACCCGGACCCGGACCCGGACCCGGACAGCAGCGGGGTTTGATGCGCTCCGGGACTCTGGTGGATCTAGACCTTTTTTTTTTTTTGGTACCGGACTCGGTTCGTCCCCGTCCTTCAGCGGGTCTGTTCTGTCGGTCTAAGGAGGGTACCGGGTCGGTTCGGTGTCGGGGACTGTAAATAGATGGTGGTCTAGTCCTGCGGGAGCGTGAGGCCCGAACCCCGGCCCCCCCCCTCAGAGGAACGGTGGGTTTTCTGGACCAGAACCAGGTTTTGTGCCGAACTAAAATCCCAGATGAAGATTCCCAAAAGGCGGAAAAGGAGCGGACGGTGCGCCAGGTAGGCCCGAACCGGACCGAACCCGGACCCCAGCAGAGCTCCGAGTGTGTGTGTGTGTGTGTGTGTGTGTGTGTGTGTGTGTGTGTGTGTGTGTTTTCTGCAGTCCTCTGAATCTCGGATCCGGATCAGACCTGGGTGTCCAGACTGGACCCTGATAGTCCTGTAGACCCGGGCTGATCCGGACTGGGTCACTTAAATGATCTTTAGTCCAGAACCGGGTCAGTCCGGGCCAGATTTATTGATCAGCAGGATGCGATGGTGCGCATGCGCACAGTGCACCCATGACTGTGCACTGCAGAGAGGAGGATGGGGGGGGGGGAGCAGAACCCTCCGAACCAGAACCAGAACCAGGACCGAGGATTTTAGATCTGATTTGATTAAATTGTTTCAGGAAGATTAAAATCAAATTTAATAATTAATTTATAATATTTAATTATAAATAAAACTGCCTGATGTACGGAAAGACTTCAGGGTCAAAATTCAGACAAAACAAACTGGGGAGGGTCCAGACGAGTGGAGCAGAACCAGGTGTTCTGGTTCACAGTGAGATCCAAACTTCTCTGAGTATCAGGTCCAGACCCAGACCCAGACCCAGACTTCGAGTTTCTTTATTTACTGAATCAAACTCAGCTGTGATTTCTCTCTAATGTCAGTGTTTGGCTTCCATATCACAGCCTGATGGTGTTTCATTTAATATACAGAAAAAACAATAAAATATTAAAACTATACAAATAATAAAAACCAAAAATATATATAAAAAAAACGAAAAACAATTAAAAAATAAAAATGAACAAAAACTATAAAAACTGTAAAAAACTATAAAAATTAAGGGGTTTAAATAGCAGCTTGGAGAGGAGTATCGCACTTTCTGGAGGTGAAGCTGTTGTGGAATAAAAAAACAATAGATAAAATTATATACATAAAAAGATTTATGTTTCTATTTACACATAATAAACAGTAAAAACAGGAGCCCAGTGCAGCAGGGTAGGAGTGGGGGGTTATATGGAGGCCCTCTGAGGATCAGGTCCAGACCTGTGAGGGGTCCATAAAACCCCAAACCGCATGAATGTGGATCATTAAGACCACGTCAGAGATTTTTAAGACTGAAATAACGGACGTGATTTTCTTACAAGAGAAAAATTAAAGTTAAATTAATTATTTTTACAAGAATAAAGTTGGAAAGAAATCAGGATGTAGTAAAACCAGAATAAACTGATTTTGAAGATTATTAAACCTTTTTCTAAAGTGATGAAAAAATAAACTCGTTTCTGATCGGATAAAGTTCCAGTTTCCCTAAAATAATGAAGAAGAAGAAAGCTGACTTTTTTTTTATTCTTGTAAGAATAAAACTTTTTCCTCACGTGACCCTGAATCTGAACTCATGACGAACGTTTAACGTCAGGAAAGAGAGAAATTCTCCGTCACCATCGGAGAAAAACACTTTTCTGCTCGTTTTAACTTTTTAACAAAACTTTTTAATAAAACTCTGTTTGTACGGAAGAACTTGTGTGCCAAAATTCACTTTTCCCAGGATGTGAAACAGCGAGAACTCGAGTATCAGACGGTGAGGTAACGGGGGTCAGAGGCGGGTGTGAGAAGTGCATGGCGTGAAAGGATGATGTGAAGAGGTGTGGCTAACTGACGGGTGAGTTTACGTCAAGTTCACGAAGTGTGTGTGTGTGTGTGTGTGCGCGCGTGTGTGTGTGTGTGTGTGTGTGTGTGTGTGTGTGTGTGTGTGTGTGCGTGCGTGTGTGTGTGTGTGTGTGTGTGTGTGTGTGTGTGTGTGTGTGGAACGGTCACTCAAGCACCGACAGGATCTCTCACCTGGTGTTTGACGGCCTGTCCCTCCATGCTCCGCCCCCTATGATGTCACTGTTTAAGCCTGTGTGTGCAGGTGGGACACCTGCGGCGGTCCGCGGTCCTCCTCCTCCTCCTCCTCCTCCTCCTTCTCCTGGTTAACTGTGCCCTCTGTTTTGGCTTGTAGGCTAACACAGGAACAGGAAGGGTTTTGTCCCGCTCAGGATTTGTTGTAAGCCGTCAGGTTTTCCGGGAGCTCAGAACTATGGTGAGCTCTGACTGATTCATCCGATCAAAACTGGAATGATGCAAAAACCCGGCTTCTGGCAGAGCACCCCCCCCCTCCCCCCAGTAACAGGTTGATAGGTTTGTAGGTGAAGAAGAGAAGAAGAAGAAGAAGAAGAGCAGACGGAGGTTTGAAGGTAGAGGAAGTGTCTGTCGAGATGTTTCACTCTGATCTGCTGCTGAGACGCTGCTGGACCACAGAGTTCCTGTCCTCTACGCTCGTCTTACTCTCCAGGGTCGCACGCCAACGTTAGTTTGGACGGATTTATAACGGACAGATCGATTTATATTAATGTGTCAGAAAATGATGACCTTCACCGTAGAACTCGTGTTTGAATTAACGGAGAAATCGGCCGATGCTGATATGTTGCAGACTTCGTCAAAATGCCAATAATTGGTCGAATTAATCAGTCGACCAATGAAACGGTCTGTCTCTAACACCTCTACAGTCAAACACAGTCAGTGTTAATAATGAATGAGTCTCTTTAAAAACACCGTGTTTCCTCCTCCTAACTTCACGTTGTTACAGTAAAGTTACTTTACCATATCAAACTAGATTTTTTTTATCGTTAAGATCTTCGAACAGGAAGTCCTCGAGAAGATCGGACGCTAACACTCGCACAGCTCCAGTGAGACAGAAAGACTGTCCTGTCCTCAGAACACGGATCAGGCTTTAGGAATCTATTTAAAGGGATATTCCGTCATTAAATTAATTTAGTGTCAAACTCACCGTAACACCGAGTTAGACTCCGCCCCCCTCCAGAGATGAATGTTGTCGACCGCTTCCTTCTCTAGTTATACCAACTTTAGTAACGACCGCAGGATAGAAATACAGAGAGACACGCCCTCAACCAAAACGCCACTCTATAGCCACAAATAATGCTCAGAACAGCACCTAACTTCATCAACAGGACATATAGGGTCACAGACATAGTACTAGACACCAAACATCTTTTTAACTTTGACTCATTTCTTTAGCAAAGAGACTAAACACAACTCACCTACTCTCTTCCAGCAGACGCTTGTTTGCAGAGAGACCTCAGGCCAGTCCATTACAGACTACAGCGGGGTGCCGCAGCTCAAGGAAGAACATTTATGATCATTTCTTTATCATTTCCTTGAAGTAATAATCACCATATTAATCATTTTACAGACGCTGTCGTTCTTCTGTCTTAGCGTCTCGGTCTGATTGTATTTCCATGAAGAAATGATCATAAATGTTCTTCCTTGAGCTGCGTCACCCCGCTGTAGTCTGTAATGGACTGGCCTGAGGTCTCTCTACAAACAAGCGTCTGCTGGAAGAGAGTAGGTGAGTTGTGTTTAGTCTCTTTGCTAAAGAAATGAGTCAAAGTTAAAATCGTCGTAAAGTTCTGCGGTTTGGTTTAAAACGGTAAAAGAAAAAAACATGAATTCGTTTTTTTAGGATCACAAAAGAAAGTCGAACTCTCTGGTGGAACCCTGAGCCGCTACGGTCCAGATGATCAGAACCAGAGCCGAAGAGTCACATGACTGAATCTCATCAACACAAGAGGACATGATCACTGAGAGTCTGATAGAGCAGGATGAGATACACTATAGTAACAGCACAGTAAGATTTGAACTCTTCTGATTGGTTCCTCCCTCTGTCACATGACCTGCTGTGTAAGACTGTTGCGGCGTATTGGGGGGAGCCCTGTGGTCCCGCCCTCTGCAGTGATTGGCGGCTCAGCAGTGTGTTGAGGCCTGCAGCAGGTTTCCCTCCATCTCCAGTGTTACAGTGACTCCCAGCTGATGATGATGATGAAGATGATGATGATGATGATGATGATGAGGATGACTGAGCTGTATCACTGCAGGTGCAGAGAAGCCTCCCCCTCTCCCTCCCAGTCCGTCCAGTCCTCTCTCTGAGCTGGTCTGACTGGAAACACGGCGGACACTCTCCATTATCTCTGCAGTCCGCCTGAGCTCTGCATGCACTGATGACGGCCCGTGGCACTGCATGCAGAACAGCATGGTTCTGGGACTGACATGCATCACTTTGACCTGGAAACTGAACCCCCACAGATCCACCGAGAACTGATAACCATTCATGGCGAGAGTCAGAGTCTAGATCAGAGCGCTTCAGAGACGGACGCTAACCGCCGTCGTCAGAGCGATGCTCCCTAACCCAATCATAATCTCTCTGACCCCAACCTCAGGGGTTTACCGAGAACGTAACGCCTCCTGGGACGTCCTCTCCCCTGAGGTCGTCCTCTCACGCCATGTCCACACGTATTCGTCTATTTATAACTTAAAGTCCTGGTTGACGATCTGAGCCCACCCCCCCACACACACACACAAACCTCCCCCCTCTGTGCTCCACCATAACTCCGCCCCCTGAACCCACGACACACCCCCTCTGGCACAAGATCCTACGCTAGCGTCAAACAGGATCCACCATGTCGGATTGTTAGTGACTAGTGTCAGTAAACGCCAGCTCTGTTAGCGAGCGCCGTCTGCCTGGACAGCTACCGTGTTGACATGTCAGAGACTAATCAGAGTTATTTCTGTAACATGAGATAAAAGGAGATCAAAATGACCTGTTCAACTAAAACTCTGCTGTCTCTGCGTCTCCAAGGATGACCCGATGGTTATTCACGTTAAATTCCTCGCTTAGTCACATGTCCTCTTTGACTCCGCCCTTTCTTCTGTTGGCGTTTGCGTTTTCTTCCCAATAGGAGCCGTCCGGGACGGATGGCTCCCATTGGTCGACGTTTTTGCAGCCCTGCACCTGATAGGGTGAACGGATTTTTCCGATCTTTTGTCTCTTCGCTTTGTGGAGATCGCACTTTAGGACCATGATCGCCATAGAAACGAGGTTCGTGATAATTAACAGTCTCTACAATCGTCAACCATGACTTTACTTCTTCTCGGTCCACATCAGAGGAGCTTTTGAACGTCCCTCTGTCCTCGTAGGATCACAGTAGGATCACAGAAACCATGAAAAACCTTCTCAGAAGCGTGCCGGACCAGTCAGTCTGGTCATGTGACCCGGCAGAGAGAGTCCAGCAGAAACGGTCTTTAAAGATAAGGACCAGCGAGGTTTCCTGGTAAACAGGAAGTTCTGGTACTCAGTTAAGTTACGAGCACCGGGCGACAATCAGACCCGGGTGTGTCTGCCTCCACTACGGTCCGTCATCAGCTCGTTAAAGGGATATTCCGGCGTATTTACCGGAATATCCCTTTAAGCTGGTCCGGGTCATCCCTCAGAACGGATGATAACAGGGTGATGGTTGGAAACACGTCCCTGTAAGAGATCCGGACCTTTTCTGAAAACCGAACCGCGTCATCCAGGACTGTCAGTCCGACTGTAGACCCGTTTTTAAGAAGTCCAACGCAGTAAATCCATGTTTTTTCTCGACCAGCTGGTTCATAGTTGGCCGTCTCTGTAGACTTTTCAAAGGTCCGGTCTCAGACCCCCCCCTGTCAGTGACCCAGAACTCTGATTACATGTGGACCGGAGACTAAAACCGGCTCTGATCCACAGACGTGTTGGTAGAACTGGTTCTGTCCTCAGGCCCATGAAGGTGTCAGGAAGAACATCTCGGTAGACCTTACCTGTGCCGCAGAGCTCCCTGAGAAACATGGACCACCTTTGAACCGGTTTATAAACGGATCTGCAGGGTCGTTAAAGTCCCAGAGTCGGGTCAGAACCTTAAGATCCCGACAGGCCGGATTAGAGCAGGTTGGCCCTGAGGTGAGGTGGGCGGGGTCTTGTTAGCTTGAGCCATGCTGATGGTTGTTAGTTTGAAATCCAGCCGGTTCAGATCTCTGATGATCGGGTCGGGTCGGGTCGGGCCGTCACCGTCAGGGTGAGCGCAGAGTGTCCGGCTGCTTCCTCTGCACACATGATATTTGCTCCAGTTACTGCAAATACCATCACCCCCCCCCCCCAACCCCACCCCCCCACCGGCCTGTAGCCTGATCAGCTGAAGAATGGCTTCTAATGGCAGCAGCCATCTTTAATGCCTGTTGTTAACGCTGCGGTTGGACCTCCCAGCGTTGTCATGGTGATGTTTTTGACTGACTGACTTCTCTGCCCCCCCCACCCCTTCTCTCCCCCGCCCCCCGCCCCCCTCCCCCACAGATAAATGGCTCTTTTAAGCTGGGAGCTGCTCGAGTTCTGTCTGGCTGGCAGATGCAGTGCCTAGTCCCCGGCCTCCAGGACAACGCCAACATGAACGGGACGTCCGAGCAGGCCGACATCCTGCCGCCAAACTGCATGGTCAAAGACCGATGGAAAGTGGTGAGTCAGCAACCCCCACCCCCCCCCCACCCCCTCATCATCGCCACCAACAGTGCAGCAGCTCAGTACCCACTGACATCTATTTAACGCATTTTTGCGATGATGCGGTACAAATGTGGACGTCATTTCAACGTCCAAAAGAAGTCCAATAATGACGTCTAAATCTTGGATCCATTTTGCACGTTGTGTCGACGTCTAGATTTGGTCTTTGACGGAGCGACCCAATACTGAGTTGATCTGGACGTCTCTTCGACGTCTGATGTTCGGTGGGTACATTCAGCTGAAAAGGAAAACTGGGTTCGAATGGACCAGAACAGCGCCCATCATGGCGTCAGAGGTTCAGGGGTCACCAAGAATTAAAGCGCACATTGAAACAAAACGATCCCAGACATGGAGGAGAACCAGGAGCTTCACTGATGAACAGATCCATGAAAATCCTGAATAAAGAGAAAAGAGAGAGACCAAGAACTCCAACAGTCCGACAAACGAGGCCAAATACACGCAGGACCAGGGTCGGAAAATTCTGGAGTTTTCAAAGTTGGAAACTTTTCATGTGAATTAATGTGAATAAATCTGAACTGTTCAAAACTGAAGGTCGGCTCTCGACAGGAACTTTAATATAGTCGCTGAAAATATCTTGTAGTATAATCTTGACTAACTGATTTCTCGAACCCTGGAGGCCACAGAGTCCACCGACTTTAGAGAGTCAAGGAAGTTCTGATAATATTCTGGGGTAAATATATCTGATCTATAATCGAGTTAATATTTAAATCAAAGTCGGTGTTAAATGTGAGTTATTTGGTCCTTTAAGGGTGGAGTTTATTCTGGTGGTGGTCGTTTCCTCAGATTCTGTTTCTTCAGACTCCTGACAGACGGTTTTCTGTAACCAATCAATCAATTAGACATCAATTATTAAGTATTTTAAAGACCGTTTATCAGCTGTTTATCAACTATATTTATGTTCATGACTTCAGATTTTTATTTTATTAAATAATTTAAACTTTCATGTTTTTTATTGTTTATTTTTCATGGATGTCTGCTGATGAAAAAACAGAAATATTTACGTTTGAAGATGATAAAGTTTGTTTAAATTAAACACAATTTACAGTTAATTCACATGAACACGAGCGATAAAACCCAAAACAGTCTTTAGACCCGACAGGACAAGTCTGTGGTTTTCATGGACTAAGTCCACGTTCAGACTGCAGGTCAGTTCTGATTGGTTCTGATCCGACCCTCTTCTGTATGTGGAGATAAATCAGATATGTATCTGATGTGACTGCAGTGTGACGCTCAGGTCGAGTTCATCCGACCTTTACGTCATCAATATGAGACAAACGTCACCATTGTTCAACGACACAAACAGGCGCGGAGAGATATTTGTGTTTTGTGTTCATGAGGGTCACTTCACTGACGCTTTCGTTGTTCTAACGTGAACGATCGCACAAAAAGATCGGATTGAACAAAAAATCTGAATTGTGCGTCAGAACCTGCAGAGTGAACGTAGACTAACAGACACACAGAGTGAGAGCAGAGGAGTCTGCCCCAAGTGGACATTTAAGGAACTGCAGTGTGAGACTTTTAGGGATTAGCGTTCAGTTCTGTTCAGATTATTGTGGCTAAAGTTTCCTGCTGTTGTTTTAATGATTATTGTCATCGTCAGTCTGATGATGAAGAGCGTTTTCTGTCATCTTCATCATCCTCAAACATCATCTGAAGAACACGCTCCACCTGATGGCGTTTAAACACATGTGACTCACAGCTGAAGGTCTTCGTTCATGTGAGACACTCAGAAAACGCCGCTCTGCTTCCTGAAATAAGACCTTACATAACTCGGCCCTGTCTGAGCCAATCAGATCGCAGCGTTCAGCCTGCAGGCTCTTTGCACTTCACTGATCAATTTAGTGTGTCCGCTGAGCAGCCGAGGCTCCACACACACACACACACACACACACACACACACACACACATCCACGACTTCACGCAGTTCAGAGTTCAACTTTTCATCAGCTGACGGAGAAAAACAGGAAAGAGGAGGAGTGAAGAAGATTAAAAAGGAGGGGAGGAGTCAAAAATAATAACAATAAAAAAAAGATGGCTGACTGCGGAGGTGAAGACGTTTGTTCATTTTGACCTTTTAACCCTTTAATGACAACAGTTCAAACAGAAACCAGATCAGATCTTAACTCAGGATCTCAGACGTGAAGTCGACGTGTTCTGTACTCCGAAAACTGCCGGGCGGTGTTTCCTGAGTTCCCGTCTCTCTGAACTGTGGCCAGTCCCTGTTGTCATGGTAACGCTGGACACCAGGATGCGGGTTTGGTCGAGCTCTCTTCGTTGGTAACTAACGGTCTGATCTGACCCGGGTTCTGTTCTGTCCTCCAGCTGAAGAAGATCGGCGGGGGTGGGTTCGGGGAGATCTACGAGGCCTTGGACCTGCTGACTCGGGAGAACGTGGCGCTGAAGGTGGAGTCGGCCCAGCAGCCCAAACAGGTTCTGAAGATGGAGGTGGCGGTGCTGAAGAAGCTGCAGGGTGAGAGAACTTCAGGACCACTGAGGATGAGGATTAGACCGGGTCTGATCCGACCCCTCAACCTGATCCAGTCCATGTTTTAAACCAGACCCCTTTTTACATCTAAACCTGAGTTTCACACCAGAACCACAAGCCCAGCTCAGCCCAGATCAGGTCTATCCCTGAACACGACCTCAGGCCCACATTGAGTCCGAGTTTAAACCCAAGTCTCACATTAAAACCTGGTTTAACTCTGAGTTTAAAACCAGGCACACCTAGTCCAAGCCCTGTCTTATTCACACAGTTAAACCTGACAAAGTCTCAGTTTAAAACCAGTTTCAGTCAGAGTTAGACCGGACTCATTAGCTGGTTTAGACCCGAGTCAGAGCTACAGTTAAACCTAGCTTAGCCTCTTGGTTAAGTCTGGATTAGTTCCTTTCATTAAACCTGTTTCTTCTTCTCTTGCAGGTAAAAATCACGTCTGTAAGTTTATCGGCTGTGGGAGAAACGACAAATTCAACTACGTGGTGATGCAGCTTCAGGTGAGTCCGAGCGATGAAGACCGTGGTCCGGGGACTGCAGGGGCCCCCCAGGGCTTTTATTTTGAAGGGAATAGACTTCAGCGGGGACACAAATACAGATTATTTCAGGCTGTTCAACAGTTTTAGCCGTGAAGAGCATCATGGGAGCTGTGGTCCGATGTGGTCCGACGTGGTCTGCACAGTCTGAGTATGAGAGGTCCTCAGAGGATTGTTTTGGGGGCTGGGGGGGCGGGTTACGATCAGCTACGATCGGAGGATACGACCTTTTAGTAGACGATCAGGATGAAGGTGGAAGTTGAGGGTTATGGAGAGGCTCTGTGCTGATTGGCTGCCTGAATGTTGTCGTACTGGAGGCGTGTTCAGCGTGATGTGTCGAGTTGTTTGGGGGGGGGGGTAGCTACACTAGACTGAAGTCTATAACAGATGAACCCACATCTTCATGATGGTGGACTTTAAACGGGTCACTTGAGTTTATAAAGTCATCTTTACTTCCTGTGAGGACCTTTGGGTTTGTGTTGATTTTGGCACCCCCCTGTGGTCAAAGCAGGTTCTGCAGCCTCGGTCATGGTCATGTGTAACTTTAACACGCCTCGTCCTTTTTACAGAGTCATCATGAATCTGGATCTGGTTTAAGCGGATCTGTACTGACCCCCCAGCAGTGGTTTCAGACTCAGTAAAAAGTCCCTCCTTCTTCTCTAAAACTCCTGACTGGAGCTTTAATCTGCTGTAATCTCTGAGAACTTTATGTCCAGGGTGGATTCAGAGCTTCGTGAACCTGAAGGAGGTTTTCCTGCTCCTCTAAAGTTTAGATCTGGAGACCTCAGAGAGTAAAAGTCTATTTCCTTTAATGTTGTTTCTTTTATTTTGAAAGTGTGTGTGCATTTCCTGCTGCAGGGGCGTAACCTGGCCGACCTGCGGAGGAGTCAGCCCAGAGGAACCTTCACCATGAGCACCACCCTGCGGCTCGGGAAGCAGATCCTTGAGTCCATCGAGGCCATCCACTCGGTGGGCTTCCTGCACCGGGACATCAAACCGGTACGAGTCCTCAGCCGAGTTCACAGGTCCAGAAGGTTGTATACTGGGGGAAGGCGGAACCAAGTTGTCTGTAGTAAATACAGTCTATGGTGGTGACGCTCTGGAGGATGTAGAACATTCTAGAATATCACAGAACATTCCACAACATCAAAGACATTCTAAAAGATCAATAACATTCTGTAACATCAAAGACATTCTAAAAGATCAATAACATTCTATAACATCAAAGACATTCTAAAAGATCAATAACATTCTATAACATCAAAGACATTCTAAAAGATCAATAACATTCTGTAACATCAAAGACATTCTAAAAGATCAATAACATTCTGTAACATCAAAGACACTCTAAAAGATCAATAACATTCTGTAACATCAAAGACATTCTAAAAGATCAATAACATTCTGTAACATCAAAGACATTCTAAAAGATCAATAACATTCTGTAACATCAAAGACATTCTAAAAGATCAATAACATTCTGTAACATCAAAGACATTCTAAAAGATCAGTAACATTCTATAACATCAAGGACATTCTAAAAGATCAATAACATTCTGTAACATCAAAGACATTCTAAAAGATCAATAACATTCTATAACATCAAAGACATTCTAAAAGATCAATAATAGTCCGGGAACATCTGTGACATTACCGAACCTTCCCACGAATTCTGAAGTCATCAGAACCGCTCTGACAGATGTTAGGGGGACACTGTTGGGTCCTCTGCTCAGCACCATAGTCTGCCTCTGAGAACAGCGCCCTCTGGTGACGGGCTGCAGTATAGGTCATAAACCCCGCCTCCTTATGGAGCTGTGGACAAACTTTATAAATGAATGACACAGAATATAAATCAAATATAAATGTCAGTCATGAGTTTGAGACCAGGAGGAGCTGACGCTTCAAAATAAAAGCATAGTTTTACAATAGAACCCAAACATGCAGAGAAGAGTTTCAAAATAAAAGCATGAGAAAGAGTGGTTTGATGAGGTGACGTGGTCTTTCTCAGAGCTGCTGATGAGGATGAATGAGAACCATGAAGACAGTGGGTTCATGTGTTCATCAGTCGGTCTGTTTTTCCGTTTTTATTTTCTGATCAAACTCAAACTGTGTCTGAACTCTGGTTCTGGATCTGAACTGGACTCTGGTTCTGTGTAACCCCTCTCTCTGTCTCGTCTCTGCAGTCCAACTTTGCGATGGGTCGGCTCCCCTCCACCTACAGGAAGTGCTACATGCTGGACTTTGGTCTGGCCCGTCAGTACACCAACACGACGGGGGAGGTCCGACCGGTAAGAACCTGAACCACAACATTCAGACAAAGTCATCTGGACTCAAACATGACCAGAAATCACTAACCCTGACCCGAACCTGGACTGGTGTCAGAACCAGGAGAGAAAGACCAGCGCTACTTTGAGTCCCGGATTTCTCAAATCCAGGATCCGTGTTACATACAGAAAGAAACCGAACTGGACCCCCTAAATAATGAGAATCCTGGTACATGACCCAGAGAACCCGGGACATCAGGTCTGGTTCCTGGTCACACTGGTGCAACCTAAAACCAGAACTTAAGTCCAGCAGTTAAGATCATACAGAACATTTAATACACCGATCAATAAACCGATCCGTTTGAATCAGGTCTGAAAATCACTTTTAGAATCCAGAATAATCCAGAATAATCCAGAATATTCCAGAATATTCCAGAATAATCCGTTTAAATGTGATTAATGATGAAACAATAGACTCACTTTTTCCGTCTCTCGTATGTCGTTGATGATTTTTGGCAGGAACAGGCTCCCGTACATTAACCCCCCCTACAGTTATAAACAGCTGAAAAACTGACGTGTCAGACAGACGGGGTGTGTTTGCTGCAATGCAGCACGAGTTCAGCAGATCACTCCCCGCCTCTGTGTGTGTGTGTGTGTGTGTGTGTGTGTGTGTGTGTGTGTGTGTGTGTGTGGATCAATATTCCTGATCAGACACAGCTGATCTAAACGATGTCACAGCAGCAGGTTTCTGACGCCGTCTGAGGAGTTTCTCGGTTTGAAGTCAGAGATAGGTTCGAGTGTTCTGATTGGTCGACAGAAATCATCAGGTCTGCTGGTCTTTGTAGTCCCCCCCCCCCCCCAGAGTTATTTTTAGACCTCTGAGGACGTGAGCTGTTTCCTCCTCCTCCTCCCTCTGTCTGCTCCTTTACTCCTTCTCTTCTGTTTTTATTTGATCTTCTCCTCCGCTCTTTCTCTTCTCTAACTCCTCCTCCTTTTCTCTTTTTTTCCTTTCTCTCCTCCTGTCTTCTCCTCTCTCCTCCTCTCTCCTCCTCTTTTCCTCTCTGATTTCATCCTCCACTCACATCTTCACCGCTGCTCTTTAATAATTCAAAGAACAGAGGAAGAGGAGGAACGAGTCGATATAGAGAGATGATGTGTCCTCTGATGATCCAGAGTCTGTGTGTGATGATGACATCAGCTGATCACAGCTGATCAATCACAGCTGATCAGAGCTGAATCAGCTGATCTGTAAACTGGAGGACAGTGTCGTCCACCTCAGCCTGATGTTTGATTCAGAGACGTGTCCGTCTCAGTGAAAGCTGCTTTTCTACATCCTCCCTCCTTACCCCTCTCTCCTCTCTCCTCACTCCTCCCTCCTTACGCTCTCCTTTCTCCTCTCTCCTCTCTCCTCACTCCTCCCTCCTTACTCTCTCCTTACTCCTCTTTCCTCCCTCCTTACTCCTCTCTCCTCCCTCCTCTCTCCTCTCTCCTTACTCCTCTCTCCCCTTCCTCCCTCCTTACTCCTCTCTCCTCCTCGCTGCAGTAAGGACACATGAGGGTCCGGTCCATTTCACATGGTGGGTTATTATCTCCTTTCAGTCCAGCTGAGGACAGAGGAAACACTCTCTCCTTCCTTCTCTCCTTCACTCTCTCCTTTGCTAGTTTTTAGTCTCTCGTTCACTCTCTCCTCTTTCTCCCTCCTTCTTTTCTCGTCTGTGTTCCCTCTCTTTTTTCTCTCCCCTTCTCTCAGTTTTTATTTGTTATTTTCTTTCTTTGTCTCCTATCCCCTCTTTGTCTCCTTCCCTCTCTTTGTCTTTATCTTTCCTTCCCCTCATCCCTCTTTTTTCTCCCTTCTCTCTCTATCTTTTTCTCCATCTTTTCTTCTCCTTGACTCCTTCCTCCTTCCTCGTCTCCTATAACCCCTCCCTCTCCTCCTCCTGCAGCGGTCAGATGAATATTTGATGCTCCTGAATGCGTCAGTGGGCGAGAGACCCTGTTTCGCTCTCTCTCTCTCTCTCTCTCTCTCTCCAGCTGAGTCAGCTTCTGTCCAATCATCTGTTAGATCCCCCTCCTCTTCCTCCCCCTCCTCTTCCTCTCTCTCTTTCTCATCATGTGACTAAACAGGAAGTCCTCCCCTCAGTGTTACTTCAGGCCAATTACAGAATTGATCAGATGGATGTCAGGAGTGTGTGTGTGTGTGTGTGTGTGTGTGTGTGTGTGTGTGTGTGTGTGTGTGTGTGTGTGGGTGTGTGTGTTAGCTGTTAGCATGTTAGCTGCCGATGAATTAGTCATGTGGAGTTAAAAGCTTTTTCTGACTCGGAGGACTCGCTGAGTCAGTCTCATAAACATCATCAGCATCGACTCTGACCCGACCCAGTATGAGAGATAAAGAACCCAAACAGAACCAACCGAGACCGAGAGAACCCATAAAGGAGAGCAAGAGAGGGGGGAGACCGGGAGAGGAGGGGGAGACAAAAAAAACTGTAAAATAAATTAAATATAAAAATCAAAAAGTGATGAAAAGAAAACGACAAAATGAGGAGTTAAAGCCAGTATAAGGGATTTTAGGAGGAGCTCTAAAAGAGGAAAATACCCCACTGATTTTTGGACTATATCAGAGCTCTCTCTCTCTCTCTCTCTCTCTCTCTCTCTCTCTCTCTCTCTCTTGTTTTTATTATTTTCTAATTTGACAGATATTTTCTGAATGAAACCGTATTTTTACTTTGACTCTGTGTGTACCTTTAAAGGCGGAAACAGCGCCCTGTGACAGTGGCATGATGTTGAGTCCGTATTGATCCCGATCATCAGCTCTCCCAGCGATCAATATTTTCAGTTTTGTGAAGTCTCGTTGATTATTCTCTGTTGACTGTTTTTCATCGTTTTATGTTTCAGTCTCCTTTTTGTTTTTCTTACAGTTCCTTTGGACTTATGATTTTGACGTGCATGCATCCCGTTTCTCCATCATCTCCATGGTTACCCAGGGATGTGAGTGGTTTCTATAGCAACAGAGGGGCAACAGCTGCATCACCAGACACCTGCTGAAGTGTAGTTCATCATCGTGAAAGATGAAAAGAAAGGGTTCAAACACAACTTTATCAACAAGAATTACCTGTGACAAAGAAACAGACAGACAGGTGTGACTGAGGTCATTAACAGACAGGTATGACTGAGGTCATTAACAGACAGACAGGTGTGACTGAGGTCATTAACAGACAGGTGTGACTGAGGTCATTAACAGACAGGTGTGACTGAGGTCATTAACAGACAGACAGGTGTGACTGAGGTCATTAACAGACAGGTATGACTGAGGTCATTAACAGACAGACAGGTGTGACTGAGGTCATTAACAGACAGGTGTGACTGAGGTCATTAACAGACAGGTGTGACTGAGGTCATTAACAGACAGACAGGTGTGACTGAGGTCATTAGCAGACAGGTGTGACCGAGGTCATTAACAGACAGACAGGTGTGACCGAGGTCATAAACAGACAGGTGTGACTGAGATCATTAACAGACAGACAGGTATGACTGAGGTCATTAACAGACAGACAGGTGTGACTGAGGTCATTAACAGACAGACAGGTATGACTGAGGTCATTGACAGACAGACAGGTGTGACTGAGGTCATTAACAGACAGGTGTGACTGAGGTCATTAACAGACAGACAGGTGTGACTGAGGTCATTAACAGACAGGTGTGACTGAAGTCATTAACAGACAGACAGGTGTGACCGAGGTCATTAACAGACAGACAGGTGTGACTGAGGTCATTAACAGACAGGTGTGACCGAGGTCATTAACAGACAGGTGTGACTGAGGTCATTAACAGACAGACAGGTGTGACTGAGGTCATTAACAGACAGACAGGTGTGACTGAGGTCATTAACAGACAGACAGGTATGACTGAGGTCATTAACAGACAGGTGTGACTGAGGTCATTAACAGACAGACAGGTGTGACTGAGTTCATTAACAGACAGGTGTGACCGAGGTCATTAACAGACAGGTGTGACTGAGGTCATTAACAGACAGACAGGTGTGACTGAGGTCATTGACAGACAGGTGTGACCGAGGTCATTGACAGACAGGTGTGACCGAGGTCATTAACAGACAGGTGTGACTGAGGTCATTAACAGACAGGTGTGACTGAGGTCATTAACAGACAGACAGGTGGGACTGAGGTCATTAACAGACAGGTGTGACTGAGGTCATTAACAGACAGACAGGTGTGACTGAGGTCATTAACAGACAGGTGTGACCGAGGTCATTAACAGACAGACAGGTGTGACTGAGGTCATTGACAGACAGACAGGTGTGACTGAGGTCATTAACAGACAGACAGGTGTGACTGAGGTCATTAACAGACAGACAGGTGTGACTGAGGTCATTAACAGACAGGTGTGACCGAGGTCATTAACAGACAGACAGGTGTGACTGAGGTCATTGACAGACAGGTGTGACCGAGGTCATTAACAGACAGGTGTGACTGAGGTCATTAACAGACAGACAGGTGTGACTGAGGTCATTAACAGACAGACAGGTGTGACTGGGGTCATTAACAGACAGACAGGTGTGACTGAGGTCATTAACAGACAGACAGGTGTGACTGAGGTCATTAACAGACAGACAGGTGTGACTGAGGTCATTAACAGACAGACAGGTGTGACTGAGGTCATTAACAGACAGACAGGTGTGACTGGGGTCATTAACAGACAGACAGGTGTGACTGAGGTCATTAACAGACAGACAGGTGTGACTGGGGTCATTTACAGACAGGTGTGACTGAGGTCATTAACAGACAGACAGGTGTGACTGAGGTCATTAACAGACAGACAGGTGTGACTGGGGTCATTAACAGACAGACAGGTGTGACTGAGGTCATTTACAGACAGACAGGTGTGACTGAGGTCATTAACAGACAGACAGGTGTGACTGAGGTCATTAACAGACAGGTGTGACCGAGGTCATTAACAGACAGGTGTGACTGAGGTCATTAACAGACAGGTATGACTGAGGTCATTAACAGACAGGTGTGACTGAGGTCATTGACAGACAGACAGGTGTGATGGTGTGTCTGCACTGTGTCCCTCTGTTTCTCATGTTTCTGTTTGTGTTTTTATTTGCTGTCTATTTTGGTTTAAATTTACAGACTCTGTTACCGCACCTCGACACCATGTCAGGTTTCACAGGATCGCCAAAAAGAGGCGCCATAATTCAGCGTCAGGATTTATTAAAATAAGGCGGAGTCAGCCATGTTGTGTTTATTATTACTGGATCAGCACAGTGTCTGTTTCAGTCAGTGTTGTTTCCAGATCAGTTTTAATTCCACTCTACAGAAAGTAAACAAAGCAGCACATTCACCAAAGACAGCATGAATATGAAAATGTGAAAAGGTCTGAATTTACTCCTCAGCTCATTATTTTGGAGTCTGTCTTACTCTGTGGAGCAGCAGTTTGGGATTTAAGGCTGGATTCTGGATTTTTGTTTGTTTTTCTGACTAACTTCCTCCTCCTTGTGTCCAGCCAAGGACTGTGGCGGGTTTCAGGGGGACGGTCCGCTACGCCTCAGTCAACGCTCATAAAAACAAGGTCAGAGCTGTTTGATTCTTCATCAGTGCATGTATTTGGTGGTGGTTGTTGTTGTTGGTACATTTGCAAAGAGAGAGTTTTGGCCTCTTTTTTTTAGACTCAAGGTGGCTTCCAGGATTCAGGTTCAAGAACTGATCGAGTTCAATAAAAGCTGTAATGAGTATTAAATAACAAACACTGTGAGTTCTTTACCCCATCGAGTCACATCTACCTTTAGAAATCTAAGCATTGTTCAAAATGGCTTCACTGCAGACTCCTGAATGATATTTACAGGGGGCGCTATTGGGCACTTAAAGATGGGCAAGGCTTTTAAAATCAACTTTTACCGTTTCTGACACAAACACAAAGCTTCATTAGTTTTGGTACAAGTCAAAGCAGTACGGTAGCCCTGAGGGACAACTGAGCAAATTTTTAAGATTACGAAAAAAATGAAAACAAAATTTAAATTGCAGGAAAAAAAACCCAAATGGAAAAATATTTCAGGAAACAACTTTTTTAAACGCGGAAAGCACTTCACTTAAAATTAATTTTTATTCTTTTTTTATTTTATTTTACTTAACCTTAAAAAAAAACATGCAAAAATATTTCATTTAACATTTTGTAAAGTGATTTTTATTTTTCTATTATTTACTTTGAATTTGTGTTTGATGTAATATTTTTGTTCTATAAAATATTTTTACATTTTTTGGTAATTGATTTATTAAATATTTTTGTGTAATGTTAAATACTGTCGATTTACCATGTTATATTATATAGACACGTGAATGTTTCTTTTAAGTAGTTTTTGTATTTAGAAAGAAAATCTGTGTTTTTCTCCAAATTAATATTATTTTGTGATTTTTGGAATAATTAAATGTCTGTTAACCTTTTTTTGTGTTTCGTAAAATATTTCCATGTTTGGTTTGAAATTTTGTTGTGTTAGCCAGTATCAGCCGTTTAGTATGAAAGTATTTAATTTAATTATTTTGATTTAAAATGTATATTTTGTAAATAAACCCAGACAAAAAAAACATAAATATTGATTTTAAGTTCTTCATTAAAATGTTTGTTAGCCTTACGAGTATATGCTGTTTGCTTTTAATTTTGTGTTTTATGTTAAATGTTAAAATTTTGTTTTGTTAAAGTCTGAAGTTTTAATTTTATTTTTGCATCTGTTGATTTTTGTTGTCTTCTGTTTTCATTCCATGACATTTTTTTGTGATTTTAATTTTTTTCTTGTTCACTGAAACATTTTTTAGGTTCTGTTGAAAAATTTTGCGCTCTCAAAACATTCTTGTGTTTCATTAAATATTTTTGAGTTCTGTTTAATGTTAATTTGTTGGATAAAATGTTTTTACATTTGGTGAAATGTTTTTTGCAGTTCTGAAATCTTGCTTTTGACCCCTTTAAGCCACCGTAGCGTTGTTGGTCATGTGGCAGGAGAATCAAAGTTTATTTTTTTTCAGGTTCTTTTAAACAAAACATGGAAAATATTTTTGATCTTGTTTCCCCAGGAAATGGGTCGCCATGATGACCTGTGGTCGTTGTTTTACATGTTGGTGGAGTTCGCTGTTGGACAGTTGCCATGGAGAAAGATCAAAGACAAGGTCAGACTCCAGAAAAACCAGTAAAACCAGTAAAAGTGGAACCGGACCACAAACAGAACTCAAAGTCTATCAGGAACACATTCAGCTCAGCCACGTATTTGATCTGAAATGGACTTTTATTGATTTCTGCAGGAACAAGTGGGTCAGATAAAAGAGCGTTACGACCATCGGATGCTGCTCAAACACATGCCTTCAGAGTTTAATATCTTCCTGGACCATGTTCTGGCCCTGGACTACTACACCAAACCAGACTACCAGGTACACAGAGTCCACTTAGATCTGGGTTTAAATCGGGGTTTAAATCCAGACGACAGGTTGATGGTTTAAATCCGTCTTTTTGTCTAGCTGCTCATGTCGGTGTTTGAGAACAGCATGAAGGAGCGAATCATCACAGAGAACGAGCCTTTCGACTGGGAGAAGGGAGGAAGTGATGTCACGCTGTCGACCAGTGCCTCCACACAACCACAGCACAACACCAGACCAACCGCCGCCATGGTGGGGTAAGTACCGAGCTATCAGTCAGCACTCGCCTCTGAAAACCATCTTCTGTAGAGCTACTCGAATCTGAATCTGAGATGGTGGCGCCAAACTGTTGAAGTCAAGAGAAAAACCGCCAAAAACCCGGGTACTGAGTCTTCGGGGTTCTGCGTCCACAGAGCCATTGTGACGCCTGTTCCTGGAGATCTTCAGCGGGAGAACACCGACGACGTTCTGCAGGATGAACACCTCAGTGATCAGGAGAACGCCCCCCCGGCCCCGCCCAGCAGACCTCCAGGGGAGACGAGCGCCCAGCATGCCGGTGAGACGGGAGAGGCCTGGGAGGACACGGACTTCAACCGCAACAGACTCAGAATCAGCCTGAACAAGGTCCGAAACTCCCTCCGTTTGGTTCCGATCCCTCCTTTCTGATTAATGTCCAAATAACTTCATGAAACATCACTTCCTGTACCTTCTAGGGGGCTCAGGAGGAGGAGTCAGGTCGTGGGGCGTGTCCAGTGTCCCCAGTCCGGGGTGGGGCCCCTGATTCGCCCACAGGTCAAGGTCGGTCGCTTCGGTACCACAGAGTCAACAGCCCTGAATCGGACCGTCTGTCTGCTGCTGAAGGACGAGCTGACGGCTACGGTCAGAGGTGAAACTGGTTTACATTCACTCTTGAACCTGACTCGGCGTGAAGACCAGGGGGTCTGGTGACTCACCTCAGACTCGAGACTCGACTTGGTCTGATCCTCAATGACTTGAATCTGTTTTAGTCTCACTCCTGACCTTGGACTTGCCCTTGTTTCCTTAAGACTTGGGTTGAAACTTTGTTCGACCCACCTTTGACTTGACCCTTAAGACTTTGACTTGGTCTTGACTGACTTGACTTGTCTGTCTCAGCAAAGACTTGAGACCTGGATCAAAGCTTGATTTGGTCCAATGTCTTTTAGTTTGACTCCTAGTCGCAGACTTGAAGCTCTGTCTCTGAGGACTCGTGGCGTCACTCAGGCATCACCTTACAGACTCGAGGAGAGACTTGATCTAGTCGCACCTCACTTGAACCTCTCCCTTACTGAATCCAAATGATCTTGAGGATCCCATGAAAGACTCGTAACTTTATTTGACTCGTCCTCACTCTACTCAAAACTTCCTGAGGACTCGAACCTGTCGAAAGTGGCCCTTAGGTTATTATTGAACAAGTCTTTATGAAGTCTTGTCTAAACTGATTAGACTATAATAATGACAAGTTTAACTCAGACCTGCTCTTACTGACTCTTTGACTTGACTTGGCGTTGCTCCCAAAGACTCAGGACATGTTTGGACTTGTCTTCAATGATTTGTCCATGTCTTGGTTTAATGAAAACAGGGTTTACTTTATGAGGACTTGACTAACTCCGGCTTGAGGTCAGGGACTCGAGAGTTAACTTGTCTGAACCAAACTTAGAAGGTTGGACTTGGACTAGACTTAAAACTTTTGTGTTTGTTGTAAATTGACTTGGACTTGGATCCAAGTTCTTTGGGTTTATGTTTAGCCCTCCTTCCTGACTTGGATTCTGCATCAGTGACTCGTGGAAGCGTTTCTGAGGAGATTTGGCTTGACTTGAGTTTTACCTCGGTAATTGAGTGTGAATCGGTTTTGATTCGCCGGACTTGTAACCCGACTCGGACTGTTTATCCCCAACTTCAGTCTGACGTCGAGACTTTAGACAACAAGAACTTTGACTTAAAAACCCTCATGACCTGACCTGGAGTTCCCCTGAAGACTGAACGTTTCCTTGACTTGGCCACAAGACCTTGGCAACTGACTTAGTCTCAGATGACTTGATCTGGGACTTGGACTTGGACTGATTCGGCTTCAGGCTTTCCTTGACAAGTCTGGAAATTGAAACTGAACCAAACTTGAGACCTGACTCTGGGATGGTGGTTACAGCTGAGTCTGAGCTCTCAGTGTGTCCTGGTCTCTAAATGTCCTGTCCGTGTCCTCTAGGTCCAGAATGGACATCCTTGGATCTCCATCTCGCCATGTTTACTCCTCCCAGCCCGCTCAGATGCTGTCTGTTGATCCTGGTTGCCGGGGTGACCGACAGGTCAGCGGTCGTCAAGAGGTATCGGTGGCATCGGTCGACCAAGAGGCGCACAGTAACGCCTTCATCCGCTCTGTCCCGCTGGCGGAGGAGGAGGACTTTGACAGCAAAGAGTGGGTGATCATCGACAAAGAGGCGGAGCTACGAGACTTCCAACCAACAACGTCAGGAACCACAGACGAGGAACCAGAGGAGCTCCGGCCCCTGGAGGAGCAGGAGGAGAGGAGGAGGCTCAGAGCAGGAGGTAAGAGTGTTTTAGTCCACATACCCTTCCTCTGCAGCCCGCCTCCACGCCAGCTCCTATATAGATAAAAAAAGGAGCATCAGCAGAGTTCCCAGCGCTCAGGGCTTTGAGGACTTCGCTGATGCTCTCCCCGCCGCAGGTTACGCACAGGAAAGGACAGGAAGCCCAAAGAACAGAGACGTATCGCCAAAAATAACTTAATACAGGGAAAATATTGTCTTGGATGAAAGAGGTCCTGACTGAATTATAGGTCTCAAAAACAATAAGACGACAGTCACCACATGTCCAGTGTTTTCTCCTCCTCTTCTCGAACCTCGTCCTCGACCAAATCAAATATGATCAAATTCATGTGTTCATAATAAATTAATGTTATATATAAACATATAAAATCAGCAGATCTCTGTAAGATAGAATCATTTCTGAGTGTTTATCCTCCTCTAACTAAAATCTGACCCTGATTACTCTGATATAAAAATAACTGCTGATTTGAGATGTGATATCTTCTCCCCTGATGATCTGAAGGACCTGTTCATCCTCATGCATGTCCATCCACCTGCTCTGAACTGAGGACAAAGTAGAAACTGTCCAAATGTCCCCCTCTCTTTGTCCCACACTGCAGAACTTGGACGTCAGATTCTCGACTGTAAAAACTCCCATCATGCCCGGTTCTAAACATGGAGGCAGATTCTCACCCGTGCACACACGCAGGAGCACACAGACTTCTCCTTCCACACATGTCCCACTCTGAGACATCCATATCTAGTGTCATGTAAAGTTTCCTTCATGTCTGAGGATGTTTAGTGGATGAATCTTCAGACTCTCTCAGTCCATGAATGAAGACTTGCGTGCTCAGCGGCTCTGAAGGGGTTAAAATGATGTGCGGCTCAGTCTGTCGTCTCACTAAGTCAGATTTAGAGTCCTGCTGATCGACTGACTGCAGAGAAAAGGTTTAATATGTTGTTATGGAGCCGTAAACACACGCTCAAAAAAACTGTTTTTAATGGAAGTCTATTGGCCGACAAAGGAGGGTGGGTGGAGCTAAAATGACGAAGAACTACAGGAGACACAGAGTTTTTTTTTAATATGAATAAAAATAAGAACTCTGAGAAAATGAGAGTTTCTGATCTTTAAAACTGTCAGCTCAGAATAAAGAGGAAGAACGGAGGTGAATCCAGAGCCTCAGAGACAGATGGTCACGTTCACATAATTCTGAAACTGTGTCTGAGATGAACCCCTGACCCCTGACCCCTGACCCCCATATGGGGTTTCACTGTATATCTGACTCTGTAGTGAAACTCAGTCACCGGAGGTTTCAGACACTACATGGCAAGACGCAATGCATGATGGGATGCCCGCCACCGGTGAGTTACCATTGGATGGTCACTGCATTTTGCAATGCTTTATGGGAAATTTTGAGTCGCCTATATGGGGTATTGGAGTTGATCACTGAGGTTTGGGACACCCCTTAAAAATGGCGCTGACCCCCACATAGTCGTCTAGTTGGGGTTAGGGATCCATTTCAGACACAGCCTTGGACCTTACCTGCATGAACCTCCATCTCTGTTCACCGTTTGGTTTCCTGCAGGGGGGGAGCTGGTGGTTCGGCCCAAGACCCACACCAGGGAGAGCACCCGAGGGATGCTAACGCTAACAGAGGAGGAGGCGTCCAGGAGGAGCGGCGGGAGCCCCGCCCAGTCACCGTGTCACTCATTACCATCAGGACGCCCTCGCCGGAGAGAGTCAGAGCCGATTGGACCTCAGAGACCGGTAAGAGAACCAGCCAGCCAATCAGAGGAGAGCTTGGCTCTCAGGTGTTGGTGGACAGATGAAGAGGAGGACAGCTGCTGTGCAGAGACTCGGTCTGAGGGGGGCGCTGTGCTGCAGCTGCTCCGCCTCATTTACCTGTCCGCCAACTGAAGCTAAAGGGCAAATCCAGCACGATCACAGGTCTGCTTCTGGTTCCCCCTCATTTGGTTCCCAACATAGTCCAGGATCCTGGAGGTTCCCCTCAGGGAACTTTAAAGAAATCAGAGGAGCGGGTCCGAGTCTGAGGTTGGTGAAGGTTTGTGTTGTTTGAGTGTTTTCAAACACGTCCTTTAAAGATCTGAACCTTCATCAGTGTCCAACCACGACTCCTCAACAAGACCGCCTCCGTTTCAGCTCCTGAATTTGGCCTTTTCAGTGTCCCAGTTTTTAGGACATAGGTGTCCACGTGAGGACATGAGCAGACCGTGGACGAGTGAAGGTTAGCAGAGATACTGGTTTCACCCAGCCTTAGACCAGGGTTCTTAGAGCTGGCTCCTGACTGGTTAATTAATAGAGCCTGACTCTGATTGGACGACATCATGCTGTATTCAGTTCTTGGTTCAAAGTCCAGTTACCCTGAATGAACGAGAACTTACACAGACATCATGGATCTGTTGGATTTGGAGGTAAATCACTGTGACTCTTGCTGGACTCGTCCTTTGAAAACGCCACAGACAGTTAACGGCGGCAGCGTTTAAAGCGGTACATCTGTCACATGCAGTCTGTCTGTTTGACCAGCAGCAGCCAGAAAACCCTCGTCTTTCTGTCCTGCTGAAGCTGAAGTGAACTCTGTCCAACTGGAGCGTGTCTCTGTAGACGCCGATGACGCCACAGTTTCCTGTCCACCGTGACTTTAAGCAGGAACCCTTCGTTATTATTGATGTTGACTCAGACGGGCTGCTGAGTCGGCCTTTAGGACAGACGCACTCTCTCAAAGGTTCCTCTGGTGAAAGGGTTCTGGAGGTCCAGACTGACCCCGGTGTCTCGCTGTGAGCCTCTTAGAGCCTGTAGAACTAGAGCAGCTAGATTAACTCAGAAATGATCATGTTGGTGTCATCTCTTCATACCTGCGCTCCCTCTCTGCTGCTGCTGATGGTTCGATTCCTCCTCGGCTGCTTGTGACAGAAAAACACTTTGACCGTCCGGCTGTTTGAACGCTGCTGCCCCCTGTTGGAGAAAAGCTGAAAGTTTTACTTCTCTTTGCTTCTGTTCATGACTTTTTCTTTGAATCATTGTTTTATTTTGAAGGAGTGAATGGGAAACAACATCTACTTCCTTCCTGTACAGCCTGACTTGTTACCTGCTCCTCTCCTCCTCCTCTCCCTGCTGTCCTCTCCTCTTTCTTCTCCTCCTCTACTCACGGCTGCAAAATTGTTTGTTTTGCTGCAGCACATCATATGGTTAACTTCAGCTGGTTAACTATAGCTGGTTATCTTTAGCTAGTTAACTATAGCTGGTTAACTTTAACTAGTTGAATTTTGGTGGTTAACTTTAGCTGGTTAACTTTGGCTGGTTAATTCGAGCTAGTTAACTTTAAATTGTTGAATTTTGGTGGTTAACTTTTACTGGTTAACTTTAGCTGGTTAACTATAGCTGGTTATCTTTAGCTAGTTAACTCTAGCTAGTTAACTTTAACTTGTTGAATTTTGGTGGTTAACTTTAGCTAGTTAACTTTAGCTGGTTAACTTTAACTAGTTAACTTTAGCTGGTTAACTTCAGCTGGTTAATTTTAGCCCCGCCCTCCCCGTGACAGGCGCTGAGGTCGAGCTCAGATGGCGGTTACCATCAGGGACTGTAGGACAGTTTTTTGAAGGATCTGGTTTTTAGTCTAACAGGAGCTCAGTCCTCTTCCTCTAACGTCACCCTGGAGCCGAGACCTTCAGTACCTTCAAACGTTACTGCTGTACTGATGAACTGGGGGGGAACTGGGGGTGAACTGGGTTTGAACTGGGGGTGAACTGGGTTTGAACTGGGGGTGAACCAGTGCAGTGCTGTGAAGTCTGGTTTGGAGAGGCAGTCCAACATGTCGGCCCAGGTGTGGGTTTTTGGAGGTTCTTGGATGTTTTTGGAGGTTCTTGGATGTTTTTAAAGGTTTTAAAGGTTTTTAAAGGTTTTTAAAGGTGTCCTGTTCTGTTGCTGTTGCTCTCTTCAAACATGGAGGATCTTCTGCTGCTTCTTGTTGTAGGATAAAGAGTTTGAGGTTGTAGATGTGCGGCTGCTTTAACAGAGGTCATCTGCAGGTTTCACTGGTTTGAGCGGTCGTGTCGTTTCTCAGGTTCCTCTCAAAGACACTCGTCACTCGTTGGGCTGTTTGTTGTCTTTTGACTGACCGGAGTGGACAGAGGTTTGTGCATTACCGACAGTTTAATGAGTTTATGTGTAAAAATAACCAGAAACCCGTGAACAGAAACTAAAGAGGTTGTTTTGGTGCCAAAAGTCCATTAAACTGTAAGAGTTCCACGACTTTAACCCCGTCTGTCACACATCAAAATAATAAAACACTCGAATGTGAAAGTCCGAGGTGACGTTTCACATCCATGAACTCGAGTCCTGAACTCTTAAACCAACAAATCTGAGAAAACTCAGACAGCGACCTGTCGGGTTAAAAAACAGAAAAAACAAAAATCCGAGGAAACGGCACTCGGCGTGTCCTCTGACGGACACTCGGCGTGTCCTCTGACGGACACTCGGCGTGTCCTCTGACGGACACTCGGCGTGTCCTCAGACGGACACTCGGCGTGTCCTCTGAGGGACACTCTGATGGACAGGATGGTGCTCAGAGTGTCTCTGCTGAAATGTCCGTTCGTCATCGTCCTGCAGAGACATCAGGTGTCCCGTTCTTCACTCGCTCAGCACTTTCATGAACTTCAGCTGCTTTCATTTCTCCTAAATCTGAACTCTGGTCTCAAACTGCTGCTTCTGTCGTTGAGTTCAGACTAAACTATCACAGATGTTTTTATCTCAAGTCCACATGATCGGTGTCTTCTCTATGTCTGTTTTATGGTTTTAAAGAGGCGTCGATAAAGTCGACATGATGACCGTTATTCATCCTCTAAAATTAAACTTTGGTTTGTTCCATTTCAAAACAGACTCTGACAAATAACTCAAAGACTTGATTTTAAACTGAACAAAGTGAATAAACCAGATTAAGATTATATTACATTATATTACATTATATTAAATTATATTATATTATATTACATTATATTATATTATATCATATTATATTATATTATATTATATTATATTAAATTATTATATTATATTATATTATATTATATTATATTAAATTATATTATATTATATTATATTATATTATATTATATTAAATTATATTATATTATATTATATTAAATTATATTATATTATATTATATTATATTATATTATATTAAATTATATTATATTATATTATATTAAATTATATTATATTATATTAAATTATATTATATTATATTATATTATATTATATTATATTGTATTATATTATATCAATAAAGTTATTCTTATTCAAACAGACAAATGTGCTTTTAGTAAATATCTGCTGGTTTAGACTTTGATGTTTGTAAAAAGTATTCAGAGGATCTACAGAAGTCTCTGTACTAAAGGGGGACCAGGACCAGAACCAGGACTGGATGGTCCTGATCTTCAGGGCATTAAAAACAGACAGGACTCTGGAGTGGGAATGACCACATGGACTCAGAACCACTTAAAAAACCATCATCTATGAACACAATTCATCACTGCATCTACTAATGAGGTTCAGACTGGACCATGGCAGAGGAGGTCAGATAGAACCAGAACCACCAGAGACTCCTCTGGACCTGAGTCCATTTAAGGAGGACTGAGAGGAGAACCGACCTGAGGTCTGATGGATCATAATCTGACCTTCTTCGTTGAAAAAAGACAACTGGACTTAGTTGAGACGTTTGGCCTCAGGTGAAACATCTCAACTAAGTCCAGATGTCCTTTTAACGAAGAACTAGAAATCATAGATGCTGCATCCTCAGTTTTAAACAAGATCTCCAGGTTTAGGAGGAACATCTGCGTCCATTTTTCCCCAACAAAAATGTTCTCAAACGTTTTCTTCTCATTATTTTTAATGAAACTTTTAAATGTCGACAAACTCCGAAACCTTCAGTCTAAAGACGTTCAGGGTGAAGCGGGTTCAGAGTTCGGACGTCGAACCTGAAAATACGAACAAAACAAAAAGACGCCGCAGCAGAGGACCAAATCTGACGGGGGTGAAAACCTGACTACATGGTCTCCAAGAGGGTCTCCTTTAGGACCAGACTACATGTTCAAACTGGATCTGGATCCTAATCCAGACTCTGAAGGTCATGATTGTGTGTGTGTGTGTGTTCCTGATGCTGGTCTCAGAGGACCTTCAGGATTCCTTCACATCCTGACGGTTCATGTTCTCAATGACGCTTCAGCTCTGATACTGTGGTTGATTGATTGATGATTGGTTGATTGATTGATTGATTGATTGATTGATTGATTGATTGATTGATTGATTGATGGTTGATTGATTGATTGATTGATTGATTGATTGATCTTCTTACTTTCTTTATCCATTGATGAATTTTGGTTCAGTTCCACATGTTTGTGACCATTTGATTTCCTCATGCACTCACTCATGTTGACTCACACTCGTCAGGTTTGGTCCTCGCTGACGTTCACAGGCTGGATCAATCGTCTTTTAGTCGTTTGGGTTTTTTTTTTGCCGCTTCTTTTATTTCCGTGCCGATAGTGAGCTCCGCGCCACGCCAACCATCGAGGACTGCCATTCTCTTTTTTTACTCCTCTCCAATTCTCCCCCTCCCTCCACATAACTACTGACGCCTTTGCCCCCCCCACCTATGGCTTTATAAGTACACAGTATGTCGAGTTTGACTCACCTGAGGAGACAGAGACAGAGCGAGGGTGCCATTGGGACAACACAAGAAGAAATAAAGTGATGTTTCGGGGTAAGCACAGTTTAGGAATAGTCCTTTACCTCTGTTCTCTCACTCAGTTTCTGTTCCTCCTCCTCCTCCTCTTTTTTTCTTCTGTTCACACATTTCTCCTCCTTTTTTTCCTCCGTCGTCGTGTGTCTGTGTTTGGTGTGCTTGATGACTCCATCTCTCTTTTGTGTTCCCCGTTTCTTTTTGCATCTCCAAAGCTCATCTTTTCCTCCTCCTCAGGCTCAGACTGTCGTAGATTAGTCAGATCAGTATGGTCAGTGTTGTGCTGGTGACTCTGTGTCTCTTTAACTGCTTCTCTGTGGGGGAGATGGAAACCCACGCAGCTAACATCTACTCTCCTGTCTAGATCTATTTCTCTAGAATCTAGCATGTGATAGCTGTAAATGTAGACTGTACGCTCCCCCTGCTTCTCTCACAGGCTCCTCCCCTCACAGCCTTTGACCAATCAGCTGCTTTAGATGAGTGAGAGCACCAATCAGCTCTCTCCTGTCTAACGCCTGGTCAGTGAGGGGGAGGGGCCCAAAGTCAAAGTGTTTGTCGTAGCGGTAGGAAAATATGTCATCAAACATTCATTTATCGCAGAGAGTCTGTTTCCGCCTGTTAACCCCGCCCCCTCTCTCTCTGATTGGTCTGTTTGCAGTTAGAAGAGGAGAGACACCATCCGCGGCCCAATCAGCTGAGGAGGCTGGCCTCCTACGTCTTCTCCTCCTCCACCCTGGAGACGGAGCAGTATCCGCACGGAGGGAGCAGCTTCATCCAGAGGAGCCGCTCTGCCGAGAGCAGCCCCGCCCACGTCAACGCCGCCACGGCCTCCGTGCGACGGCGGCACGCCGGCACCCTGCCGACGCCCGGCAGCCCGCGGAGCAGACATTCAGTGCTGAACGTGTCGAGGACGCAGCTGCAGCAGATGTTAGCCAAGCTCATGAACAAGAACAGCAGCTGAGAGACAGCGCGCACGCACACACACACACACTTATACACACACACACACACACACAGAGTCTGATAAAACATTTCAGGGCCCGGGCCAGAGTGTGGCCCCCCCGGCCCCCCTCCCAGTGTCCTTTAACTTTAAAAAGCGGAGGAGGATGGCGCCTCATTACGTCATCATCACAGCCACTTTGGGGTTAGTCCAGGCAGGCCGCCAGGTCAGGAGAACCGTGCTGGACCTGAGGGCGGAGCTGCAGGGAGACAGATCCTCCGAAACATTGATGAAAACTCATCAGGACATGAATCAGTCAGGTCATACAGGCAGATCAGTGAGGGCGCCCCCTGCTGGCTACATCCACGTCTTCAGTACTTTTTTGAATCAACTTCGGACACAATTAACATAAATTAACATCAAAATTTGGCAATAACTTGTTAAAAATAAAACATTCAATAAGCCGAACTGGTTCAGCTCTTACTGGGCCGGTTCACGGCTGGGATGAGAATCAGAACCTCCAAGTCCGAGGTCATGGTCCTCAGTCCTCAGTGACCCGGACCAGGATGAAGCGGAAAAAAACGACGACATTCAATCAGCCAGAAAAAAAGGGACACTGTCCCTTTAAATTTGAATCTAATGAAATTGAGAGTAAATCAAAAATAGCAGATTTATCCCGTTGAACGTTTTCTGGTGACTCTGTGTGTTTAAACACATGATCAGACTCACATCTCATAGACACAGATACAACAAGCCATACAGCCTGCACACACAGCTGGTAAACACACTGACACACACACACACACACACACACACACACACACACACACACTCTCTCTGACTTGGCTGTTGGACTCTTTCCTGATTAAAGGAGCAGAGGAAGAAGAGAAAAGTGCTGACGACACGAAATAAATTCATGCAATAAACTCTGAACGCCTCTCTGCAAACCTTCTGTCGCACACGCCGCAGACCTGGAGGCAAACGGAGGAAATAATGTGAAACGGAGACTTTCCTTCCATGAAGAGGAGGAGGAGGAGGAGGAGGAGGAGGAGGAGGAGGAGGACACAGTGCGGCTGCTATCAGACTGTTAAGCTTTACAGTAATTTGTGCGTTTTTTGATTTTCCTTCGGTTTCCTGCTGAATGAGGAGCGATCGTCCAGGAATGCAGGTCGTCCCGGCGATCAAGTTTTTGCACCGAGACTTTGGAGTCTGCTCCAATCATCCTGTCCACCGAGCAATACGCCATCACAGCTTCACAACTCGTCTTCACCGACACAAAACCAGTGACCCTGAACGCCTCGCTGTGATTCCTGATCCTCCATTAAACGTTTGTGTGTGTGAAGAGAAAGGTGTGAGTTTTCTCTGTGACTGAAGGTGCTGAGCTTCTCTGTACGGTGGCCCTGAACTGACAATATTCTATACCTGAAAAAAAAAAAAAGAACTGAGCACCATCAAAAAGAGGCCCCACAACAATTCAACTCAAAATCAATCTCAAATCTGAAATCCATAAAAATTCTTTGAAGTCTTTCACAAAAATATTAAAACTTCAATTAAAAATATAAATAAAAAAATAAAAACCAATTAAACGAAAAACAAACAAACCTCTGAACCTTCTGATTTAGCTTCCATTTTCTGCATTAATTTATTAAAGTTCGGTTTTAAAGCTGAAAACTAAATAAAAAAAGGTTTATTTTTCTTCATCGAACGGGAGGCGATTTAACAGAAAGGCATCATGGGAAAGGAGATGTCTCCGAACAGCTGCAAAGAAACCGACAACTTTGTTCCGATGTCCTTTTCCTGTTTGAGCAGCTGAAGTTCTCCATCATCTCAGGATGTTTATTCAGAGTCACTCAGTGTGTTCAAGATACGAGGAGCGAGAACTGAGACTCAGCAGGGACAGGAGGACAGGAGGACAGGCAGTCCACCACCAGTGTCCATTAGGGGACTCGTGGGACTTGTCCCGCCTTTCAGGTCACCTAAGGCTCCGGTTAGCCTAAAGCTCCTTTCACACCGGGACCGTTTTTTTCATGCGATTATTTCAGACGTCGATATTTTTTTTGAACCCGTATCCTGTCACATCAGCGACGGTTCCCCCGTCCTGCGAAATTGCGGCATTTTTTTGGATCACAGTCGATTTTTCTAAAGTTTCTCATACTGTGTGTCCACTTCTGACCAATCAGATTTCGTGTTGTTGCGACGTCAGATTCACCGTTATATCCAACATGGCCGACCGGCTGATTGTTTACGTGTCGGAGAACAGAGTGATTTTCTTCTCAATCGTTCACCTTTACGTATGTTTTGTCATGAATTTGTCCCGTTACCGTTTTTACCGTAACGGCGGCTGAACTGCGAACAAACAAACTTTCCTCTCACTGAACAGGTCCATTATAAACAAGCGTGATCTTACCTCAGACACACGGCGAGGCGCTGCTCCGGGTCAACCGCTCCCTGAAATTAGTCCTCTGCCTCTTTAAACTTGGAGCTCATTGTTTCAGCAGAACTTCAGATTGTACAACGGAGATCTGAAAATAGGTTCTGAAGCGACCATGGTCCAGTTTCAGCTCCTGAACCGAGCAGAGAAACTCACCAAGTTCTCTTCTTTTTTCTGATATTGACCAGCTTTTCTAGCCAATCAGAGGCGAAGGAGGCGGGACTTTCCCCGGGATCCGTCTTTTCCCTCCAGAAAGTCGCAAAATCACATCGGGCTTGATGTGTTTAGTCAGGCGCGTCAAAATTTGCCTTTTCGTAATTTCGTGTCGTATATTTGCGTCGGTCCCAGAGTGTAAGGACCTTTGAGCAGCTGGAACCAGCAGGAAAGTTCATGTAGATCCAGTTGATGGTGAGACTTTCAGAGCTGATTCCAGAAACCATGATGTGTGTTTTTTGTCTAATTTGGCTGTTTGGGGTTTTTTGGACGAACTCGCTGAGGTTCAAACTCAGCTGTTTTGGTACCTGATGTTCTGGATATCTGGAGAAACTGAAGAAGTTTTGTTTTGTTGCTTCAAAATGAGAAAATGAAATGAATCAGAAAAAAAAAAACACTGGTCAAAGTGTCTCCAAAGTCTGCGTGGTTGGTTGAGTTATCGTCCTTTCAGGTCTTCCAGAGGACAGGGTCAGTTTGGGTCGTTGTCGTGGGGACTCTGAGTGTTCGTGTGCCGTGTGTTCTTCTTCGCAGCTGTTTCTGGCTCCTTCCCAGTTTGTTGGAGAAACTTTTGAGCTCCATCTTGTTGTAAATGTTGCACCGAGGTTTTCCTGGTTCTTGACGTCTTGTGTCGGATCATTGTCTTCTCACCGTCACGCTTCCCTCTTCGTCACTCTTCACTGCTGCACTTTATCACAGGAGAGAGCAGAGAGATGAAAATATAGATGCAAAAACATAGATGCAATAAGTAAGAAGTGGGGAGGTCTTAGAAGTCCTTTCCCGTTGGTGTGAGGTCGGATCTTTGTGGACAGATGAAGACCCGCCCCCGTCTGCCTGAACAGAGTCTAAAGGGCTGTTTGTGGTTAACAGGAGCGTCTCCATGGCAGCCAGTTTCCTGACCTCATGCCAAGGCGGGGAAGCCTCAATGTCACGCCCACCCTGCTGACATCATTTCACCACTTTTGACCAAAGACAGAGTTACAGCGCCCCCTAGTCTCAAACCGACATATGCAGTTCAAATGTTGGATATTTCAACTAAACGTGGACCAAGGTCCCATCAGCAGGTTTTCTCTCTGAACTCTACAGATTATTATGTTGCTAAGGAAGATTCCAGAGAGCTGGCCAATCAGAAGCGAGTGGAGATATAAAGAGACAGTACCTGGAATCTCCTGGGGCTAGACTGGGGTTTTATAACGGGGGAGGGGGGGATCAGGACATGTTTGGATTGTGAGAAATTCAAAGGTACTAAAGAGGCTGAACTGAGTAAGAGTGTAAAACTCCAAACAATCAGAACATAAAAGAAGTTAGCTGGTCAGGAAGACAGACAGACAGTCCAGCACCATAACAGAACTAGACCTATTACTGTACTCATGTTCACCCTTTAGAGCGGCACAGTGCTGTAGAGGTTAACACTGTCGCCTCACAGCAAGAAGGTCCTGGGTTTGAATCCGGGTCAGGGTGTTTCTGTGTGGAGTTTGCATGTTCTCCCTGTGTCTGCGTGGGTTTACTCCGGGTTAGGTTAACTGGCCACTCTCAAATTGCCCGTAGGTGTGAATGTGAGCGTGGACGGTTGTCCGTCTCTGTATGTCAGCCCTGCGATGAACTAGCGACTTGTCCAGGGCGTCCCTTGCCTTCGCCCGAAGATGCTGGGATAGGCTCCAGCCCCCCCAGCAACCCCGGGAACAGGAATAAGTGGTAGAAGTTGGATGGATGGATGGATGGATGGATGGGTGTTCACCCTTTATCCTGTCAGTCTGGGACATCTGTACGTTAGTTTAGCAGGATTAGCAGCCCTGGTAAAAACTTGTTTATCTCTTATTTCAGCTTTATTCAGCCTCGGACTGAAACTCTTCGTTTCGCTGTTTTTACTTTGATAGAAAATTAGACAGAGCTTGGGGTGTTACTTTTTACACAGTTTAGGGTTAGGGTTAGGTTTAACTGTGAAGTGACCTGGAAGTTACAGATGAACAGCTCCAGGTTTCAGTATCAGCCGACACTATAATCCAAAGGGGTCCTCTGAAAAGGCGGGCATTAACAGCAGAGGAAACAGCTGAAGACTGAGAGAGACAGACAGACAGACAGACAGCGAGGAAATGGAGATTCCTGGTTAGGGCGTGTCCTTAGCATTGTCCGAATAGGACGGCGTGTCATGACGTCAGGTTAGCTCAGAATAAGCCGGATAAAGTGTCCAGGGATCACGCTGCTGTCGTCTGACTTCAGTTTAGAAACTGCTGAGATTTAGTTTGGACATCCAACATTAACGTCATATGTCTGATTTATCAGCTGAGCGGGTCTCCTCTGAGCGGGAAACTAGACTGAAAATACTCTGTTGTATTCGCGCTCCTCCCCTTCATGACGCTCAGGAGTTACAGGCTAGCTGGCAGTTCAGGGTGTTCCTGTCCAGATTTTCCATCCTGGCATCTGTTTGTTTTTGTTTTTTTTTTTACAAAATTACACAAAGAGGAATCACAGCAGTCTTCTAGAAATCAAACAGCAGGGGGAGCCGTGAGTGTGCGATCGGTGGGTGTGAGAAGATTCCTCTGGTTTAGCGTCTCTTGTGAATGAAGCGTTCAGGTCATGAAGAAGATCTGCTCCATCCTACGAAGAGAAGGTGTTCATCACTCATCTTTGGGGGCAGCCATCGAGTAACATTGACGATGGGGGCGGGGTTTGATCAGTTGTGTTTGAAACCAGGAATCTCCACAAGCGGCGCTCTGTGGTGCGTTCACTGAATGTTTAACAAGAGGGTACTTTCTGAGACTGACTAGGGCGGCCATTTTGTTACAGTGGGAGAAACCCCGTTGCATTCTCAATGTGTTAAAGGGCTACATTAAATGAATATGCACCACTTGCTGTTACATGAAGCTGGAGGCGTTCGCATTAGCTCAGCATTAGCCGTCCCTCTGTGCTGAGGCTCATCACCGCTGACGAGGAGACAACCTGAGTTTGTTTTCATGTCGCTTCCTGCTGCGTTCAGGACGTCCTGCTTGTTTTGTATTTAGCATAGCATTACATGACAGCCACTTAGAGAATGTATGAAGTGGGCTAGCTGCTAACTATGAACTTTAATTTGCACATCTGCAAAAAAATCCACCTACCGTACAAGATTGTCACTGATACATGCCGATGTTTTGTGCAGAACCACGTTCATTTAAAAACAGGCGGTAAGAAGCTTTGAGTGTGCTCTACACGCTGACGATACACTGATTTAAAAAAAACTAAACACAGCATCAGTGACGGAGCGTCGTCCTGAACGACTGTTTGCCGACTGTCGCCACTCTTTGCATGAGATCTACTGTTTGTTCCACACGCACCTCTGACTGTAAATGACAGAAAACAGCACTGTACTGTAATTACAACACTCTGACTGAAACACGTCTGTGATTCTTTGTATATAATCCACACCGTTACTCAAAGGGATACTCACGGATCAGAGCCGTCATGTCTGGAGCTGACTCGTAACACGTCAAAAACCAGTCCCGGTTGTCAAACACGTTCACTGCATTTGTGATTCTGCATCATGGATTGAACTTTAACTCTCCTTGTTCTTTCTTTTGTTTTTGAATGTCTTATTTATGTTTTCACCGTTTGGCTGCTTCAAGTCCAAACTCGTGGAACGCTTAGGCTTGTTTTCGTCTCAGTTTGCTGCTTTGGGCGTAAATACCGTCAGCTGTCGGACGCTTTAACCCAACGAGTCAATGGCAATGCTTTCAGTAAAATGATCCTACATAAGTTTCAAAGAGGTACTGTTTAGTGTACTGGACCTATGTCATTTTTCAAGATTGTTAAAAACTTTGTACGTCTTTTGTGGTCTGAAGTATTTATGGTCTAAACTCCAAAAAGGCAGAACTGTCTCCTAAATCTTGACATGTTCAGTGCAAGTCAAAAATGTTTGTGAGGCTTTCAAAACACTCCAAACTCAAACTTTGTCAGCGTGTTTGATGATCTTAATTGTCTGCAAAAACTTTGAGAAAAAAATATGTTTCACAGTCTCTGTAAAAACTCAAGTCCTGCAAAGTGTTTTTCACTTATTGTTTAAAAGATAGAAGTCTTAGTAGACTCAGTTTAAGTCCAAAAATGTTTCATTTCAAGATATTTTTAAAAAACGATTTACTTGCCGTGTTTTCAAAAGAAAACTTCTTGGTTTCTTGTTGAGCTAAAATCTTCTTTTAAGCAATTTGAAAAGCAGATTTGTGAACTCATGATGAGCAATTCTGGTCTGAATATTTGGGTGAAGAATCTTGAAATAAGACATTTTTCTCACCTGGGTGTATTTGGTTCAAACTGAGCCTCACAAACACGTTTGTTCGGAGTGTTTTGTTAGTCAAACTGCTGCTTATCATGTTCAAACTGAAAGAAATAATTTTGTTGAAATAAATTTATTTTGTTTCACTATCATTCAAAGAGAAAACGTATAACCTTATTTTTGCCTCCTTTGCAGTGGTTGAACACAAAGTTGTCGGTTTTTCTGAGATTGAGAATTAGAGAAGCAAAAATGACATTTTCATGATCCGACTTTTCAGAGTGCGTTAGCAAACATTTATACCTCATGAATCATACATCCCAGTATATAAATGTAGAAATAAACTGTATCACACTTGATATCTTTTATTGCGTATTTGATATGGTTATGATCTTTGTGGAATAACAGGGTGATGATATTGTACAGATACTGTCAGTAGAGAGAACAAACTTCACGGTGTCTTTATAGGCAAACACTTTGTTGAGCTGCATTCGCCAGTTTGTTGGTCATCAAAATGTCACCTCTAGTTTATACTCACAGGAAAACCCGGATAGTTTACAGTTTTAGTCTCAAACTGGTGGCTTACCAGTACAAAGTTACATTCACGAGGTTTTTAAGCACCAAGACTGGAAGCAGGGGAAAGTGTTCACTTAGCTCTGACTTCACACACACATCCATAGCTAACGAGCTAGCCTCCAGTCCATCCAGCAGTGTGAGGATAAGAATCAAACCAGCAACTTCAGTGCTAACAGCTGCTGAACCACATTTGACATATTTGAACTCTTTTCAAAAACAGTCTACAACACAGAAAACTGACTTGGTTGTCTTGGGAATTAAGCATGAAGTATGAAGTCCATTTCTGTGGTCCTATTTTACTCTGTAAATCCTCCATCAGAGCTGCATATAGTTTATAATTCATAAAACTCCTGACTTATCTTCTGCTGATGTCCGTGAAAACCCCCTTCAGTAGGTTCCAAGTACTGTCTTTTTAAGGCCCCGCCTCCCTTTAAGTTTACGCCCTTCTGATTGGTCAGAAGTCTGCCTGGCAACATGATACAAGGAGTTCTTTGTTTTTATAAAGTGGCAGTGGTAGCTGAAGCTTTGAACTCACACTATAGAAACGGTAAATCAGACGTTGTTGAAGTTAATATGTATGATTTTTTTTGTGTGTTATGATGGTGCTAAGCTCACCGTTAGCCCCTGCTTCCAGCTTAGCTAAACTCAGCTTGGACCTGAAACCATCAGCCAACAGTTGAAACTAATCCGAGTATGTCCTAAACTATCTGAAGGCTCCTCGACTTTTCTTGCAATAATGGCGTGCTTTCTGTTGCGGAGCTGTTGAGGATTGATGAGCTAATCACAGTGTTAGTTCAGTGTGATGATCCGTGAGTGTCTTTCCCTTGTAAAATACATATAAGCCTTTTCTTTTATATCACGATATGACTGTACAGTACTGCTTGTATAATTTACAGGTAAAGCATGTATTTTAAACTTTTTGTAAATCCAAATGATAACTGTGTACAGATATACAGAAATGTAGAAAGTCCTTAGGTTTGCAGTTACTCTCTAATAGCATGGTAAATTAGCGGGGTTTAGTATGTATGTACAGGCTGTATGTTAAATCTTTATGAAGGGAAACACTTGAATCACATGATTATCAGACTGCGTGCTGTCTAAGGATAAACTCTGCAATGCATTTTTTGTGCCTTTTATATCAATGTATGTAATCTAGACAATCTTGAAAAGCTTGTGTACAACCAAAATGACATTAAAATGATTTTGGGGGCAAACATGTCTGTTATTCTGCTTTATTTATCACCCCAACAGGGACTGTTAGCAAATGCTACTATATTAGTGAAATCCTCCTGGTTTAAAACCATGTCCACAAAACTCAGAAGCTGAGAAGAGACAACACTCCATAACAAAATCTGTGAATTTTCAATAATATGACACCTAGCTGGTAAGGCAGCTAGCTAGCCATGCATAGGGACTATTCAGGAGAAAGCAGTTATTACATCCCTTTACATGGAAACTGTATTTTGGTGGATGTCAGTCAACAGTGTTGTTATATGAACACAGGTTCCTTCAAAAACCCTGTTCTCTCCCAAACACAACCTAACTTTAGTCAGTGCAAGACTGTCATAAGTGCGTTTTTTGATATTCCTAAACTGAAGGCTCACTAATGCAGCAAGGTCAACAAGCCTCTTCAACCCCTGATGCTTCTTTACCACCAATTCATTCATTTATGAAAGGATGGATTCTTTTATTTTGGTCCTAATTTATGACAAACCCTTAATTCCTCCCTGGCCCTCTGTTAGGTTTGTGAAATTCAGCTGTGACCACGTCGGTGCCTAAAGCATCAGTGAAAAGCGTGGAATATATAACGCCAACATGACCACACAAGGTTAGGGACCTCCTTGTGTGAAGTTGGTATGTTCTTCCATTGAACGCAGTTTGTAACCAGTCAAGGCTGAGCCTCGCTCGGCATCCGGGATTAACTGTGACCACCTGTGACCCCCAATCGAACGAGCATTAGTTGAAGTTTTTCTTCTGTTTGATGCGTCATCTGTATGTTTTTCTGTGACAGAAGTTGAAAATATTGTGTATGATTCTTGAGCCTGAATATCTTGTGTGTCTTAAAGACTGATCCAGTATATCTACTGTTTCAGTCTTTAAGACACGTTGTTTGGCAGCTGTGGAGTAAGTTGGAGCGTAAGTTGCTTCTCAGTTGGTGGGTTGGCAACTCTGTCATCATTTCTGGTAGCCAACATGTCCAGGTTGCTTAGCACAGCCCATTTTCTATCTAAAAAGCACCTGATCTTCTGTCATACCATTTTCATGGCTCCAGACTTGGGGCTGTTTATCAGCAACCTCCTTCACAGCATCTTTTCAGGTGAATAAGGAGTTTTGTTTTGTTGTTTTCAGGTGCTGTCACCCACAGAGCCCAGCATCCCATCGCCGTCCTCCCCAGATTATCGGACAAAGGCTCAGGGTGATGAGAAGGAGCATTTCCACATCCTTCCTCAGCTCCAGGCAAAGAGGGCTGACTTCCTCACCGTTATGCTAACCGGCACTTTGCCTCAGCGCCGCAGTTTTGCCACGCCAGATGAAGAAGTCCCAGAACCTTCAGGGCCAAGAGATGATGATGTTACAAAGAGTGAGTCCAACAGCGAGGCCAGTCAGAAGAGCACTGAACGCAGCCAGGATGCTGCGCCTTCGACACTCATGGCAGAGGACCAGAGAGGCCAGAGGGAGCATGCCTCAGCTGCTGATGCAGACCCTGACTTGGAGGATGCTTCTAAAACTCTAGTCCTCTTTTCTCCTGGGGACACGCGCAAGTCTCCCTCTGGTGCTGATCATTGTCTGGAGGGAGAGTTGTCAACACCTTGTGCCCTCACATCCCGTAACCTCCTGGTTGGGGATGGGATTCAACCAGAACCCCCTGAGACTGGCCGTTTGTCCCCTGCTCTCAGGTCAGACCTCAGGCCTTCCACACCTATCGCTCCCGCGTCACCGCCCTTCACCAAAGTTGAGCGCACTTTTATTCATATTGCAGAGACATCACACCTCAATGTCATGTCTTCCAACGGTCACTCTGCCAGGGAGAGTGACCGGGAAGTCTCGACCATCATGAAGGCATCAGCAGTAGAAGATGACACCCATGAACAGGGGGGAGAAAAGTCTCCAGAGGAATCCATGCCAGATCAAGGTAGACCACTTGATAAGCATCTTAATATTGAGAATGGTCCATCACCTGTCCCAGCCCAGTCCTTAAAGCCTGTTCCAGAAGCCGTGTCACCTGTTCTTTCACTGGACCTTAAGAAACTACTACCATCCAGTGAAGAAGCTGCCAGGTTTCAGACTGGATCAGAACTACCAGTTGCAATAAAACCCAGAATCCGAAGCAGAATCCCAATACTCATTTCTGAGGAAGACTCAGGCTCTGAGCAATCCTCCTCTCTTTCAGCACGGGCGCGACTACAGCAAAGGGCCAGGCAGTTGGACTTGGCTCGCATGCTAGTTCAAAGGCAACAGGGTCGCTGGATGAGGAGAAGGATGCTTTCTGGGACATCATCATCTTTGTCTTCTGGAGACGATGAGCGTAGGAGAGCTTCAGAAACTTTGTCTACCACTGGCTCAGAGGAGGACACACATACCTCGGATGAGTCCAGGAGAAGCTCGCGTCTCAAACCAACAGAAGAACAAGGGTCCAAGGAGTGCCGAAGCAGGATCCCCAGGCCTGTCACCCCAATCAAAAGGCCTTCAGTGGGGCTTGCTGCCGCTCCTCCCTCCCCCCTCTCCCTGCCAGAATCCAGCACTACCAAAGGACCACCATCCTTTGTTAATGGGTATGGTCACCCTCATTTTTGTTTACATCTGTTGATTCTGAAGCAGACTGATTGATAACACTTTAATGTTTCTCTTCTGTCCACAGGAAGCAGAAAATTGGACTAAGCACTCTCAACACTCAACGAAAGCCCAAACCCACCTTGCCCCGATCCTCTTCCTCTTGTCCTCGTCCCTCTGCTGCCCCTGCTCCTTCAGGTAGTCCTCGAATGCCCCTGCGAGTCTTATTTGGGACCCGACGCAGCCTTAGCTCCACCCACTGCAGGACTGACAGCCCCTCCCCACAGAGAGTCTGTCCATCCAGGCAGCCCCTTTCTGTTCGAGCCCCAACTGTCCCTGTGCTACCGCCCAGGACCACTTCCACCGCCATGAGGCGCAGCGCCTCACAGGAAGCCACCGCCCAGACCTCCTCTGGTGTCACGCCTGCTAGGACCCGTCCAAAAGCAGCCGGTACGGTGACTAAAGGGAAGCCAAATACCAGGGAGAAGTCTGTGCCCGCTAGATAATACAAAGAGACTCATTCAGAGATACATTTGTGTATAATCAGTCTTCGGACAAGCTGCGCCTCAAAGGTTTTCACCTGGTTCCATACTGGACTGTGACATTACAATGACCTCCTTCAGTTCATTTAATGTATACCGATCTCTTATATTTTCCAAGGACAGCTTACTAACTTTCTTCATGGGCTTCCAGTAATCCTGACTGATGGTCGTACAGGAGTGTTGCTGCCATGGTGCTATGGATATGTGCTGCTCCCTGGTCAATCCCTGGTTTAACTGGTTTCTGGACATGAGAATCCCCACCCCAAACAAGTCCAGTTTCACAGACTCTCACCTTAGGGCCGGTGTCCACATGGCGTTTTATTCTGGCAAACTAGCCTTTGCCCTTTACAGTTTGTTATTCTGACTGCATGTTTCGTTATCCGTTCGTTTAAGCTTGTTTTTCACTGGAGGATGCTGCTCTTCATACCTTTGGGTAGGCTTAATCTCTATGGGATAAAAATGAAGAATCTGGATTTTAGTCTGAGGAGTGCTCTGGTTTCTGTTTGTAGTCCATTCCTGATTAGAGAAGTATTGACCAATCAGGAGTCAGCAGGCTTTGGCATCTGCATAAAAAACTTTGTGGAGAGCAAAAGCAGGAGGAACACAATCCACCGTAATAACAACCCGCCTCCCATCAGCAGTGATCAGAAGAGGATTTCTGACTCTGTAAAACAGATTTTTGCATGACGGTTAGCTAACAAACATTTACACTGAGACACTAATCTGACTGATGCTGGGTCACTAAAGACAATCAGAGCTTAGATTTACAGACTTCCCTGAATGCATCAAAAACGATGAATCTGACCTTTATTCAACAAACAAACATTTTCAAAGTAGTTTTCTGCTCCTCTTGAGGATAGACCTAACAAAACTGGACTTTGGACTAATCGGCATCATGATTTTGTTATTTACAGAGAAACTGAGACTCTCTACAGACAGAGGGTGAACTAGAATCTAACAGTGTCTGTGTTGTAGACAAACCTCAGGGGGCCACTTCTGTTTCTCTTTAGATCCGAACCCTTCACCACTCTTCGAGGTTGGACTGCAAACACTAAACCAGTGGAGACCATCGTTCCCAGAGGTGTTTATTTTTGTCAGATTATAGCTGATGATGAGTTATTTTACAGTATGTCAGAGCTCAGTCCAACAGCCTATGATATGACTATATGATACAGTCTGTCAGAAACATCTTTGATATCATTGCCTCTTATATTAGCTACTGTCAGATATGATGGTTTCCTGTAATCCACAGTCCTGCTCCTTCAGGCCAAAAATGAAGGCTGTTGTTTTCTGATGCAAATATTCTTCCTTCATAGGAAACAATTACAAAAAACACAGACCCAGAAACAAATGCTATGTGGACACCAGCCCTTCCACTGTACTACCAGCTTGTCCACAGCTATTCTACTGACAGTACTCTGCTTGGTTCACATTGCATGGTGAAGTATATCACAAAAACAACAAATCCATTGAAGGAAACAATATGTACAAAAATCTGTACCTTTAAATTCTTCAATAAAGCTTTCCCCTTCCTATTGGGATCATTATGCCAAATAAGAGATCAAATTAGACTGGATTGAATGCCCGGATATGTTCGTATGATAAGAGATTCCTAACTATATGCTGTGCTCATTAAGAGAAGAGTTGGATGTGAAACTTAATAAATAGCTCGGCCGCTCGCCTCCTCCTCATGGTGTGACAATGGGCATGCTTTAATCATCTATTTTCTGGGTGTTTTATTTTCGTTATGCTCTGAATTGTACATAATAGAATCATTTCCCATAAAGACATCTTTATTTTTTATCTTGCCAAGCAAAATGTAAATTTCCTGTCTTTAACCTTCTGTTCCAATGTGTTGGCACTACGCCTGTTTTTTAACGCATGAGAAAAACAGGGTTAACCATAAGAGGAAGACCTATCTGCTTGGATCCTGCTGACAGTGCAAAGGTGTGCTGGTTGTGTTTGTACAGGGTCGAAGGGCACTGAGCTGTGAAGTAAAGTCTTGGTCATGTGGACAGAGTCTTTGTCTTTTTTCTCACTGATCCAGATCAAAACTTTTGGCTGTATTTGGTCAAGGTCACCCCTCCTTACAAGACGGCAAAAGCACAACCTCACTGGAAGAGAACTACTTTATTATTTTAATCAAAACTTGAAAAAGAAAAAGGAGAAGAACTTTATTGATACCTGAAGGGAAAATCGATAAGGAACAGTCAGTTCCTGAAAAAAGAGGTGGTCACCCTACTTATAAAACTGGAGAATGAGAGTTTCATCAGAAAATATACGCTTTCACAAAACCCATTAACTAGAGTTTAACTATACCCGGGCTGCAGTGGTCGAATATTTTTGTAATCCTGTAATCTATCGATTCATTCGCTGATTGTTCAATAAATCTGAGTTTAAAAAAAAGAAGCTTTTTTTCATTATGAATTTTGCCTTTGCTGTTGTAATAATGCAAATTCCTCTGTTGTAGTCTTATCTTATTAGCAGGCTTAAATAATGTACTTTGAATTCATTAGAAATACAAGAGCTCAATCAATCAGGAACTTATGCACCATAGGAATACTTATAAATCTGTAAAAATGAACCACCGAAGGTAAGATTAAAACATGGAGACAGAATAATTAGACAAAATATGGGAAATAAGTAAGATAATAAACTACAAGCATAGTAAATTAACAGTTATTAAAAAACTAAAATGGAAAATGGGTGAATTAGCTTGACTGAATTAAAGTTGTTAAACCACCAATTTTGCTAACTGATTTCTAATCAGTTAAAATGTCCTCAGATGATATTAACCAGAATATATATGGATGACTGACTTCTTTTTGGATATAAAAAATATAATCACAGAAAAACAATCTTAAATCGAGTGAAATGTAAGTTTACCTTTGGGTTTTTTTGCTCCACATCTGTCTGTAGAGGATCACACAACGGACTTGCCCTCAGCAATATGGCGACCGCACTGACGTATCAGTGCAGCGGAAGAAAACAGCCAATGCGGTTCCTCCAACAGTCCACCAGATGGCGGGATTTTTACCCATGATCAGTGATGACGCAGAGGTAAGATGGCGGTGCAGGTAGAGTGTGTCTGCCTGGAGAGTTTCCCCTCTCACCTGAGTCCCCTGGACGGGTTGATGCTAACTTGCCACCTGGATTCAGTGTTCCGGGACGACACCGACCCACCGGTGTTACTCTTCACTCCTCACCGGCCTCAGGGCTCCGGTAAGCCGGGCATTTTACTGCGTGTTCACCCGACCACAGAGGAGACTGTGGGCTGCAGGGCAGTGAACTCCCCCCGGGCAGAGTTCACCGGGAGCCGGGTCCGGCTCTTCACCAGCCGACTCTTCCTGCGGCTCCACGGGCTCCAGCAGCGGCCCGTGAGCACGGGGACAGTCCGGGCGTTGGAGCCTGTCAGTCTGGACAGAGTGGTGCTGGGAGCCCGGAGCAGACAGAGCCTCCGCTGGGCAGGAGCAGAGCGGTTCACCGCGAGGCTGCTGGAGGTCTGCCGCCCGGGACAGTGGCTGCTGGCCCGGCAGGGAGACCCGCTGCTGCTGCCCGGACACCCGCCACCGGGAGAGGACCCGGGACAGGTGAGACTTAGGGCGGCGGGTCATGGGTCTCTGCTTTACCATCTACTTCAATACTGAAACTGCATGTCAAGAGTTACTACACCTGTCTTTAGTTTCAGTCTGTTTTTTTTTCACCTCCAACTGAGTGACAGTGGAGCTCCATGTTTACCTGAGACAGTTCAGGGTCTGTTCAGGGAAAGTTCTAGTTTAAATTTGTTTTAATGGTTGTAACTAGAGATGCACTGATCCATTTTCTTCTGATATGATATCTAGGCTGAGCGTATCGGCCGATATCCGAAACCGATCAAATACTACTGTTGAATGAATGAACTGTATACCTGTGAGTGAAGGCATCAGGTCAGACATTAGCCTTGTAAAAAAAAAAAACTAACAAGTGAACACAGATATGAATTTACTTAATATTATTAATTAACAGATAACAATATGCACATGAGCACAGAGCAAAAAGAAGTAAGACTTCCAAGTATTAAAAGAAAAAAAGACGCTGGATCGTCATTCATCCGATATCTGATCCAGTTAATTTGTCAATATCGGCGTCGATATCTGATCCAAATATTGGATCGTGCATCCCTAGTTATAACACATGTTTAGGTAAACATCGAGGCTGTAAAGAGGGTTAAAATGAGTATTATTATAACTTTAAAAGGTGGTAAATGTCATATTTCATAAACAAGTCTGAAGTCAAACGTTAACTCTGATTTCGTCTCCGTGTTTTCACACTGACTCACTGTTCTTCTCGTACCTCCTGAGTTCAGGTGAAGCAGCATCTGATGGATCTGCTCGTCCTGGACTGCAGTCCTGTCACTCAGGGGCGGATCACAGCTGACACCTCTCTGGTTCTGACAGAGTGCTGGGACTCAGCGGACCCCCCAGGCCCCCCAGGCCCCTCCTGCAGGCCCCTCAGACTGTGTGTGTCAGACTTCGCTCATTACGCTGACGGCCTCGGAGGGGGGCGCTCTCTGCTGGACAACAAGAAGCTGCTGGACTCCGGGTTCTCTGGTGTCCTCCAGGCTCTTGAGTGCAGGCTGGACGTTCAGGTGGTGGACACCTGGCAATGGTCTGGGGTCAGAGGTCAACAGGGGACGGTGGTAGATGTGGACAGCTGTGTGTTTGTGAGTAAGCAGCTCCTCCTCAGACTAGGACTCTTTAACCAGGAGTGGGTGAAACTGTCGAGGCAGGGCGGGGCTTCCAGGCCGCCGCAGGGTCAGACTGAAGTGAGGGTGGGCGGGGCCAGAGAGCGGCTGGTCTCTGTTGTGGTTTTTGATCCCTCTCAGAGTCCAGACTTGCAGAACCATGACGAAGTCGGTTTCATTTCAGAGACTTTGTGGTTTAACATGACGGAAGGAGACGAGATCCCCGTGATCAGCTGCACACTGAGGATGAAGGTACTACACACACACACACACAACATACACACAACACACACTAAAAACACACACCCAGCAGGAACGTCTGTTCAGAGTCCTGTCGGAGTCCCACGATGACGAAGAATAAATGTTCCACCGAAGTTAAAGACCATTGAGAGGGCCGAGTTCAGACCCCTGAGGGACGCCGTTTTCTTTCTTTCCTTTAAACCGTCTCAAACAGAATAAGGTTAGTCGTTTCCCACCATGGCCTGTTGTTTATTTTATTTCAGAGGTGGAGACCATCTGATCCGGACCGGTGCGGCCCGAGCTCTGACAGTTTCTGTCGCTCAGCGTCTCCTCCGTTTGCCAGCGAGCTTCACATCCAGCCTGTCGTTTCTCCGCTGTACAACACCCTGAGCTGCTCGGACCACCTGCTGTCTGAACACTTCAGCTCACCCAGGTAGAGATGAAACCTTCACAGTGTCGCACAAATACTTTACACTCAATGACCTGAACATGAGAATCTACAGGAGGTCCCTGAAACCTTCACTGCCCTCATGTTTGGTTCTCAGTATTTTGCATCATCAGTATTTTGCATCATGGGGCTTTGCTCTGTAGAGTTAATCGTATGTCTCCACTGTGAACAACCTACAGATTAACAAGCCGGCCTGAATCGTTGCGTGTTGTCAGTGTCTTTAAAATGAAAGTTTAGATGCTCCCAGTCTGACCAGTATGATCCCTCTGTATAGGCTGGTGTCTGAGGGAGACATCCTGACTGTTCCAGCTGAGAAACATCCAGACCTGCTGCAGAACAACTCAGAGGGAATCCACAGGCATGTTGAGTTCTTTAATAGGAGTTTCTGTCTGTCTGTCAGTCACGCTGGTTTGCTGTCTCCTCTCTGTTCATGTTGTCTGAAGACACGTGACCAAAAACACGCATGTCTGCGGCGCTGCGCTAAAGACGAGTTTCAGTCGCTCCTGAAAACAACATGAACGTCTTAAAATAAGTGTTTATATCTGAGGCGGCAGAATAACTACGCTCTCTTTTGACTGTAGTTGTCTGTGTGACCTTTGACCTCTGTCAGGTGTCCAGTGCTGTTCTTCAAAGTGCAGAAGGTGTGTCCACCTGCTGAGGGAGGGGGAGGAGCTTACCTGGCTGACAGACGGCACACCTCACTCTTCATGGTGACCAGAAACGGCTGTTACTCTTCACAGACACCAAACCCCATTCAAAAAAACACGAATTTAACCTGATAAAGCAGGTTCAGTTTAATCCTCACAGCTGTGAGACTTAAACCCTCGACTGTTAAAGGCGTGTCTCCTTCTCATTTCTAATTCAGAAACGTCCTGACGATGTTATTTTGCGTCTCCTCCTGTAGGGGGCGTCCACCAGCAGCAGGGTCCCCGGGGGCGGTGTTCAGGAAGCGTCCGTGTTCAGCTCTCTGTCCCCGCCTGGCCTCAGCAGAACGGTGGAGGTCCTCAGCAGCATCATCCGTCCTCACCTGCACCACAGGTAACCCCACCTGTCCCCCCCGACCATAGAGAGTAGCACCGTGTGGTCATGTGACCAGTGATGTCATCACTCTTTGCCCTGTCAGCAGCTCTCTGTCAGGCTGCACCGTCCTCCTCCACGGTCAGGCAGGAAGTGGGAAAGTGACGGCGGTGAGAGCGGCGAGTCGGAGACTGAACCTGCACCTGCTGAAGGTACCAGGGAGGAGCTGAGAGACACCAGCACCTCCTCACTCCACCCTTCACCTCCTCACTCCATCCTTCACCTCCTCACTCCTCCATCCATCCTTCACCTCCTCCATCCATCCTTCACCTCCTCCATCCATCCCTCACCTCCTCACTCCATCCTTCACCTCCTCCATCCATCCTTCACCTCCTCTCTCCATCCTTCACCTCCTCCATCCATCCTTCACCTCCTCCATCCATCCTTCACCTCCTCTCTCCATCCTTCACCTCCTCACTCCTCCATCCATCCTTCACCTCCTCCATCCATCCTTCACCTCCTCACTCCTCCATCCATCCTTCACCTCCTCTGTCCATCCTTCACCTCCTTACTCCATCCTTCACCTCCTCCATCCATCCTTGACCTCCTCACTCCATCCTTTACCTCCTCTGTCCATCCTTCACCTCCTCCATCCATCCTTCACCTCCTCCATCCATCCTTCACCTCCTCCATCCATCCTTCACCTCCTCACTCCATCCTTCACCTCCTCCATCCATCCTTCACCTCCTCACTCCATCCTTGACCTCCTCACTCCTCCATCCATCCTTCACCTCCTCCATCCATCCTTCACCTCCTCACTCCATCCTTCACCTCCTCTGTCCATCCTTCACCTCCTCTGTCCATCCTTCACCTCCTCCATCCATCCTTCACCTCCTCACTCCTCCATCCATCCTTCACCTCCTCACTCCTCCATCCATCCTTCACCTCCTCCATCCATCCTTCACCTCCTCACTCCATCCTTCACCTCCTCACTCCATCTTTCACCTCCTCCATCCATCCTTCACCTCCTCACTCCATCCTTCACCTCCTCCATCCATCCTTCACCTCCTCACTCCATCCTTGACCTCCTCACTCCTCCATCCATCCTTCACCTCCTCCATCCATCCTTCACCTCCTCACTCCATCCTTCACCTCCTCACTCCATCTTTCACCTCCTCCATCCATCCTTCACCTCCTCACTCCTCCATCCATCCTTCACCTCCTCCATCCATCCTTCACCTCCTCACTCCATCTTTCACCTCCTCCATCCATCCTTCACCTCCTCACTCCTCCATCCATCCTTCACCTCCTCACTCCAACCTCCCCATCCTCACTCCATCTTTCACCTCCTCCATCCATCCTTCACCTCCTCACTCCTCCATCCATCCTTCACCTCCTCCATCCATCCTTCACCTCCTCACTCCATCCTTCACCTCCTCACTCCTCCATCCATCCTTCACCTCCTCCATCCATCCTTCACCTCCTCCATCCATCCTTCACCTCCTCCATCCATCCTTCACCTCCTCCATCCATCCTTCACCTCCTCACTCCTCCATCCATCCTTCACCTCCTCACTCCATCCTTCACCTCCTCCATCCATCCTTCACCTCCTCACTCCATCCTTCACCTCCTCCATCCATCCTTCACCTCCTCCATCCATCCTTCACCTCCTCACTCCATCCTTCACCTCCTCCATCCATCCTCCATCTCCTCCTCTCCTCCTCACTCCATCCTTCACCTCCACTCCTCCTCACCTCCTCCATCCATCCATCCTCACCTCCTCACTCCATCCTTCACCTCCTCCATCCATCCTTCACCTCCTCCATCCATCCTTCACCTCCTCACTCCTCCATCCATCCTTCACCTCCTCCATCCATCCTTCACCTCCTCACTCCATCCTTCACCTCCTCTGTCCATCCTTCACCTCCTCACTCCATCCTTCACCTCCTCCATCCATCCTTCACCTCCTCACTCCATCCTTCACCTCCTCACTCCTCCATCCATCCTTCACCTCCTCCATCCATCCTTCACCTCCTCACTCCATCCTTCACCTCCTCACTCCATCCTTCACCTCCTCCATCCATCCTTCACCTCCTCACTCCATCCTTCACCTCCTCCTCATCCTTCACCTCCTCACTCCATCCTTACCTCCTCCTCCCTCCATCCATCCTTCACCTCCTCTCCATCCTTCACCTCCTCCATCCATCCTTCACCTCCTCATCCATCCTTCACCTCCTCACTCCTCCATCCATCCTTCACCTCCTCCATCCATCCTTCACCTCCTCACTCCATCTTTCACCTCCTCCATCCATCCTTCACCTCCTCACTCCTCCATCCATCCTTCACCTCCTCACTCCATCCTTCACCTCCTCACTCCTCCATCCATCCTTGACCTCCTCCATCCATCCTTCACCTCCTCACTCCTCCATCCATCCTTCACCTCCTCACTCCATCCTTCACCTCCTCCATCCATCCTTCACCTCCTCACTCCATCCTTCACCTCCCTCCATCCATCCTTCACCTCCTCCATCCATCCTTCACCTCCTCACTCCTCCATCCATCCTTCACCTCCTCACTCCATCCTTCACCTCCTCCATCCATCCTTCACCTCCTCACTCCATCCTTCACCTCCTCCATCCATCCTTCACCTCCTCCATCCATCCTTCACCTCCTCACTCCATCCTTCACCTCCTATCTCCTCCATCCATCCTTCACCTCCTCACTCCTCCATCCTTCACCTCCTCACTCCATCCTTCACCTCCTATCTCCTCCAACCATCCTTCACCTCCTCACTCCATCCTTCACCTCCTATCTCCTCCATCCATCCTTCACCTCCTCCATCCATCCTTTACCTCCTACTCCTCCATCCATCCTTCACCTCCTCACTCCATCCTTCACCTCCTCACTCCTCCATCCATCCTTCACCTCCTCACTCCATCCTTCACCTCCTCACTCCATCCTTCACCTCCTCACTCCTCCATCCATCCTTCACCTCCTCACTCCATCCTTCACCTCCTCCATCCATCCTTCACCTCCTCACTCCATCCTTCACCTCCTCACTCCATCCTTCACCTCCTCCATCCATCCTTCACTCCTCCATCCACTCCTCCATCCATCCTTCACCTCCTCATCCATCCTTCACCTCCTCCTCCATCCTTCACCTCCTCATCCATCCTTCACCTCCTCCTCCATCCTTCACCTCCTCCATCCATCCTTCACCTCCTCCATCCATCCTTCACCTCCTCACTCCTCCATCCATCCTTCACCTCCTCCATCCATCCTTCACCTCCTCACTCCATCCTTCACCTCCTCATCCATCCTTCACCTCCTCCATCCATCCTTCACCTCCTCCATCCATCCTTCACCTCCTCCATCCTCCATCCATCCTTCACCTTCACCTCCCTCCATCCTTCACCTCCATCCATCCTTCACCTCCTCCTACCTCCATCCTTCACCTCCTCACTCCTCATCCATCCTTCACCTCCTCCATCCTTCACCTCCTCATCCATCCTTCACCTCCTCCATCCATCCTCCTCCTCACCTCCTCCACCATCCTTCTCCTCACTCCATCCTTCACCTCCTCATCCATCCTTCACTCCTCCATCCATCCTCACCTCCTCACTCCATCCTTACCTCCTCTCTCCATCCATCTCACCTCCTCCATCCATCCTTCACCTCCTCACTCCATCCTTCACCTCCTCACTCCATCCTTCACCTCCTCCATCCATCCTTCACCTCCTCACTCCATCCTTCACCTCCTCACTCCTCCATCCATCCTTCACCTCCTCCATATATCCTTCATCCTCCTCACTCCTCCATCCATCCTTCACCTCCTCACTCCATCCTTCACCTCCTCCATCCTTCACCTCCTCTCCATCCTTCACCTCCTCCATCCATCCTTCACCTCCTCATCCATCCTTCCCTCCTCACTCCATCCTTCACCTCCCTTCACCTCCTCTCCATCCTTCACCTCCTCCATCCATCCTTCACCTCCTCACTCCATCCTTTCACCTCCTCCATCCACTCCTTCACCTTCCTCATCCATCCTTCATCCTTCCATCCATCCTTCCCTCCTCCTCCATCCTTCACCTCCTCATCCATCCTTCACCTCCTCACTCCATCCTTACCTCCTCACTCCTCCATCCATCCTTCACCTCCTCCATCCATCCTTCACCTCCTCACTCCATCCTTGACCTCCTCACTCCTCCATCCATCCTTCACCTCCTCCATCCATCCTTCACCTCCTCACTCCATCCTTCACCTCCTCACTCCTCCATCCATCCTTCACCTCCTCCATCCATCCTTCACCTCCTCACTCCTCCATCCATCCTTCACCTCCTCCATCCATCCTTCACCTCCTCACTCCATCCTTCACCTCCTCTGTCCATCCTTCACCTCCTCACTCCATCCTTCACCTCCTCCATCCATCCTTCACCTCCTCCATCCATCCTTCACCTCCTCCATCCATCCTTCACCTCCTCACTCCATCCTTCACCTCCTCCATCCATCCTTCACCTCCTCCATCCATCCTTCACCTCCTCCATCCATCCTTCACCTCCTCCATCCATCCTTCACCTCCTCCATCCATCCTTCACCTCCTCACTCCATCCTTCACCTCCTCACTCCATCCTTCACCTCCTCACTCCATCCTTCACCTCCTCCATCCATCCTTCACCTCCTCACTCCATCCTTCACCTCCTCACTCCTCCATCCATCCTTCACCTCCTCCATCCATCCTTCACCTCCTCACTCCATCCTTCACCTCCTCACTCCATCCTTCACCTCCTCACTCCATCCTTCACCTCCTCACTCCTCCATCCATCCTTCACCTCCTCACTCCATCCTTCACCTCCTCACTCCATCTTTCACCTCCTCCATCCATCCTTCACCTCCTCACTCCTCCATCCATCCTTCACCTCCTCACTCCATCCTTCACCTCCTCTGTCCATCCTTCACCTCCTCACTCCATCCTTCACCTCATCCATCCATCCTTCCCCTCCTCCATCCATCCTTCACCTCCTCACTCCATCCTTCACCTCCTCACTCCATCCTTCACCTCCTGACTCCATCCTTTACCTCCTCACTCCATCCTTCACCTCCTCCATCCATCCTTCACCTCCTCACTCCATCCTTCACCTCCTCCATCCATCCTTCACCTCCTCCATCCATCCTTCACCTCCTCACTCCTCCATCCATCCTTCACCTCCTCACTCCATCCTTCACCTCCTCCATCCATCCTTCACCTCCTCACTCCATCCTTCACCTCCTCACTCCTCCATCCATCCTTCACCTCCTCCATCCATCCTTCACCTCCTCACTCCTCCATCCATCCTTCACCTCCTCCATCCATCCTTCACCTCCTCCATCCATCCTTCACCTCCTCCATCCATCCTTCACCTCCTCCATCCATCCTTCACCTCCTCACTCCATCCTTCACCTCCTCCATCCATCCTTCATCTCCTCCAACCATCCTTCACCTCCTCACTCCATCCTTCACCTCCTATCTCCTCCATCCATCCTTCACCTCCTCACTCCATCCTTCACCTCCTCACTCCATCCTTCACCTCCTCACTCCTCCATCCATCCTTGACCTCCTCCATCCATCCTTCACCTCCTCACTCCTCCATCCATCCTTCACCTCCTCACTCCATCCTTCACCTCCTCCATCCATCCTTCACCTCCTCACTCCATCCTTCACCTCCTCACTCCTCCATCCATCCTTCACCTCCTCCATCCATCCTTCACCTCCTCACTCCTCCATCCATCCTTCACCTCCTCTGTCCATCCTTCACCTCCTTACTCCATCCTTCACCTCCTCCATCCATCCTTGACCTCCTCACTCCATCCTTTACCTCCTCTGTCCATCCTTCACCTCCTCCATCCATCCTTTACCTCCTCCATCCATCCTTCACCTCCTCCATCCATCCTTCACCTCCTGACTCCATCCTTCACCTCCTCCATCCATCCTTTACCTCCTCACTCCATCCTTCACCTCCCCATCCATCCTTCACCTCCTCCATCCATCCTTAACCTCCTCACTCCTCCATCCATCCTTCGCCTCTCTCCATCCTTCACCTCCTCACTCCATCCTTCACCTCCTCCATCCATCCTTCACCTCCTCACTCCTCCATCCATCCTTCACCTCCTCTATCCATCCTTCACCTCCTCACTCCATCCTTCACCTCCTATCTCCTCGTTCCATCCTTCACCCTCTCTCTTGTTGCCGTGGTTACTCACCCGCTCCTCCCACCTGTGCAGGTGGACTGTGTGGGCGTGTGCGCGGACTCCTCCGCCGCCTCGGAGGCGAAGTTGTCGTCGTGGTTTCAGCGCGCTCAGACTCTGCAGCCGTGCGTCCTGCTGCTCAGGAACCTGCAGCTCCTCCTCCGGCCTCGAGGAGGCGGCGAAGAGGACGGCAGGCTGCAGGTGGCGCTCTGCCAGCTGCTGCACAGCGCCCCCTCCAGGTCGCTGATGCACACATGCAGTATGAGAGAAGGTTTCTGCACATGCTCAGTGAGCTGAGTAATATAACACCATGCTGTTCCGTGTCTTTCAGCGTGGTCGTCGTAGCGACAGTCTGCAGACCGAGGGACCTGTCCTCAGGTGTCATGGCGGCGTTTGTCCACCAGGTGATGTTAGAAGGTCCCACTGAGGAGCAAAGACACGCCATGCTGGTCCGCCTGAGCCAGAACCTGCAACTGGGCCGGGACGCCAACCTGGAGAGACTCGCCAAACTCACCGCGGTACGTCAGCGTGTCGGGATCTGGACCGGACCAGTACAGACCACTACAAACCAGTACAGACCACTACAGACCACTACAGACCAGAACCAGCCATCACAAACCAGAACAGACCACTACAGACCAGAACAGACCAGCACAGACCGCTACAGACCAGAACAGACCAGCACAGACCACTACAGACCAGCACAGACCACTACAGACCAGTACAGACCACTACAGATCAGTACAGACCAGTACAGACCACTACAGATCAGTACAGACCACTACAGACCACTACAGATCAGTACAGACCACTACAGATCAGTACAGACCACTACAGACCAGTACAGTCCACTACAGATCAGTACAGACCAGCACAGACCACTACAGATCAGTACAGACCACTACAGACCAGTACAGACCACTACAGATCAGTACAGACCAGCACAGACCACTACAGATCAGTACAGACCAGCACAGACCACTACAGATCAGTACAGACCACTACAGACCAGAACAGACCAGCACAGACCAGTACAGACCACTACAGACCAGTACAGACCAGTACAGACCAGTACAGACCAGAACAGACCAGCACAGACCAGTACAGACCACTACAGATCAGCACAGACCACTACAGATCAGTACAGACCAGCACAGACCACTACGGACCAGCACAGACCAGTACTTACCACTACAGACCACTACAGACCAGTACAGACCACTACAGATCAGCACAGACCAGTACAGACCAGTACAGACCAGAACAGACCAGCACAGACCAGTACAGACCACTACAGATCAGAACAGACCAGCACAGACCAGCACAGACCACTACAGACCAGAACAGACAGTCCCGGTCCCACCTCACAATAAAAAGATGATGTAATAACTGGATCACAAAGTCCGGTTCTTGGTTCCGGCTCATGGTCATGTGGTCGTCAGGTCGGCGCCGACGTTAACGGGTCTCGGGTTTTCACTCCTCAGGGTTTCCTGTTGGGGGATCTCAGCGCTCTGATGGTCGAAGCGGGACGATCCGCCCGCCGGAGACTGATCCAGACCTGGTGAGACCGGAGTCCAGAACTTCTCTGATTCAAGATCCAATCTGATCCGGTTCAAACCGGTTTACTCTGGACTCAAAGTGTGTGTGTGTGTGTGTGTGTGTGTGTGTGTGTAGTGTGGGACGGCAGGAGGCGGACCTGTGCTCCATCGGGGTGACCCTCATGAACCAGGACTTTAGCTCCGCCCTCCAAACGCTGCAGGACGCCCAATCCACCGCCATCGGAGCTCCCAAGGTCAGCAGACCCGGGTCCAGGACTCTGTGGTCCACTGAAGGGGGGGGCGGGTTGTTGAGTTATTGTGCCCTCTAGTGGTGAAAGAGAAGACGGCTTTAGGTTGAAATACTCCAGTATCAACCCCACAGTTCGGCCGTTTCCGAACTCTCCTCCTCGCAGTTCGTCTCCAGTCGGCAGTCTGCGAACAAACGTGAAATTTACAGTTCGACAAAAATACCCGAATGACGAATTCAGGAAAATTTCACAGTCTGTATCGGACCGGTCTGCGTACTTATCAGAGGGAAATAAGACCACGCCACGCCGGCGCCATCAGTGAAGACGTTTAGAAGTCGTTTTCTTGTTCTCCTCAAAGTTTGTGTTTCTCAGATCAGGTCTTTGAAGGTCTTTGTCGGACCCTTTATGGTGGTTTTGGCTTCATAGTCCTGCCCTGCTGGTTTAAGTGAGACCTGTTAGATACGGGTTCTGTAGAATCCGGACTTTATGGAGACAGGTGGACAGGAGCAGCTGGAGCAGGTCTGAACCTCACCTGTCTCTGTTTGATCAGATCCCTGACGTACGCTGGGAGGACGTTGGAGGTCTGCAGAGGGTGAAGAAGGAGATCCTGGACACGGTGCAGCTCCCTCTGCAGCGTCCGGAGCTCCGGGCTCTGGGTCTGAACCGGACCGGAGTCCTGCTGTACGGGCCTCCAGGGACCGGAAAGACTCTGCTGGCCAAAGCTGTGGCTACAGAGTGCTCCATGACCTTCCTCAGGTAAGAACACCTTCAGCTTCATCCAGACCGTCAGAGGGTCCAGGAAACAGGTCTAGACCGTGGAGGTAAAACCAAACCCGGTCAGAACCCGCAGAAGAAGACTGATCCAGAACTGTGTTTGTGTTCCCAGCGTCAAAGGTCCAGAGCTGATCAACATGTACGTGGGTCAGAGTGAGGAGAACATCCGAGAAGGTCTGTGTCCTCCTCCTCTTCATCCTGATATTACACAACCTGAAACAGTCTCTTGACTTTGGGGGCGGAGTCTGGGGCAGCCAATCAGATCTAGAGTACAGTAATTCTGCGGTCACCCATTGGACCCCCTGACTCGGGTTGGGCATCGGGTCTCGATGGGAACCGGGACTTACATCCCGATTCTCCTGGAACCGTTCAAATTTTAGAATTCCGATTCCAAGTTTCAGCGCCGGAGTCCGCCGACCAGAAGAAGAACCCGCCGAACACCAACGAAGAAGAAGCAGAACACCAACGAGGAAGAAGCGTATGAGACGAAGCCACAGAGAGAAAGAGTGCATTCCAACCCACAGCGGCGGCGGCTTCTTCTTCTTCGTTGGTGAAAAGTTAAACTCTTCTCTCAGAGCAACATTAGAAACTCAGTTCTATCCTGTAAAAACGACTGACAAGATTAAACACTCAGGATTCATGGAGGAGAAACACCCGAGTGTCCGTCTTTGACGTTCTTCGCCGCTCCTCCGCCAACCAATCAGAACCAGATAAAGTGAAACGATAAATGATCTTCTGTCCTCCGCTGACTTTGGAGCGGAGCGTCGACTTAAACATCCGACTGACGTGAGTCTGTGAGCTTCTTCACCGACTAACGACCTGAAAACAAAAACAGAGAAATTCAGAGTAACGTTTTTAAAAAGTTAAAATAATTAAAAATTCCTGGAGAAGTTCAGAAACTTTGATCAAAGAAGAAGAACTCGGGTTAACGGCCTCATCTGAACCGTGTTTGTTTTTATATCCTGACTTTTAAAGAATCGATCAGAACCAGAATCAAAACTCGGAATCAGGATCGTTCAAAATCAAACAATGCCCAACCCGACCTTGACCTCTGATGAGAGGGTCCAACAGGACCATGAGGACCTGAAAACGGACCCTAAAGATCTGTAAAAACCCGCGGACGGTTTCAGCAGCGGTAAAGTCAAAGGTCATTTTGACAGCGCCGTGTTTCGGCGAGTTTTAGTAACACAGAGCGCTGCCGGTTCTTCCTCTGAGGCCTTCGTTTCAGTCGGTCCGTTTCATAAAGTTCAGACTGGTCCACACAGAACCAGGCTCCTCCCCTTTTTGTTCTAGTCTTTAAGCTCAGACCTCAGTGAAGGTCATGGAGATCTTCAGGGGGGTCAGGGAGGTCCTCCAGGTTTAGGATAAACCCTGACCCGGTCTGTCTGATGTTTGTGTTCAGTGTTCGACAGAGCGCGCTCAGCCGCTCCCTGCGTGGTCTTCTTCGATGAGCTGGACTCTCTGGCCCCCAGCAGGGGGCGCAGTGGAGACTCAGGAGGGGTGATGGACAGGTGAGGTTTGTCTCCCGTTCCTCCGGTTCCTCGTCTTTGTTAGATCTCCTCGACAAACGATTAAAACAACTTTAAACTCTTTAAATCAAATAAAAATACTAAAGAAAAAAACAACTGTGTGTGTGTGTGTGTGTGTGTGTGTGTGTGTGTGTGTGTGTGTGTGTGTGTGTGTGTGTGTGTGTGTGTGTGTGTCTGTGTGTGTGTGTGTGTGTGTGTGTGTGTGTGTGTGTCTGTGTGTGTGTGTGTGTGTCTGTGTGTGTGTGTGTGTGTGTGTGTGTGTGTGTGTGTGTGTGTGTGTGTGTGTGTGTGTGTGTGTGTGTGTGTGTGTGTGTCTGTGTGTGCGTGTGTGTGTGTCTGTGTGTGTGTGTGCGTCTGTGTGTGTGTGTGTGTGTGTGTGTGTGTGTGTGTCTGTGTGTGTGTGTGTGTGTCTGTGTGTGTGTGTGTGTGTGTGTGTCTGTGTGTGTGTGTGTGTCTGTGTGTGTGTGTGTGTGTGTGTGTGTGTGTGTGCGTCTGTGTGTGTGTGTGTGTGTGTGTGTGTGTGTGTGTGTCTGTGTGTGCGTGTGTGTGTGTCTGTGTGTGTGTGTGTATGGTGTCTGTGTGTGTGTGTGTGTGTCTGTGTGTGTGTGTGTGTGTGTGTGTGTGTGTGTGTGTGTGTGTGTGTGTGTGTGTGGTGTGTGTGTGTGTGTGTGTGTGTGTGTGTGTGTGTGTGTGTGTGTGTGTGTGTGTGTGTGTGTGTGTGTGTGTGTGTGTGTGTGTGTGTGTATGTGTGTGTGTGTGTCTGTGTGTGTGTGTGTATGTGTGTCTGTGTGTGTGTGTGTGTCTGTCTGTGTGTGTGTGTCTGTGTGTGTGTGTGTGTGTGTGTGTGTGTGTGCGTGTGTGTGTGTCTGTGTGTGTGTGTGTGTCTGTGTGTGTGTGTGTGTGTGTGTGTGTGTGTCTGTGTGTGTGTGTGTGTGTCTGTGTGTGTGTGTGTGTGTGTGTGTGTGTGTGTGTGTGTGTGTGTGTGTGTGTGTGAGTGTCTGTGTGTGTGTGTGTGAGTGTCTGTGTGAGTGTCTGTGTGTGTGTCTGTGTGTGTGTGTGTGTGTGTGTGTGTGTCTGTGTGTGTGTCTGTGTGTGTGTGTGTGTGTGTGTGTGTCTGTGTGTGTGTGTGTTCAGGGTGGTGTCTCAGCTGCTGGCTGAACTCGACTCTCTTCCCTCTTCTGTCGGAGTTTTCGTCATCGGAGCCACGAACAGACCGGACCTGCTCGACCAATCACTGCTGAGGCCTGGGAGGTCAGAGGTCTCTCTCTCTCTCTCACACACACACTCTCACACACACACACACACACACACACTCAGCGGTCTAACTCCTTGTGTGTCCTCAGGTTCGATAAGCTGGTGTATGTCGGCATAAATGAGGACAGAGAGTCTCAGCTGCAGGTTCTTCAGGCCGTCCTCAGAAAGTAAGAGCAGCGCCCCCTGCTGGACTGTAGCTCACTCTTTCTATTTCTGCTCAGTTCAAAACTTTCACTCTCACCTGACTCTGACCAATCACCTTCGATTTAAAGATCCAGACTTGATCCATAAATGAGACGCCAGCGCGGGCGTCCTCAGAAAGTAAGAGCAGCGCACCCCTGCTGGAGAAAGCTCACTCTTTCTATTTCTGCTCAGTGTCAAAACTTTCACTCTCACCTGACTCTGACCAATCACCTTCGAAAAGATCCAGACTTGATCCAAGCCAACTCAAAAAGTTCGTCGTTCTTATTCTGTCGTTTTTTACTCATTAAAGGAGGTTTTCAGCTCTTAAAATTAAGTAAAAAAAACCTTATTAACGCTCTTCAAAAACACAATAAAACAGCTTGAAACATTTAAAAACAGTAAAAAAAAAAAACAGTTTAAACTGTTTAAAAGATTTACTGAATTTAATCACAAACACACCTGCTGAGAGTTTTCGACACTCATAATCACGCTCCTTTTTTTATGTGAAGATCGATTTTATCCTGTTACTTTACAAGCCAAAAAAACCCTTACTGGAGCTTTAATTTAGTTTCCTGCGATCACCTTCAGTTCGATGAAACCCGACACAGACGCCTCTAAATCATATATGACATAAAACCCGTGTGTGAAGTGTAACCCGCTTTGCCTTCAGGTTCCAGTTGGACTCATCGGTGAAGCTGCAGGAAGTGGTGAATGGATGCCCCGCCCACATGAGTGGAGCCGACCTGTACGCTCTGTGTTCAGACGCCATGACCGCAGCCATAAAGAGGAAGATCTCGCTCATCAACAGCGGTAAGAAAAGTGTCCCACAGAGGCGGCTGGACGGTTTCAGGGTCTGAACTTAGTGTTTGAAAAAGTCCGTCAGTTTAAGGTCACTTTGATTTCAGAACCAGAACCAGAACCAGAACACTTTACACTTGAAAATATCAACGTTAGTAGAAGGAGAATAAAAATAGAATAAAAGGAGAATAAAAATGTCAGAAATGAACCGTTTTATTCCACTTCTATAGAGATCTCACAACTTTATTTAGCTTCTTTAGACACCCTTCCAACTCCTGTAGGGGGCAGCACATCAACACGCCTCAGGTTGGCAGTATGAAGTATTGATTATTGTTTTTGGTTGTTTTCATAGTTATGTATAACAGAATAAAGTATGATCAAATATTTAAGTAGAGTATGTTAAAAATGTCAGTATAATATGATTAAAATATCGTAGTATAGTAGTGTAGAAGTATTGTAAATTATGATACAAATGTCCCAGTATAGTGTGACAAAAATACCTTCAATTATAAAAAAGATGTCATAGTTTAGTTTGGTAAAAAAAAAACAGAGTTAGGTTTTATAAAATATAAGAGTTTGTTATAAACATTAAAGAATATGACATGATATGATAGAAGAATCATATATTATGGGAACAATGTCACAGTAAAGTTTAGTAGGAATCACAGTAAATGTATGATAAAAAAGTCACATTATATTACACTTAAAATGTTACAGAATAGAATTATAAAAATAAAGTTTCATCAAATTATTTTAGTATTGTTTGATTAAATTTTAATAGACGAGGTAGGATGATAAAAAAAACATAATAATACAGTACGGAAAAAGTCTCATGTTATAGTATAAAATAATTAACTGTATAGTGGTATGATATAAAATTAAGTATAGTTTAATCAGCATGTCATAGTATAGTATGATAAAAATACTGTTTAAATGTACATTACTCCGTTTATCGTAGTAGCCTATAAAAAACAGAGTTATTATTTACAGTTTAACAGAGTATTATACAGTTAATCAGAGTATTGTCCAGAGTTTTTATTCATATTCAAACAGAGTATTGTACAGTTAAACAGAGTAATATTTGTTTAAACAGAGTATTGTACAGTTAAACAGAGTAATATTCGTTTAAACAGAGTATTGTGAATTTAAACACGGCGTCGCTGGATTTAGGGGGATGTTTCGCTCGTGAACGTGCTCCTAGGTTTTACCAGCAGGTTATGGAGCAGGTGGAGGATGCTGTCCAAGGTTACATGAAGCTTTGACAACATCCTTTTGGACAGGGTTTAGTTTTTCCACAGCTGTGGTGGATCCTTGTCAGTCTCAGTCATTCAGTAACCCTCTCTTTGTCTCTGGGTCTCAGGTCTGGACTCAGAGGACTCTCCAGTCCTCCTCTCCTCTGAAGATTTCTCTGCAGCGTTGGAAAACTTCCAGCCGTCTGTTTCAGAGCAGGAGCTGCTGCGATACAGAAACATGCAAGAGAAACTCACTGTGAAGTAGTAACGGACAAATTCACAGTAAGACTGATTCAAGAGATTTAAAATCTCACCTGTGAATAAAGACACGTGTGAATACTGAAGGTTTGTTTTTGTTATGAATAAAGGTGGAAATAAAAACCACATTTCTCGTCTGGGTTTTTGTTCTTTGGTCTCTGCTGAGGCGGCGTCAGAATTAAAGGAGTCTCACAGGTGAGGAGGTTATTCATGACACAAACTCTGATGATCCCCGTACCATCAGGGACGCTGGACTTGGACTGGGAGCTGATAGTAAGAGAGGAGGAAGTATATCGTAAAGTACAATGAATAATACAATGAGTACATTAAACAATTTATGAATGAGTACAATGAATAGAATATAATAAAAAAATCACAGTATTGTATGATAAAAATGTCCTAGTATAGTAAGTTAAAATCCCATATTTTACTATGAAATAGATTTCATGGTGTACTATGTTCGATACATCATAGAACTGGATATGAAAAAATAGTATAGTATGATAAAAATGTCATAGTATAGTATGATAAAAATGTCATAGTATAGTATGATAATAAATGTCATAGTATAGTATGATAATAAATGTCAGTATAGTATGATAATAAATGTCATAGTAAAATATAATAAATGTCATAGTATAGTATGATAATAAATGTCATAGTAAAATATAATAAATGTCATAGTATAGAATGATAAAAATGTCATAGTATAGTATGATAAATGTCATAGTATAGTATGATAAAAATGTCATAGTATAGTATGATAATAAATGTCATAGTATAGTATGATAATAAATGTCATAGTATAGTATGATAAAACTGTCATAGTATAGTATGATAATAAATGTCATAGTATGATAATAAATGTCATAGTAAAATATAATAAATGTCATAGTATAGTATGATAAAACTGTCATAGTATAGTATGATAATAAATGTCATAGTATAGTATGATAAAAATGTCATAGTATAGTATGATAATAAATGTCAGTAAAATATAATAAATGTCATAGTATAGTATGATAATAAATGTCATAGTATAGTATGATGAAAAACTGTCATAGTATAGTATGATAAAACTGTCATAGTATAGTATGATAATAAATGTCATAGTATAGTATGATAAAAATGTCATAGTATAGTATGATAATAAATGTCATAGTATAGTATGATAATAAATGTCATAGTATAGTATGATGAAAAACTGTCATAGTATAGTATTATAAATGTCATAGTATAGTATGATAATAAATGTCATATTATAGTATGATAAAAATGTCATAGTATAGTATGATAATAAATGTCATAGTATAGTATGATAAAAATGTCCTAGTATAGTATGATAATAAATGTCATAGTATAGTATGATAAAAATGTCATAGTATAGTATGATAATAAATGTCACTGTATAGTATGATTAAAATGTCATAGTATAGTATGATAATATATGCCACATTATAGTATGATAAAAATGTCTATAATGATTATAATGTCATAGTATGAAAATAAATGTCACTGTATAGTAGGATCGAAATGTCAAATAAAACATATGATAAAAATGTCAGAGTATGATTAAAATGTCAAAGTATAGTATGATTACAAAATGTCACAGAATGGTATAGTATGTTAAATATGGCATAGATAAAAATGTCAAAGTATAGTATGATAATAAATGTCATAGTATAGTATGAGAAAAATGTCATAGTATAGTATGATAATAAATGTCATAGTATAGTATGATAAAAATGTCATAGTATAGTATAATAAAAATGTCATAGTATAGTATGATAATAAATGTCATAGTATAGTATGATAAAAATGTCATAGTATAGTATGATAAAAATGTCATAGTATAGTATGATAAACCTGTTATAGTATAATATGATAATAAAAGACAGAATAGTATGATAATAAATGTCATTGTAAAATATAATAAATGTCATAGTGTAGTATGATAATAAGTGTCATAGTATAGTATGATAAAAATGTCATAATATAGTATGATAATAAGTGTCATAGTATAGTATGATAAAAATGTCATAGTATAGTATGATAATAAATTTCATAGTATAGTATGATAAAAATGTCATAATATAGTATGATAATAAGTGTCATAGTATAGTATGATAAAAATGTCATAGTATAGTATGATAAGAAATGTCATAGTATAGTATGATAAAAATGTCATAGTATAGTATGATAATAAATTTCATAGTATAGTATGATAAAAATGTCATAATATAGTATGATAGTAAATGTCATAGTATAGTATGATAAAAATGTCATAGTATAGTATGTTAAAAATGTCATAGTATAGTATGATAAGAAATGTCATAGTATAGTATGATAATAAATGTCATAGTATAGTATGATAATAAATGTCATAGTATAGTATGATAAAACTGTCATAGTATAGTATGATAATAAATTTCATAGTATAGTATGATAAAAATGTCATAATATAGTATGATAATAAGTGTCATAGTATAGTATGATAAAAATGTCATAGTATAGTATGATAAGAAATGTCATAGTATAGTATGATAAGAAATGTCATAGTATAGTATGATAAAAATGTCATAGTATAGTATGATAGTAAATGTCATAGTATAGTATGATAAAAATGTCATAGTATAGTATGTTAAAAATGTCATAGTATAGTATGTTAAAAATGTCATAGTATAGTATGATAAGAAATGTCATAGTATAGTATGATAATAAATGTCATAGTATAGTATGATAAAACTGTCATAGTATAGTATGATAATAAATTTCATAGTATAGTATGATAAAAATGTCATAATATAGTATGATAATAAGTGTCATAGTATAGTATGATAAAAATGTCATAGTATAGTATGATAAGAAATGTCATAGTATAGTATGATAAGAAATGTCATAGTATAGTATGATAAAAATGTCATAGTATAGTATGATAGTAAATGTCATAGTATAGTATGATAAAAATGTCATAGTATAGTATGTTAAAAATGTCATAGTATAGTATGTTAAAAATGTCATAGTATAGTATGATAAGAAATGTCATAGTATAGTATGATAATAAATGTCATAGTATAGTATGATAATAAATGTCATAGTATAGTATGATAAAACTGTCATAGTATAGTATGATAATAAATTTCATAGTATAGTATGATAAAAATGTCATAATATAGTATGATAATAAGTGTCATAGTATAGTATGATAAGAAATGTCATAGTATAGTATGATAATAAATGTCATAGTATAGTATGATAATAAATGTCAAAGTATAGTATGATATAAATGTCATAGTATAGTATGATATAAATGTCATAGTATAGTATGATAAAACTGTCATAGTATAGTATGATGATAAATGTCATAGTATAGTAGGATAATAAATGTCATAGTATGATAAAACTGTCATAGTATAGTATGAAAGTAAATGTCATAGTATAGTATGATAAAAATGTCATAGTATAGTATGTTAAAAATGTCATAGTATAGTATGTTAAAAATGTCATAGTATAGTATGATAAGAAATGTCATAGTATAGTATGATAATAAATGTCATAGTATAGTATGATAATAAATGTCATAGTATAGTATGATAAAACTGTCATAGTATAGTATGATAATAAATTTCATAGTATAGTATGATAAAAATGTCATAATATAGTATGATAATAAGTGTCATAGTATAGTATGATAAGAAATGTCATAGTATAGTATGATAATAAATGTCATAGTATAGTATGATAATAAATGTCAAAGTATAGTATGATATAAATGTCATAGTATAGTATGATATAAATGTCATAGTATAGTATGATAAAACTGTCATAGTATAGTATGATAATAAGTGTCATAGTATAGTATGATTAAAAAAAAGAATATATGACTCCTACAAAGAAAGTCTGATATTTGGTGAAGACAAGAGGACTGTTTTGATGCTCTGAGGATCAGGACCATGCAGTCCTGTCTTTGGTCTTTTGCCTCTTTAGTACTGAGATCTGATTTTCTGGAGACGATGAAATCCACTCTGGAACTTTATTCTGAAACTGTTGAACTGTTCTCACCCAGTCTCTCACAGAGTCCTGAACCTCTGAGAGACTCCGCCTCTCTGAAGGTCCGTCTTAGACCCGGTCTTGTTACTAACTTGTTGGACATTCACCTCATTGTTTTTCTGGTTTTATTTGCTCGTGTCTGAACCGTTTTGATTTTGGGTTTGACTGTCTTTGTATGTTGATAAAAAAATAATAAACTCTGAATGTACTAAAAAAATGTATAATTTTCTGATTCATTTAAATTCTCCACATGATCCTAAAAATAAAGAACTAATATTTTGGAACCAACTAAAGTTAAATTTCTATGAAAGGGTTGTTTTTTGGGACGTTTTAATGAACCTGTAAATCTGTTGTGTTATAGTTGGCAGTGAAAATGGAGAAAAAACACTCAAAGAAAGAAAACAGGTGCAAATTAAGGTGAAGCAGCCAAGAGGACTTTTTAGTGAAGGTACTCCAGGCCAGTGGGGGGCGCTGAATGAGCACTTTATTACCGACAAGAATTAAATGAGCTGAAACTCTTCTGCTGCTGGTTCAGCTTTTTGCTGCATATTTGTTGTGTTTGTTTTTTTTTTAATGAAAACTGTTTGGGCCGCTGCAGATCGTTAGAAAAGTCCTTTCCCAACAGTTAACCTGGAAAAAGGCGGTCACCTTGTTGTCAGGTCAGAACGGTAATTTAACCCCACAGAGAAGATCTTTGGTCGGCTGCTCTGCTGAGAATATCAGTCGTTGAAAACCTGAAAAACTATCCGGTAAATAATCGCAGCACATCGCTGGCAGAGCGAGTAACTAAAACAACGATCTGGAATCAGAACCAGCGGCCACGATGGTTCAAGAGGTTACTCTGAGTGACCATCAAACTCCTGCAGACGCTCTTTTAAACCAGAAACCTGAGTTTTACAAACACAAAGATCCAGTTGGCAAATATTCCTCATGAACGCATGAGTCCTGAGGCGATGGCGAGGATTATTCGCCACGTCTTTCATGTCAAAAGCCGACCGCTTGCTTCTCTAATTATACCAACTTTAGTAACGACCGCACGATAGCAATACACAGCGGTCTGAGGAGCCATAAACAAACCTCAACCAAAACGCCACTCTATAAGAATGTCATGGTTTAGTATGAGAAAAATATCAGTGTATAGTGTTTAAAAAAGGTCATAGTGATTAGTTATGACATAGTTAAGTGTTAAAAAATGACATAGTATAGTATGTTGAAAAATGTCACAGTATAGTATGATAGAAATAAAATACTTTTGTATAATAACAAAAATCTCAAAATATAGCATATAATAATTACTATAGTACCGTATAATAAAAATGTCATGGTATATTATGATTAAAATGTCCTAGTGAAGTTTTTTTTTAATATGGAAAAGTTTGTAAAAAATATAATTGAGTTAAAGTGTGTTAAAATGTCATTCTATAACATGATTAAAAACAAAGTCAGAGTATAATACGATAAAATTTGTCAGTGTATAGTATGGTAAAAAATGTCATAGTAGAGTATTTTCAAAAAAGTATAGTATGATAAAAATGTCATAGTTTAGAGTGATAAAAAATGTCATAGTTGAGTATGTTAGAAAAAAATGTCATCGTATAGTATGTTGGAAAATGTCATAGCCAATTTTGATAACAAAATGTCACAGTATAGTATAATAAAAAAAAATCATAGTTTAGCACATTAAAAAATGTCAGTCAAGTATGATAAGAATGTCAAAGTATCGTACGGTAAAAAATGTTATATTATAGTACGATGATCATTTCTTCATGGAAATACAATCAGACCGAGAAACTAAGACAGAAGAACTACCGCGTCTGTAAAATGATCAATATGATGATTATTACTTCAAGGAAATGATAAAGAAATGATCATAAATGTTCTTCCTTGAGCTGCGGCACCCCGCTGTAGTCTGTAATGGACTGGCCTGAGGTCTCTCTACAAACAAGCGTCTGCTGGAAGAGAGTAGGTGAGTTGTGTTTAGTCTCTTTGTTAAAGAAATGAGTCAAAGTTAAAAAGATGTTTGGTGTCTAGTACTATGTCTGTGACCCTATATGTCCTGTTGATGAAGTTAGGTGCTGTTCTGAGCATTATTTGTGGCTATAGAGTGGCGTTTTGGTTGGGGGCGTGTCTCTCTGTATTACTATCCTGCGGTCGTTACTAAAGTTGGTATAACTAGAGAAGGAAGCGGTCGGCAACATTCATCTCTGGAGGGGGGGTCTAACTCTGGGTTACGGTGGGTTTGACCCTAAATTTGACCCTTATTTTACGCTGGAATATCTCTTTAAGGTTCTGAATCTTGACATGTTTCTGAGAATGTTGTTTAACAGTCACATTTGCACACATGGAGTTTTAAATAGGAACAAGCGTCTTCAGTCTGACCTGGACGGTAAAGTCCATCTGATGTGGTTGACTTGTCAGTGAACGGATCTGAAATACAATCAGTTAGTCTGAAAAATCAGCTGCTTTCAGGGAATTTATTGTAAGACAAAAACATACAACAGTGTAGAGCTAGCAGAGAGCGTAATGCTAGTCACAGCTAGCAAAATGTCAACAACCAGCATTCGTCCACCAAAATCATGTCTGTCTGTCTGTGTGTCTGTCTGTCGTCTAACCTCAGAACTACCAGAGAGGACTCTGGAACAGGTCTGGGTTTGGGAGTCAACAGAAGGAAGGAAGGAACAAACTGTGTCTGACCGTCTCTACTGACAGGAGGATGTGAGGCATGTGTGGCGGTGTCTCGTCTGAGACCGGAACACATGAACCCGTGAAACCTGAAGGAGTCTGAACTAGGAACACAAGGACAGCTGGTTTTGTTCCACAAACACTTTTTCTTTGGGATAGAAGTGATGAACAAGCTACAGTCATTACAGTCTCATTCCTATTTTCAGAAAGAGGGTGGCAGTCCAGCTCTTGTGGTAATCCGGATTAGTCTGGAGGTCTGGATCTCTGTGGTTCGTCCTCTGGTGTCACTGGGTTTCGTGGTTCCTGGTTTTTAGTTCGTTTCTGGGACAAATATCCGACACACGGGTCTTTCTTGTTCTCGTCTTCTTCCATTTCTAACGAGCAGATCCGTACGGATAAGACGTCAGGTGAAGTGGGGCATCCGGCTGCAGGTTCTAGAAGAGAGAAATCTTTAGGGTTTCCATGGACCACATCAACGTTCATCTACGTTCACTAAGATCTCCTCAGATTATGGAGAGACTCTCTGACTGACAGGGTTTAAGGAGAGTTATGATCAGGACACAAACACCCCCCAAAGCCCAAAGTTGGAACAGCTGACTCAGTCAAACCAGAGCGGAGGGATCCTCACAGAGATCCTCACAGAGTCACACATCACTCATGACCTCCAATTTCCACCGCAACCCGACGAACAAGTGAAAGGTTTTTAGACGTCATTTCACCCCGATGACACCATGGATGAGGAGATGCTGATTCTAGAAGTCTAGAAGTAGATTTCCTCCTCTGGAAGGACACAATCTACTGCTTATATGTCTATGTGTCTGTCTTTAGAGCGACAACTCGTTATCGCGGGACTGAACGTGAATCTGCAGGTTTTTTATGATTCCTGCTGTCTGTAATCCGCCACGAAATTCGCCTCATAAACGGATCTGGTAGGAACTGGTGGACAGCGAAAATCGCTGCTGTTCCGAATGCGGTGGAAATCCAGGGTAAGTGTTTTAACACAGTGGACATCCATAAGCTCCGCCCCCTTTTCCAGAGAGGACCTGCACACAAGCTGGGCTTCAGTTTTCTGCCACTTAATTGAGCTGATTTAGAGACTCTGACTCGTCGGTCATCTTGGTTACAAAACACAATTGAAGTTGGAAATTCTGATAAATGTAAATAAAAACAGAAAACACTCTTCAACCTATATTCAATTAAATTCACTACAAAGACAAGATATTTAATGTTCAAACTCATAATCTTTTTTTTTTTTGTAAATACTAATGAACTCAGAGTTTCATGGCAGTAACTCGCTCCACAGTAGTTGGACAGGTTCATGTTTACCTCTGTGTTCATCACCTTTTAACAAACTCAGTAAACGTTTGTGAACTGAGGAGACGAACTGTTGGAGCTGAAGGTGGAATTCTGTCCCGTTCTTGATGTTCAGCTTCAGTTATTCAACAGTCCGGGGTCTCCGTTCATAATGCTTCATCAGACCACAGAACACTTTTCCACTTTACATCAGTCCATCTCAGACGAGCTCGGGTCCAGAGAAGACGGCAGCCGCATTTCTGGATGTTGTTGATAAATGTCTTTAGAGTTTTAACTTACAGACTTGGAGACGAACTGTATTTACTGACAGTGGTTTTCTGACGTGTTCCTGAGTTCATGTGCTGATATCCTTTAAACACACTGATGTCGGTTTTTGATACAGCGCCGCCTAAAGGGTCGAAGGTCACAGGCGTTCAGTGTTGGTTTCCGGCCGTGCCGCTTATGTTCAGTGATTTCTCCAGATTCTCTGAACCTTCTGATGATATTTTGGACTGTAGATGTTGAAATCCATAAATTCTTTACAGTTGTACTTTTGAAAAACTTTGTTCTTAAACTGTTCGACTGTTTGCTCACGCAGTTGTTGACATAGTGGTGAACCTCGCCCCATCTTTGCTCGTGAATAACTGAGAGTTTTTGGTGAAGCTGCTTTTATACCCACTCATGACACCCACCTGTTCCCTATTAACCTGCTCACCTGTGGGACGGTCCAAACAGGTGTTTGATGAGCGTTCCTCAAATTTATCAGGATTTTTTCCACCTTTCCAACGTCTTTGTCAATTCTAAAGTTAATTCTTATTAGAAAAAAATAAATAAAGTTTATGAGTTTGAACATTAAATATCTTTGAAGTGAATTCAACTGAATCAAGGTTGAAAAGGATTTCTGTTTTTATTTACATTTATCACCATTTCCAACTTCAGTGGAGTTGTGTTTTGTACACGCTCCACACAAACACACCTGTTTTTTGTGCTCCTCAGCTACACTCAAAGCGAGATGACCTGCTGAGTCAGAGTCGCTCATAAATCTGCGGCAGACCTGATCCTGTCTGCAGAAAACTGAAGCCTCGCTTGAGTTTCAGTTTTCCAGCAGTTCTGACTAAAGAGGCCGAGCTGACCGGCTTCCATTGTGGTTAATACACCAACAAAAGGCAAAACACTGAAATATCCCTTTAAGAAAACGGTAACAACACACCCAGCTGTCAGTCAAATCAGCTACGCCTGAATTATCAGGTCTAAAGATCCAGATCCATGACCCCTCTGACCCCAACAGCTGAGTTCTGCAGAGATAAAGACCTTCAGAGACCCGGACTGTTTGGGTTCTGGACCGTCAACACCTTTATTTATAACATGGAGCCGTGAAGACTGACGCCCTCTAGTGGTCATTGTAACTGTAAAGAGCCGTTCAAACTCATCGACATACAGGATACCAGGACATCAGCTGCCTGGAGTAGCTCTCAGTTTGATGTTTGAGGAGCGTGGTCAGCGGCGGCCCCTCCCCAGAAAAACTCAAACTGGTCGATTTTCTTAAACTTTAGAAAAACTGCAGGCGCTGCAGTTTGAGCCGCGCTCTTTGGTCTTACTCTCTGTCAGGGTTTTCGACCAATCAGAATCAAGTATCTAGGACCGCACTGAAACTGAAGTAGACCCAACGTAAATACTGGACATCCTCAGAGTGAAGCGGCGTTGGGTCGGAACAGAAGGGTCCAGAAGTTCTGTTTATCTGCCTCCATGCAACATAAGCCATATTTACCGCTTACGTGGCCTTTGCTACTTTTGTGCGCTTCATCCTTTTCCTCCTCATGAGGGTCACCTGAGGCCTCTTCAACCCTGCGATCAGCAGCAGCAATCTGGGCCGCGACTTGGTGAGCCAGCTTCTCAGTAGCGTCCCCTTGGGAAACCTGCAGGAACAGCATCAACAGAGAGGTCAGGACGGACTGAAGGTCCAAAACTGTCTTCAGGTTTTCAGTCTGAGTCTCTGAGACCACAAAGGTCACATGGAGCTGAACTCAGTCCAGCATGAACATTAAAAACGTGTTTCCAAAACCTGCGACCGCGTCTTCGGTTTGGTTCTTTGAATATAAAGTTATAATCAGAATTATTTCCAAATCAGACAAAAGCAGCAAATCTTCATAATTTCATTTTAAAGGAAATAATTAAAATTCAGGTAAATCAGTCACGTGACCGGAGCTCAGAGAACAAAGTTAGACCGTTTGGAGCCTCGACCAGCTCCTGACTCAAGCTGCAAACATCTTTAAAACATGAACTCTGATGTGTTGTACACCACCATCCAGCAGGTGGCAGCAGAGGAGCATGTCCCTGGAGCAGTACGCCATCGCCCAATAAAGAGTTCTTAAAAACACTGAGATCTGTGCAGGAGAAGCTGAGAGTCAAAGAGCTCGAACCTGATCAATTCATCAATCAGTCAATCAAATTTGATCAGACATGAGAAAACGACCCGGAGACTAAATCACAGCTGGACTCGACCCCGCCCCCAGGGTCGGGTCAGAGGATCTGAGAGGAGGACTTCATCATGTGTGTGTGTGTGTGTGTGTGTGTGTGTGTGTGTGTGTGTGTGTGTGTGTGTGTGTGTGTGTCTGAATGTGGACAGTAGATCCAGTAAACTCTGCAGAAACTCTCACGCCCGGATCCTGAGGTTAAAGGTCGTAAACCTCCGTCACTGTCCGCAGATCTCGGGGTCGTCCATCGATGGTTGCAGCTTCATTAAGTCATAAATCCACGTTTTCAACCAATCACAGCTCAAACTGAGACGAGCTTCAGCGTGAGGTCTCAGACCGACTCCTCCCCCCTCCTCCCCCCTCCTCCCTCCTTATGAAAGCGGGACAGTTCCTCACCCAGAACACTCCTCACCGAAGCACCATCGCAAACGTCTCCTTCAGGCTTCAGCCTCACATGCCGCTCCGGCTGCAGCGCTGACCTTTGAGTCTTTATAGCGGCGAGCTGCTGAGCGTGACGGAAAACGAGGAAAAAAAAACACACTCCTCTCAATTGTTTGTGTTGAAGCGCAGCGAGCGAGCACAGAGAGATCTAGCAACCAGTGGAGCTGCAGGGCAGCGCTCGCCGCTTTGTTATCTCTGCAGGGCTACACGGCGGGGGGCGGGGGGGCGGGGGTTATTGTTGGAAGAGCTGCCCCCTCTCACCCCTCCTCCTCCTCCCTCTTTCATCATCTTCCTGACTTGTGCTTCAGTTCTCCTCCTCTTCTTCTCTGACTGAAATTATCCTCTTCTGATGAACCGCCATCTTTGACTCCTCCTCCTTTTTACACCTCAGTCCAAAACTCTGCTTCCCCTCTGACCTCTGACCTCCATTTGACCTTTTAAACTCCGCCCTCATTTGGTTCATCTTCAGCGTTTGTCGGGTTCTTCTGGTCCTGAAGTTTGTCGATCCCCGTCAGACAGAACACTCGTGTTTTATGACCCTGAGATAGAGAATCCTGGCCTCTGATTGGGTCTTTACAGGTCAGCTGATTGTAGATACAGCCTCTGGTTGGTCGATAGACCGAAACAAAGATGGCAGCCTTCCATTAGCAGAGTCAGCAGACTTCAGCGACGGTCAGAGATCAGCAGGTCCAGGAATCTTCAGGTTCAAGTCCAGACTGATGAGGATCACCTGAGGACACCTTTGACAGTTTCCTGTAACAACAGGCGCGGTCTGACGTCTGTCCGAGGTTCTACTTCCTGTTTCCTGTCGTTGCCATGGCTGCATATGTTGTATTTCCTTCTTTGGTAGGCTTTTGTCCTGATTGGTTATCGTTTGGGACCTCATAGTTTAGGACACGCCTCCACCTTTCTCCACCATGCTGCTTCAGATGTCTGTGAGGTTGGAGCTGAGGGGTTAACCATGACCATATTTGGACATGTCGCCCAGCGTTTGGACCGCCTCATGGTCATTTTATCTTCTTGTGACTCTGATGAAGTTGTTCTCGCCATTTCCAGGTTTGACTTCTGGGCCGTTAGCCCGTCTGAAACTCTTCAGAATCCCTTCCTGAAGATTTTCAGAATAAAAGTCCTCACTTCCTTGGCCTTGTGGAGTCCCTGTGCTGCGGTTTCTTCCTCCTTCTGTCTCTTTAAATCCACCCGGACTGAACCTTTGACTCTTCCTTCGCTCCTCTCAGTCCTGCTCTTCTCCTGTCCGGTCTTTCCTTATTTCCTGTTTTGGTTTTCAGTTCCTTTCCTCTTTTCTTCGTCGTCGTTTTCTTCCACTTCATCCTGGTCCGGGTCGTGGGGGCAGCAGCTTCAGGAGGGAAGTTCAGACGGCCCTCACCCCGGCCACCTCCACCAGCTCCTCCTTTGGGAGGATTCCCAGGCGCTCCCAGACCAGGAGAGAGATCTAATCCCTCCACCTGGTCCTGGGCCGACCACGAGGTCTCCTCTAACAGGAGGCGTCCAGAAGGCGTCCTAACCAGATGCCCGAGCCTCCTCAGCTGACTCCTCTGGACGTGGAGGAGCAGCGGTTCTCCTCTGAGCTCCTCCCGAGTGTCCGAGCTCCTTACCCTATTTCTTTTCTCTTTGAATCCGTCATCTCTCCATCCTCTTCTTTTACATTTTGCTTTTATGTCGTCAAAGATCTTCAAATCATCAAACATCAGAGAAGCTCCTGACCAGCTGTCTCTGCTGAGTCTCACCTTCTCTAGAACGTCTCTCCTTTCTCTTCCTCCTCTCAAACAAAAGGAACCTTCTCGTTCTTCACTTGAGAACTCGTCTTTCTCAGTCTTTTATTGGTCACTGTTTCCTGGTTTCTAGATCCAAAATCAAACCCCTGACCTTCCTGCAGCTTTTCACTTTAAACCTTTCTCTCTCTCTCTTTCTTTCTTTCTTTCTTTCTCTCTCTCTCTCTTTCTGTCTTTCTTTCTTTCTCTCTCTCTCTCTTTCTGTCTTTCTTTCTTTCTTTCTTTCTCTCTCTCTTTCTTTCTTTCTTTCTTTCTCTCTCTCTTTCTTTCTTTCTTTCTTTCTCTCTCTCTTTCTTTCTTTCTTTCTCTCTCTCTCTTTCTTTCTCTCTCTCTTTCTTTCTCTTTCTCTTTCTGTCTTTCTCTCTCTCTCTCTCTTTCTTTCTTTCTTCCTCTCGGTGTCGTCAGAAACCTCCTGACTTTTGTGTTTATTGTTCTCGGACTGGCCGCCGTCTTTAAATCCTCCTCAGACCCTGTTGAAGTTTCCTGTTGTCTGATAATCTTGATTCTGCCCTTTTCTCTCGTCTTACTTTTTCATCCTGTTTTTTTCTATCTGGGCAGTTTCAAAATAAAAGCCTCTTACCTTCCTGCAGATTAAAACTCTTTGTTAGTCAAACCATCCTGCTCTCGCTGCTGTTTTCTCCCCCTCTGTTTGTCTTGTCAGGTTCAAACCCAGGTCTACCTCCTCCTCAGCGGACATGCGTCCTGTTTTCACCGTGGTCTTTGAATCAGGAGCAGCAGGAAACTCTGAAATCACCCTGAAGCGTTCGACCTGCAGCTCTTTAAAAGCACCAATCAAACCGGCCTCATTCTCACGCCGAGAGATCCGGGACAGAGGTTCGACCTCGCCAACGCTCAGAGAAGACGACGGCTCAAAGAGACGCTTTAAATCCATCCAAAGCCCCCGAACAAACTCAGCTTTAAAGTTTCAATCCAGGCAGCAGATCCACATCCCAGAGCTCCGTCACCTCAGAGCCCACCTTAGCCCCCCAGACCCCCACCCCAACCCCCACCTCTACGGAAGAAAGCGGTCCTTACCAATTGACCCCACACATTTGTTAGGTTATGCCCCCGGCGTCCCTGCAGAGGCACATATATGATCCCCGCTGCACTTTTTTCCTCTCGCACTAGAAGCTTCAGTCCGGACGCAAAAACAAACCGGCTCAATAATAGGAGGCCATGAACTGACCCGCAGCAGGGGAGGGGGTTTAAAAAGGAGGGTCCACTCAGCACTTCTGACTGCACACGGGTGATCCCACGACACGCGGCCAATCACAGAGCAGGCTGCATCTGTTGCCATAGCGCCTGTAAAAAAAGTTTAGAGGGAGAGAGATTTTAAACTCTGAGACGTCCTGAGAGACGATGAAGCAAAAGAAGGTCAAGAGGAAGGAAAGATGGGTGGAGGTTCACCCAGGACTGGATGGTCCTGATCTTCAGGCCCCCCAGGCAGCTCTGCGTTAGAAACAGACAGGACTCTCGAGTGGAAATCAACGCATGAACTCAAAAACCACTGACTGTGAACTCGGTTCATCATAAAAAATATCACTGTCTGATAAAACCAATCTGACATTCTTTTGGAAATCGTCTTCATCATCTTCATCGTCATTTTCATTTTCAAGAGCTGAAGGTCACTGCAAAATGTCTTCCATCCTGAAAGAGAACATGACCCAGAAAGACCAGGGACTTCTCTGGACCTGGACTGAGGGGGAGAGGAAACCTGAGGTCTGATGGATCAGAGTCTGACACTCAGAGGGAAACGTATTTGACCGTTAATGACCTGTAGGGGGCGTGTTATCATGTTTTAATCACAGAGAAAGGAGCCGGGAGCTTCCTCAGAGTTTAGACTCATCCTTCTTCTGTATCGGGGAAGAGTCTGTGGACCTCACTGAGAACTTTCATGAAGAACACTCAGTAAGATCCTGAACATCAAACTCTCCTCAGATCCAGAAACAACATCCTCACACATTCAGAGGAGCGCCGAACCTCAGTCTGAAACACTGCGGGATTATCTCTGACGACTCACATCCAAACATCAGGAGGTGTTAGTGAGGTCTGCTCCTCCTCCTCCTGAAAACACCAAAGAGACGAACACCTGAACGGATGTCCCCCTTTAACGGCTGAAAAACTGCAGTTTTCTTCTTACTAAAGAGTCCTGATGAAGCCGGAGAGCTGGTGTGTCGATCTGGTCTGCAGAGGGCGCTGTGGCATCAGAAGAACGGATGGAGGGGGGGGGGTGCAGAGGAGGAGAGGGAGAGAGGGAGGGAGGTGGGTGAGGAGGAGGAAGGCTGTGCAGGCATGTGTGTCTCACAGTGAGCGGATGGTCCCACTGTTGTTCACTGCTGCAGAGATCAACCTGAGGGAGGAGAGGAGGGGAGAGGAGGAGAGGAGAGGAGAGGAGGAGGGAGGAGAGGAGGAGGGAGGAGGGGGAGAGGGCAGGGGAGCTGGCACTGCAATGCAGAACATCAAATGAGGAGGGGGGAGGAAGGAGAGGAGGAGGGGTGAGAGAGGGAGCTGCCAGCTCTGCAGATGGAGGTTCAGGGATTCCCTGCCGGTTTGGAAAACGTCCAGGAGGACGAGAGCAGAGACGAGTTTGAGACCTGTGTCCTCGTCTTTAAGGAGAGCAGAGACGAGTTTGAGACCTGCGTCCTCGTCTTTAGAGAGAGCAGAGACGAGTTTGAGACCTGTGTCCTCGTCTTTAAGGAGCGCAGAGACGAGTTTGAGACCTGCGTCCTCGTCTTTAGAGAGAGCAGAGACGAGTTTGAGACCTGTGTCCTCGTCTTTAGAGAGAGCAGAGACGAGTTTGAGACCTGCGTCCTCGTCTTTAGAGAGTTTTCTTCAGATTTATTTCTGATGGTGTTTGAAGGACACAGAAGGTGACGGAGAAGATGGAGCAGATTTACAGACACAATCATTGAGGGGAGAAACACGTGTGACTCTGAGCAGGTCTGTGTGACCCTGATTCCTGATTGGCTGAGACTCTGAACTCACAGCAGTGTGTCACACACAGATGTGTGTGTGTGTGTGTTCTTTATGAGACTCTTGGTAATCCTCACAGGATGGTCTCTGTAGAGAGAGGGTCCGGGGTGTAGAGCGTGTCAGAACATCTACAGAGACACACTCTCAGTTCTCCTCCATGTCCTTTAAAAGGCAGGAACCTCCGTCAGGAACATGCTAGCTTAGCTACATTAGCATGTTCTTCAGTGGGCTCACAGCTGGAGGGTGTAAGTCATGTTGCTGTTACTAACTTTAGGCGACACTCTTTGTTTTCGATGTTGACGTGATTGTTGGATCATCATCTCATATCATTTCACAAAACAGACACGACTCTGTTCAGACGAAACTGAAGTACAAAGTATAAAAGTCTTTATTGTTGACATTTGATGTCATATTTTCTTATAAATACTTTGTGCGAATACAGTTTTCATTCTTTCCAATAAGTGAAGAACAGAAAGACGAATATATTTCTGTGGTTACTACGACTTTTCTTCGAAGACTTCCCTCCAACGTAAGATTTTAAAACAGTGCATATGTAATATTGACGAAGACATGGTACCATTTAAACACTGAAGTGCTCTTCATGCACGGACGGAGGTCATTAGATACATGTGACCCACAGCAGAAGGTAGTAAAGTTTAAAGAGTCCTTCAAGGTACCAAAGCAGCAAGGCAAAGTCAGCTCAGCTCCTCCCCCTCAGAGGTCAGAGGTCACCGTCAGGAAACAATAAAGACACACCAGCATCATGCAGAAACAACAGACAACCAAAGTGCATCAGTGTCGACAACGGCAGCATCTGTGGGACACAAACAACGACGGGTCCGTCCGAACAAACAGCAAACGTGGAGATAATTGCATATCATGATATTATATCACAGCTACACAAGATACACAAGATACCAAAGACAAACACACATCCGCCATCTTCCTTCTTCTGAGTATCGGGTTCAGCTCTGAACGTGAAGCTTCAGACGTTTCACTGCTGACCTTCTCAGTGGAGATCCCACTCTGTGGTCGGCTGTGGAAACGTGACATCAGAGTTTTACTAAACTGGACTGCTTGGTGAAGATGTTCTGAACTTTGACCTCTAAAGCTTCACATGTGAAACCAAATATAACAGTTTTACCAAATGTGGTCCTTCCTGAAACAAACGAGGAACGCTGTAATAAGCAGTTTGTCGGGACTGTGAAGATACAGGTAAGTTTAGGACCCCAAACCTCTCAGACAGGTTCAGGAAAAGATCATTGTTTGGGTAAAACCAGTCAACGTGGACTGGGACTGGAAGCCAGACTAGAGGGAGACACAGGATCCCTACTTTGCAGAAAACCGTGAACTTGGATCAACGAACGAATCGACAGTTTGATGAATAACTGAATAAACGGACAGAAAGAACAACGATGATGTTCAGAAACACTCTCCAAGACAAGTCGTTCAGTGTGCTGCCATCTTGGATTAAGTCAAAAGAGGGATGAATGGATGGATGGAGGGATGGAGGGATGAATGGATGGATGAATGGAGGGATGGAGGGATGGATGAATGGAGGGATGGATGGATGGAGGGATGGAGGGATGAATGGATGGATGAATGAATGGAGGGATGGATGGATGGATGTGTAACTTAAGAAACAGATGGAGTGATGTTTGGAGATGCTTTAGATGTAATGACTGCAGCATAGTCCTGGAGAAAGAGAAGAAAAGGAAGTGGTGATGAAAGGATGAACGGAGGAGTGGATGGATTGATGGGTAGATGGAAGTTGGTATTTGAGGAAGTTCCCAAAGATACCAATCAAGGTCTGGACTAAGGTCTGGACTAAGGTCTGCGTTACGCTGCATCTGCAACCCGGTGAAAGGAAAGATAATGACTGGACAAACATCTGGAGATGTTCCCTAAGATGGATGGATGGATGGATGGTTGGATGGATGGATGGATGGATGGATGGATGGATGGATGGATGGATGGATGGATGGATGGGCAGACAGATGTTTAGAGACTCATCTTAAGACAAAGAGATGAAACTCAGTTGCTCCACAGGGCTGACGGTCTGGACAGACATCCTGTCAGAAGCCTCTTGAAGCAGACTGAATCTTCATGTCGTTCTGCAGAACATGGAAACATTCAGACACTGACCTTCATCGACACCAGAACTTCAGACTGACCCGCTGAGTGTCCAGCAAAAACATCAACACCGACATATTTAGAGACACATGTTTACTTTGCTGCACGATTTCGTCTTCAGACATTCCAGGTATAAAATGCTACCAAGTCCCAAACATCCAGACACAGTGTTTCACCTTCATGGATTTATCCTCAGAGCTTCAGTCTGGTCCACAGTGCTGATCCGTCTGAATCTCCAGCACCATCACACTGAGAGGATAAAACTACACAACGCTTACCTGAACCAACCTGG